TTCTGGAAAATATGACCTGTAGTGATACTATTAGCAGAAGCTAGAGGAGAGAGCCTCGGCTGCTAGATGTAGTTAGCTTTGCCATTTCCTCCCTTACTATTGTAACCTTAAACAAGTCATTTCCCTTTTCTGGGCCTCAACTTCTCCCATGTGTAAAATTAGGGAGGGAAGCAAAGAAAGACTAAATTATCTCTAAGATCCCTTCCAACTATAGCAGCCTGTGATTCTAATATGACTCCTTTCTTTATCTGTTCTTTCCCAGCAAAGTTTCCCAGTAACCCTGGGCAAGTAACATGCCTTCAGAGGATCCCAGTTTTTTGCCTGTAAAATAGGGTAATCATGTGGACATTTTTGTACAAGAATGGCTTAGTAATTTATTCCATGATCCATTTTGGGGATCATAATGCATTCCTACAGGGATCTAAGAATGGCAACCCCACAGTGAATGCAGGTCACTCACAGGAGTGTCAGAGTTTGATGGCTGACGTAAGTCCCATCTTGCCTGCCACCCTTCTCCCACCCTCCCTTCTCTTCACACCTGGCTCTCCCTCCTGTGTAGTCATGGTGGATCCAGTTCTAGTCATGTACATCCCTGCACAGGTATCTTTAATAACTCTCCACGGCAGTCACAAATGCCTGAATTCAGGCAGTCATAATGGAAAAGAAGGCGAGGATGTGAGAAAGATTATGCAGATGAAATTATAGGAACTAGGGGATGATCATCTGTGCAGTCAAGCTCTTGCTGGTTTTTCTGTGCCCTGGTTCAGAACTGAAATATAATATCACAATGGGCTCCTGATGGTGGGTGTGGATCACTCCAGGCATATCTAGGCCAACAAGGGAAAGTAAGCGAGATACCAAGAGGGATACTGGAGTCAGCTTTCTTTTTTTGTTCCTCTAAAGCAACACCTTTGAAAAGCCCTGGCATTTTCTCTGGTTAAGGAAAGGCTTCATAGAAGCTCCTCCTCTCTCTGCTGGAAAATTTTAGCCTCTCCCCATTGCATTCTGGCGTTAGCATTCTTCACAGCTCTGACTGCAGTGCTGACTGTCATGGTGAAAAATCTGTATTGCTGCATTTGGCCACGGGTGTGTGGGCTCTGAGGAAGGAGAGCCGAGCCCCTGACCCTGGATGGTTGGTCTCTAGAGGATGGTGTCTCATTCACAGCAAACTGTAGGACCCTGGCGTGGACACCACTGTTAAGAACTTCAGGAATGCAGAGGCTGCAGTAGAAAAATCCCTGCATTGTGGGGGTCAGGAGGTCTGGATTTTAGGTCCTAGCATCTGTGCTGTCTGGTTTGTGTGACTTTGGGGGACTTAATCTCTCGGGGCTTCATATGCTTACCCTGCAAAGATGAAGAACTAGGACAAATCATCTCTAAATGCTGTCCTGTTCCAAAATTCTAAAATAGTGATTCCTTGCATGTTTTCTCTGCCAGGCCCTGTGCTAGATGTGAGGAATATAAAAATGAAAATAGTATTAAAATTTGATATTTATCAAATGCTTAAATATGTGCTACAGATTGTATTAACCACTTTACACAGAGTGTTTTCTTTGGAACACCCTTGTAAGATCAGGCCTGTCGTGAACACTACTGGCCTTGTGAAAGGACTGTTTCTTAGTCCTCCCCCTGCTTCCCCACACTGGGTCCCTGCTCTTAAGACTGATCTGGAGAGAAGTGATGTAAGAGAACCATTCCGGGTGCTCTGCCAAGAACCATTCTGCTGTGGTAGCCACTAGGCTGTTGGCTGTTAGATAGGGATGACTTAAGACATGTAAATAGAGGTTGATTTTTCCCCCTTTCTTGTAAAAAATCTATTTCTACCAAATATCTAGACTTATTCTAAATCTCCGATAATTAGGACTGTGTGGCTTTAGCTCAAGGATAGTCAAATAGCCCAATGGAACAGAATAAAAAGTACAGGAACAGATGCGCGTATCTATGGACACTTAAATGATAAAGGTGACATTGCAATGGTGCTGGATCAACTGGACTGGTGATCATGTGGGGATCTTGACTCCTACTTCTAACCATACACAAAAATTACTTAAAAAATAGACTATAGTAGTGCCCTGGCTGTCGTGGCTCAGTGGATTGAGTGCCGGCCTGCAAAACGAAAGGTCGCCGGTTCAATCATCGACCCCGGCATATGACTGGATTGTGGGCCAGGTCCCCTGTTGGAGGCATTCAAGAAGCAACCAATAGATGTATCTCTCACACATTGATGTTTCTCTCCCTCCTTTCCCCTCCCTCTATAAATAAATAAATAAAATCTTTTTTAAAAAATGAGCTATGGATCTGTCCTGTACACCAAAAGGTTGCAGGTTAGATTCCTAGTCAGGGTACATTGAGGAGTCAACCAAATGATCTCTTTCTCTCTCTCTCTCTGTCTCCCCTTCCCCTTTCCTCTCTCTCTAAAATCAATAAATATATCCTCAGGAGAGGTTTTTAAAAAAGTAACTATAACCATAAAAGAATAAGTAAATTGAATTACACTAAAAGAATTGTTCATCAAAATGCACCATTAAAAAGTATAAAGGGAAGCTACTGAGAGGGAGAAGATATTTACAGTATGTATATTTAACAAAGGATCATATTAAGAAAATAGTCCCTGGCTAGTGTGGCTCAGTTGGTTGAAGTGTCCTGCAATCACCAAATTGCAGATTCAATTCCCAGTCAGGGCACATACCTAGGTTTCTGGTTCGATCCCTGGTCTGGACGCATGCTGTCCCCAGTCTGGGCATGTACAAGAAGCAACCAATTGATGATTCTCTCCCTTCCTTTCTCTCTCAAAACAATGAAAAAACGTCCTCGGGCAAGGATTAAAGAAAAGAAGAATATAGAAAGAACCTCTTCAAACTGATGAGAAAGGCAAATGACCCAATCTAAAAAATGCTCAAAACAGTTAAATAGATTACAAAAGAGAGCTTCCAAATGACTGATGAACATATGGCAAAGTCCTCAGGCTCAATAAACTTAAAGGAAATGCAAGTTTAAAACTCTAATTCAGTACCACTTCATACCAACCAGAATAGCTAAAACAAACTCAAAAACCTGACTATACTAAGTTTCATAAGTATTAGCAAGAAAGTAGAACAATTAGAACTCTCCTTCACTCTGGTGGGAGTCTAAATTGGAATACATACATATGTTCACTGAGAAATACATACATGAACATTGGTAACAATGCTATTATTCATAATGGCCCCATACTGGTAACAACCCAAATTTCCACCAACAGTAAAAAGTATAAATAAATAGTAGCATATTCATACAATAGACTAGGAAAGAACTGTGGTTTTACCTAACACACAATGAATCTTACAAACATAATAAATGAAAGAAGCCAGACACAAAAGAGAACATAGTGTTTCATTTAATTTTTGTGAATTTCAAAAAAAAAACAAACAAGCAAAAGAACCCTATAGTTTTAGAAGTCATCATACAAGTTACCAGTTTGGAGGGCAGGAGACTTTTTTTTTTGAGTCTTGGTACTGGTTTATTTCTTGTTCAAGATACTGATTAAACAGATATTCATTGAGCTGTGTACTTAATGCATTTTTCAGTGTGAATATTATACTGCAATAAAATTTTTACTATTTTTACATTTTAAAACAGATTTTAAGCCCTGGCTGGTATGGCTCAGTGAATTGAGTGCCAGCCTGCAAATGGAGAAGTAACAGGTTGGATTCCTGGTCAGGGCACATGCCTGGGTTGCAGGCCAGGCCCCCCGTTGGGGGCAGGCAAGAGGCAACCAATCGATATTTCTCTCCCTCTTTTTCTCCCTTCCTTCCTCTGTCTCTAAAAATAAATAAATAAAATTAAAAAACAAAGAGGCCCCCCTTTTAAAAAAAAACATAGATTTTAAGATTCTAATTTTGAATTCATAAAAGATTCACATTATAAAAACTAAAAAAAAAAAAAAAAAAAAAAAAAAAAAAGAAGGGAAATAATTAAAACTCTCCTTTCCACCTCTATGTCCCAGCCATTCAGGATCCTCACTGGCAGCTAATGACTTAAGTATTTTTGTGCATGCTTCTAGAGATTATTTTTTGTAAATAAATACGTATGTAATATACACACATACACACAGCTCTACCCTTTTTTATGTATGACAATATTGTGAACACATTATTCTACAGTTTACTTTTATCATCTAATTTATTTTAAAGGCCTTTCCATATCAGTACATAAAAAAGGTCCTTATTCCTTCTTACAGCTCCATAATGTACTATTGTATGGATGTTCCATGATTTATTTAACAAGTCCCACTCTTCATGGACATTTAAATTTGATTATTTCTAGTTGAGGAATTTTCTTGATCCTGATCTATTTTCCCAGGCCTCATTTTAACTTTTTAACAGCAGCTTGCACAAGTTGATATGCATGAAGCAATACCTTACATGAAAGGGAAAAGTAGAAAAAATTTCCTACCTCTCAGTTCTTAAATGGAAGACTGTATAAACAATCACACAATTTTAAAGGTCAGAGGACTAAAAGAGAATTAATGCCGAGGTTCCTTGCAACTAATTTCTTTAAGATTCTGATGAAAGTGAAGTTTCTCTCAAAAAATGTGCACATGTGTAAAATTTTGCACATCAATTTTCGGGTTGACAGATTCCTTGAAATTCCTCTATGGGTTCTAGATTAAGAAATCTGTTACCTAGCATAAGCCCATCAATTTAAAAATTGGGAAACTAAGGGCCAGATATGGGAGGTGAGCCTTAAAACAAGTTAATCTTAGATGACAGTCACTTGTATTCATCTTAAAGCAATGCCAGCAATATTCCATTTCCTTTCATTGGCTGATGTCACTGCCCAGACTGGCAAGGGAAGCTGCCCATTCTTTTCCAGGAGAACTTCATTTCGTAGCTATGGTAACCTAACAGAAAATTGGTAAACAAATTTATATGAAAGATTTATTTTTTAAAATATCATATAGTATGATTAGAATTTCTTATATAACAGTTGATTTATCTTTCTCTTTGTTTTCTGTTCAGCATAAGAAGAAGAGGGGAAAGGTGGAAGTGAGACCCATTAATTTGGGCACAGATTACGAGTATGGGGTTTTGAACATTCACCTGACTGCGTATGACATGGCACTGGCAGAGAATTATGCCCAGTATGTTCACAACCTCTGCAACAATCTCTCCATCAAAGTGGAGGAAAGGTATGAAGGATGCTTTTGCATGAAATATTCTTCTTATGGGTAGCACACTCTGCTTTTTGTTGTTAAATGAGGTTTTGAGATATAATTTACATGTAGTAAAATTTACCTTTTTTAGGTATAAAGTTTGCCACAATCGAAATATAAAACAGTTCTATTAACCCCCAAAAGTTTCCCGATGCCCAGGTGTTGTCAACCTCCTCCCCTTTTCCCTGCAAGTCCCCAGCAACCACCAATTGATCTTCTGCCCCTAGTGTTTTAAGTGCTCCAGAACATCATGGAAGTAGAATCATACAGTATGTAGCTGTTCATCTGGCCTCTTTCAGTTGGCATAATGTGTTTAAGATTCATCCATGCTTTTGTAAGTATTTTATTACTGAGCAGTATTCCATTAAGTGGTGGATTTTAATTGGTTTATCCATTCATTCATGAGTTGATGTACATTTGCATTGTTTCCAGTTTATTGATAATTATGAACAAAGCTGCCATAATCATTCTCATATAGGTTTTGTGGGTCATATGTCTTTTTTTCTCCTGGATAATTACCTAAGACTACAATTTTTTAATTGTATAGTGAATGTATGTTTAACTTTATAAGAGACCAACAAACTGTTTCCAAAATTGGGTGCACCATTTTGTATTCCCACCAGCAACATATGAGAGTTCCAAATATTCCTTATTCTGGTCAGCACTTGGCATTGTGCTGACCAGAATAAAAAAAAGATTTTATTTATTTACTTTTAGAGACAGGGAAAGAGAGGGAGAGGAGAGAAACATCAATGCATGGTTGCCTCTCACACGCCCCCTACTGGGGACTTGGCCCACAACGCAGGCATGTGCTCTAACTGGGGATCGAACCAGTGACCCTTTGGTATGCAGGCCAGCACTCAATCCACTGAGCCCCACCAGCTATGGTGGTATTGTCAGTTTTTTTAAAAGGTATTCTAATGCATACATAGTGGTATCTCATAGTTGTTTTTATTTTCACTTTCCTGATAAATGAATAATGTTGAGCATCTTTTATGTGCTTATTTACCTTCTGTATATCTTCTCTGATGGCATGTCCAAATTTCTTGTCTATTTTAAAAATTGGGTGGGTTTTTTTTTATTACTTGAATAGTGAACGTTTTTACAATCTATACAAGTTCTTTTTCAATATATGTTTTGCAAATATTTCCTCCCTATGACTTATCTTGTCATCTTTTAAAAAAAATTTTTCTTTATCCACACCCAAGGACATGCTAATTGATTTTAGAGAGAGAGGGTAAGTGGGAGAGAGAGAGAGAAGGAGAAGGAAAAGGAGAGAAACATCGATATGAGAGAGAAACAACGATCGCTTCCCTCTCGCACATGCCCTGACCAGGACCGAAGCCACAACCCAGGCATGTGCCCTGACTGGGAATCAACCCTCAGTCTTTCAGTTTACAGGACAGTGCCCCAACCCACTGAGCCACAAGCCAGGGCTCTTGTCATCTTATCTGAGTCTTTTGGAGAGCCAAAGTTTAAGTTTGATGAAGTTTAATTTATCAGTTTTTTTCTTTTATTGATCATGCTTTTGGTGTCGTATCTAAGAAATCTTTGCCTAAGCCAAGATCACAAAGATGTTTTCTTCTTTCTTCTAGAAGTTCTATAATTTTAAGTTTTACTTATACATCTATGATCCATTTTGAGTTATTTTTTATCCTCACTTGAGGACATGCATATTAATCTTAGAAAGAGGGGAAGGGAGGGAGAAAGAGAGGGAGAGAAACATCGATGTGAGAGAGAAACATTAATCAGGTGCCTCTTGTAAGTGCCCAGACTGGGGACCAAACCTGCAATGTGCCCCAATCAGAAATCAAACTGGTGACCTTTCACTTTGCAGGATGACGCCCAACCAACTGGGCCACACTGGTCAGGGCTCCAAGTTCTTTTTTTAAAATGTACTTAACCAATTGCTTGAGCACCATATGTTAAGATTTTCTTCTTCCACTGAATTGTCTTAGCACCTTCTGAAAGTCAATTACCTGCATATGTATAGATTTATTTCTATACACTATTCCATTACATTAATCTATGTATCTTTCTTATACTAGTACTATGCTATCTTGATTACTGTAGCCTGATTACTGAAACTACAACTTTGTTCTTTTTCAGAATTATTTTGGCTATTCTAGGTGCTTTGGTTTTTCATAAAAATTTAGAATTAGTTTGTTGATTTATACAGAAAGGAGCCTGATAGAATTCTGCTGGGATTGTGTTGAATCTGTAGATCAGTTTGAGGAGAATTGACATTTTATCTGTTTTAAGTCCTCTGATCCATTAAGGTGAAATATATCCCTACTTATTTTGATATCCTTTGCCTGTTCTACTTTTCATTTACTCTTTGGATTTGTTGAGAAACTGTAGGGGAGAAGAATTAATATTTACTGACTTGCTGCTCCAGACTAGGCACTTTACATATCTTATATCAGTGTTTCATAAAGTGTGAGATGCCCTGTGGTTTGCCTTATATAACATTAGATCACATCATGAGAAATTTCATCCCTTTTTAATTCTCAATCTGATATGTAAGGAGAAATTCTTAGCGTAGTTCTGATATGTCTTTAATACCACTTGAGCACTTCCTAATCTTTATAACAGAGAGGGGACCTCTGGCTCAGAGTCTTTGGCTAGCACTAGAATCTAGCTAGAATTTTATAACATTTTATTTTAATTGTATTTATTTTTAACTTTCTATTTATGACAGCTGATACTGGTTTTCCATTTACAGTAGTAATATAAAGTCAGGCTAACTGAGATATAGTTTATATTCAGTAAAAATTCACCCTTTTAGTGAACAATTTCTGAGTTTTGATACACACATTAGAGAGTAAATACCATCATGATCAAGATACAGAACATTTCCATCATCCCAAGAAGTTCCCTCCTGCCTTTGTAGTCATGCCTTCCCTCCTTTAAAAATAAATAAACTCTTAAAAAAGAAAAGCAAAAATTAAAAAACAACTATTGATTGAGCCTCTTCTTGGTATGTGATAAGCATTGTACTAGACTTTCTAACTGGAAGATACTAAGGTGAATATCTCTGATTTCAGGGAGTATGTGTGTGTGCTCACAAGCACACAGAGATAATTTTAACGTAAGGTAGAAGGTGGTAAGTGAAACATAAAGTACAATGTGAGTTCAAGAAAGTAGAGTAGTATAATAATTTTGAGTAATGCCTCTCAAAGTACCACTCCACAAAGAAGTTTATGCCAAAATGTGTGTTCATGCTTTGCTTCCTTCATGAAAAAAGTCTTGCTATTGAAAAAAATTGTTGGCTGAATTCAGTATTGTGTTTAGTGACTGTTGCATGCTCCTTATCTTCTCCTGGACTGATAATAGTTTGCTCATCAGCAGCTTGTCTATGAACCACACTTCGAGTAACATAGTACGAGTTCTGGAATCAAACTGCCTGATATAAATTCTAGTTCTACCAGTTATTGGCAATAAGACCTTGGGAAATTCTGAACCTCAGTTTCCTCTTCTGTATAAATGGGATGATACTTTTCTTATTTCTTTGAGTACTGAAAATTAAACAATAGTATATGATAGCACCTAGCAGAGACTGGAACATTGCAACACCCTAAATAATAATTAAAAATTAATGAAGAGATTTTTTTTTCAGCCTGTAGGGATTATGGTAGCAAAGAAGCATTAAATGTCATTTACAGAATGTTATCTTACCTACAGTGAATCAATTCTCTGCCATAGTGTTTTAAATTTTCAGAAGGACTTTTTAAAAGATGGTCTTTTTAAAATCCAACTGTGAAAAGCTTTGGCTGCATTTGAGCAAAGGCAGGAAAGCAGTAGCATTTGTTCAGCACCTACTGTCATTCAGCCACTATGCTAAATATAGTCTTTTGTATATTGTTACTTAATTCAAACAAGCACTTGGCACATAGTGAATCAAAGCTCAACTCTGGAGCCAGACCACCTAGGTTTTACTTGTGCTCTGCTGCATTCTTATTGTGTGACATTGGGCAGTTTATTTAACCTCCTTGTGTCTAGTTTCTTCATCTGTAAAATGGGGTTAATTAAAGTACCTACCTAAAAAGGCTATAGTAAAAATTAAGGGAGTTAATATATTTAAAGTGCTTAAAACAGTTTCCAGCAACTCCTGGCTGCCATTATTATTATTATTAAAGCTTGCCTATAGTCATACACCTAATAAATGGCAAGGTCTGGATTTGAACCCACTTTTTTTTTTTCCTTCAAATTTTCATTTCCTCCTAAATAGATCTCCACACAGCTTTCAGTGTGCTCTCTCTAGAATGGAAATAAGATCATGTCACCCATGTTTAAATTCCTTCCATGGCTCCCCATTCCTTTAGGATCAAATGAAAAGTCTTCATATGGCTTACTAGGTACCCCATGTCCTGGGCTTTCTTCTCTTGCCGTAACTCCTACTTTCTTCTCCCTCTCCTTCCAATTACACTGGCTTTGTTTTTGTCATTTCCCACCCAAGGACCTTTGCATATGCTCTCTAGCACTTATAATGCTCTTTCCCCTTCACCTAACTAACTCCTATTTTTTCCTTAGGTTTTATTTTGAATGTCACTTCTTCAGAGAACCTCATTAAATTGGGTCCTATGTTATATATTTAGTAGAAGTAAAGGTTACATAACTTCCTTTTCATAGCAGTCATTTCTTATCCTTGTAGATACTTGACTTTTATTCTTCTTCTTCATTAGACTCTAAGGTCTTTAAGGCAAGGATTGTTTCTGTCTCCATCAGCAGTCTAATTCTAAGACCTTGCCTAGTACCTGATGTATAGTTGGCAATGAATAAATATTTGTTGACTTGCACTGAGATCCAGTAGCCATGGACATGATTCCTAGAACAGCAGAATGAATGATGTGCTGTTTTTTTGCTGGCTCTTTGCTCCAAATAGCACAAAGTATAAAGAGATCTTTATTTTCAGCAACTCATTTCTCTGCATTGATTGAGGTTTTCAAACTATCGTATTGTTAGACATTCTCACTACCCAGCTTTTCAGAGATGAAGTAATTTTTTTCTTCTGATTTTCATTTCACTGTGATCCATTTTTTCTCCAGTTGTGGGGGGTTAGGGCTTTGACCTTGAGATGGAATTGGGCAGGAGAGCAGTGAGCAGGCTTTTGTTCTATAAATGGTCTGCTTTACTGTTGCTGCAACTCACCTAGGAGAGAAGAGGAAGGGGCCTCTCATGCAGGTCCCTTAATGTGCCTGCCTCCCTTGCTGAGCAGTTCCCTGGAGAGATGGAAATCTTACTCATCTGGGAGCAGCTTCCAAGCCTGAAGCTGATCTAGCCCCTGTGCTCTGTGGAGAGCAACAGCATCACACAGCATCACTCTCTGTAAGGCTACCCTTTCCTTTTTTTTTTTAGGTTCACTTACATTGTTAAAATGGAGGTATAACTTACACGTAGTAGAGTCCACAGATTCTAGGTTCCCTAGCTCCCCAGCCGGCTCCCTTCTGTCCTGTCTCAGGCAGTACTCCCAAAAGGTGGCATTATTTTGTCATGTTAGATTGACTCTGAAATTCAATTATTTCATTTCTTCCCATCTGTCTTTACTGTGATCATCCAAGTAATGTTTATTGTAGAAAATTTGGAAACGACGGAAAAGTATAGATACTAATGGAAAATTACCTATACTCTTACTATTCAAAGGCCTATTCTATTTTGAAATGACCAGAGTTCCCAGTATTTCCTTATCAAACTATGTCTGGTTTTTCTGTTGGTTCTCTTTGAGAACCTCTCATGTCTCCTTGCCTTTGTAATAACTGCTACACTTTTTTTGGCAAACACATCTATTCATTCTTTATATCTTGATAAAGCACTACTTCACCTATGAAGCCTTCCCTGAACTGCTCTTCTCCCTATAATATTTTGTACATAACTATTATTGTCTTTGTCTTACTGTAGTGAAGATGTTCATCTACTTACCTGTTTCTCCAAAACACTCTTAAAGCATAGGCTACATATTGCCCACCAGAGTGCCTAGGACAGAATAGACTCTCAGTAAATGTTTATCGAATGAATGAATGAATGAATGAACAAATTAATGAAATATTGATAAAGTAAGTATTAAAGAATAAAACATATGCTCAGTAGCAGGAGTGGACAACTCCTTTTAATTGATCAATCTTACCTACAGAATGTCAAAATGGAAAAATAGCATTTTAGAGTGCTATTTACTTTCCTGAAAGCTTTTACATAGTTATTTTACTTGATTTCCCATAACAAGGCTATGGATCTGTCATTTTTTTAAATACAGGGAAGCTACTATCAAATTTGAATTGGAAGAGGGGATCAGAGATTGTGCTTAAAAGTGGGGAATGCTATTTAAGGAGGCTACCTGAAAGAGTTTGCAATACCTAGCATTTACTCACTGTTCATAAGAGCAAGGGAACTGGCATTTGTAGGCAAAGTATGCCAGGCAAATTACTGTGTAATCTCATGTAATCACTGCAACAACCCTTTTATTATTATTATCCTCATTTTATAGCCGAAGAGTCTAAGACTAGATATTATTATCCTCATATTATAGCTGAAGAGTCTGAGACTCAGAAAGATGATTTGTCTAAGGTCAAATAGGCAGTAAGCGGCAGAGCCAACATTTAAGTCCAAGGGTGACTGTCACGTCTCTAATCCATTTTCCATTACACCAAACTTCCTTTAGTAGCAGTTCATCTGTAGAGGGCATGCTCCCTGCTATTAATCAGTGAAGCTTTTTGTGGCATGAAAATTCAGGAATTATGTGGTTATTATTATTCCATTTATCTTCAGTTTGATCAACTTTCTGATAAGATGAACACTACTACTATATTTCTGTGTAGCCATAAGTGCTATTTCATCCATCAGACCTAATCCTCGCAATAGTCTATTGACATAGGCCTAGATTATAATCCTCTTCTCAGAGGGAGCAGCGACTTGCTGTAGTAAATATTGCTAATGAGTGGCAAAGCCAAGATTTGACCCAAGTCTAGTGTTCTTTCCATTGTAGGACGTAGATCTGCTGAAGCTGATTTTAGTGAGCATTGATTCTACAACATTGGTTCTCAACCAGGGCACATTTAACAATGTCTGGAGATCATTTTGATTGTCACCACTTGGGGTTACTGCTGGAATTTGGTGGGTAGAGGTTAGGGATGTGTAGGGATAAGTATAGTTAAATAAAACTATATTTAACCCCACAACGAAGAATTAGCTGGTCTAAGATGTCAGTAGTGCTGAGGTTGAGAAATCCTTCTCTAAAGCAATTGGGTTTCAGGACTTATTTTTCTAGAAGAGGTGAAATACCTAAAGTTAGCCTCCAAATCATATCTAGTGATGAGCCTGATTCTTTTAGAATTGGCTATTCTTTAGTAGCAGCAAATACTTACTAATCACCAGGTTTTATTCAGATTGTTACATTAGGCAAGATTGGGGGTGCAGAAAAGTGTTAGACATCATTTCTCCCCTCAGGGAGTTTAGAGACTTTAAACTTAAGGAGTTTAAATTTAGAGTTTAAACTTAAGTTTAAGTTAAACTTAAGCTAAGATGATCTGATCACTTTACCCTGGCGGCAGGTAACAGCCCTAGATTCCAGGAGCTGTATATGCAGTAGTGGCTCTCCTCAGGGACTATCCTGACTGAAGTGGTGTTGCTGGCTTTAGGGAACCCTCCCCATAGCTGACTCTTACTTCCCACAGTTATGCGATGCCCACCAAAACCATGGAAGTGTTACGGCTGCAGGACCAAGGCAGCAAAATGTTCCTGGATGCAGTTCTTACCACCCATGAACGAGTGGTTCAGGTAGGTACTCTGGGAGAAACTCGAAATGTATTTTTCTCTCCTGGTTCTTCTCTCTGTCTGTTTTCCCTTCTTATACCATGCCCATCTCTTCCTCTTGCCTGTCCCTTTAATGATGATGTTCTCCAGGTTTCAGTTCTTGATCCCTCCATCTCTCCTTGTGTAATACCTTCCCTCTATGCAATCTCATTCATTCACCCAGCCTCAGTAACTGACATTATGTACTGCTAACATCTAGATCTCCATTCCTGATCTCTTGGTTGAGCTTCAAACCTAATATTGAGTTGTCTACTGGACTTCTCTACTGGTATTTTCCATAGGTGCCCTACACTCAGTACTTACAAAACTAATTTTAGAGAAACTACTGTTCCTTTTTTTTTCTAGACTCCTCCCCACATTTGACCCTAATGCTTGATCTTTCTTCGCTCTCTGATATCCATACATTCTCCAAATTCTAAAGTTTCCACTCCCAAAAATCTTTTAGATCCATCAACTTTGCTTTACCCTCATACCACTGTGATCATGTCATTTTCCTGCTTAAGTGGCTTCCCTTTAAAAGCTCTAGTCATGGTTCTCTGTCTTTGCACTGCAGAGACAGATGGGTGCAACCACACCACCGTGAGAGTGCTCAGAGCTATTAAAAATTCACAGTTAACATCACCTCCCTTTTTTTATAACAGCTTTATTGGGAGTTTTATTCCCATGCAATACAATTTACCCACTTGAAATGTACACTTAAATGGGTTTTAGTATATTCAGAGTTATGCAACCATCACCACAGTCAATATTAGAACATTTTCATCACACCTGAAAGAGACTCTGCATCCATTTGCAGTTGCTCCTCTTTCCCCATTCCCCTGACTCCTAGAAACCACTAATCTACTTTCTGCCTCTATAGTTTTACCTCTTGTTGACATTTCATTTGAACAGAATTATACGATCAATATATGGCCTTTTGTGTCTAACTTCTTTCACTTAGCATAATGTTTTCAAGGTTCATCCATGTTGTAGCATGTATTAGTACTTCATTCCTTTTTATTGCCAAATAATATTCGAATGAACGCCACTTTCTGATCCACTCAAGAAACATATCAGCAAGGTAATGAATGTTAAGGTAGTAACACCTTAAAACTATGTTAATTTTAAAAATAATTAAAATACTTAAAATCTTTGGTTCTTTAAACATTATCAGGAATACATCTTATTTAAGATACATCTTATGACAGGTCTAACTTGCCACTGAGGCCCATAGGATCAAGTCTGAACTCTAGATTAGCACGTAACTGCCTTCATGATTCTCCTGCTTTTTCTTCATGCCCCATTCATTCCAGCTACACCTGGAACTAGCCTTAGTATTGTGCTATGCCTCCACATTCTGCTGAATATTGCTTCCTCTGCCTTGAAAACTCCCACAGCTGTTGAATTCTCCCATTTTTCTCCTGTTTTTCTTCAAGACTCCACCCAGATGTTACCTCTTTTGGAAGCTTTCTTTGACCTCCGTGATTAATTTAGGTAGATATTTCTCTAGTGGGTTTCTGCAGCCCTTTTATACCCTCCTACCTCATGTCTGATTCATCTCTGGATTCTCAGCACAAGGTCAGGCAGCAATCAGGTCATGGGCTATGTGAGTTAACTTGAGTTGAATCAGAAAGCCATCTTGGATTTGATAAACTCTTTGGTCCAGTTATGACATCCATTGCCTACAGGAGCAGATATAGGCCGTGACCATCTTGACAAGCAGACACCTTGGCAGAGAGCAAGAGAAATCCTGTAGAGACTGGGCTCCAGAACCAGCTCTGGATAATCCTTCACCCAAGGGTCAGTCTAGCTTTGCTGGAGCTGACATTTGAGCCCAGGCCATGTCTCCCAATCACCTAATTTTCAACAGCTCTCTTAGAGCACTTTCTTTTCTTTTGCAGATAAGTGGTTTGAGTGCTACATTTGCAGAGATTTTCTTGGAAATAATCCAAAGCAATCTTCCTGAAGGAGTCAAATTGTCAGTGAAGGAGGTAGGTGCTAGTTTGAGAAGGGGCCCCTTGGTGGCCCACCTGTGTTCAAAATATCTAGACTGCCTGGCTTTAGAAACAACAAAGAAGTGTGGATAATTTAGCCCAGATAATAATCAGGAAAGGTGTGCAGGCTGGAATTACTGTGATCATTATTCTGGCTCTTCAGAAATGATGCTTTATGGACCACTAGTTGAAATCCATCACAGCATCTTGATGTTAGGAGTGAGCCCATCACACCTCAAAATTCTCTCCCTTAAGCAGTAGTATAACAAGAGCATGATTTAAGATCACATACAGTATAACTAATCAGAACACAAATAGGGAAATGTGCTTTAGAGAAAAGTTTCTTGGATCTTTGAGGCTTGACTGTACTCTGACTGAATATATTTAATAAAGAATACAGTAAGAAGGAAGTTTGGCATGGGAAACTTGGAATACATTCGGAACTAGAGCTTAAATACTACGTATTTGAGTTTTGTTGCCAAGATGATTCTTATTGTGACACAGATACATCAGGTTACTTTAGATTTACTCCATTTGCTGCATGCAGTGCCCTTGTTCTGAGTCCATAGTTGTTAAGCCTCTGCTTATTATTATAGATTTGTATATAGGGAGGAAGTGTACTGGTCGTGCTGACTTGAAATATTCCAGTCCCTATGTCTGTTATTTCCTATTGTAAATGGAGAATTTTGGCATTCTCCTTTTTAAAAACAAACAAAAAAAAGTGCCTCTATTATGATACTTATAGATCTTTTTTCAAAAATTTTTATTTATTTTTAGAGAGGAAGGGAGGGAGAAAGAGGAGGGAAACGTTGATAAAGAAGCATCGATTGGTTGCCCCTAGTATGCTCCCAGATCGGGTACTGAACACACAACCCAGGCATGTGCCCTGACTGGAAATTGAACTGGTGATCCTTCACTTTGAAGGATGCTGCCCAACCAGCTGAGCCACACCAATCAGAGCTGATACTTAACAGAATTTTGACATTAGTTCTTTATAAGTCTGTCTTCTCTCACCAGACCACACATTTGTTTAAGGCAGAGAGGAAGTCCAATTCAGCTTTTAATACTTGGTATCTAATACAAGTCTGGTACATAGTAGATGCTCAATAAAAGTTAGTTGAATTTGATTTGTTCTCTACCCAGCAGCTGGTGGATCCTTTTTGATGTTGTGCCTATTTGAATAACTGATAGCTCTGCAGTAATTCCCACTTATTTTTCTTCTCCCCAGCACTCTGAAGAAGACTTCAAAGGAAGGTTCAAAGCTCGGCCAGAACTGGAAGAACTGTTAGCCAAGCTGAACTAGCTCATTGCAGACTCTTTCATGCCAGCACTGGTGGTATTGAGTACCAAGGGGAATGGCTTTCTGGGTGGTCAAAGTTAAGCAGGAGACCTTGACTCTTAGATATAAGTATGAATGTCCACAACCAGAAATTCCCCTTCTCCTTGGTTGAAGAGTGCTCGCCAATTGTCACCACTTTCCTTTGAGCCAACCTTAGGTATCCTCCATCTAATAAAAATCTGTTGATAATAAGTGTTTTTTTTTTAAATAATTATTGAGGCAAAATTCACATACCACAAAACTAACCATTTTGAAGTGAATAATTCGGTGGTATTTAATACATTCACAATGTTATGCAACCAACACCTCTATCTAGTTCCAAAACCTCATTGCCTGTTTTTGTAATAAACGTTTATTGGAACAGAGCCATGTTTATTCATTTACATATCATTTATGGCTGCTTTCGCACTACAATGGCAGAGCTGAGTAGTTGTAACAGAGACTGTAAAACTAAAACATTTATTATGTGGCCCTTTACAAAAACAGTTAAACCCTTATCTAAGTCATTGGTACTCAAAATTAAGCATGCATCAGGATCACCTGGAGAGCTTTTTAAAACACAAATTGCTAGACTCTTCCTCCAGATTTTCTGATTTAGTAATTCTGAATGAGGGCCCAGAATTTGCTCCTTACAAGTCTCTAGATGATGATCATGCTAAATGACCCCTGATGTTTTTTATATTCTGAGCATTAATGCATTCATACTTTTGTACATAACAGCTATCCTTTATTGAGCTAGACCCCACGTTAGGTACTACATTAGATCTAAAACTCTACCAATTTTTTAGGGTTTATATGAGGTGGATGTGTATCTGTATGTGAGTGCATGTGAGTATCTTGTGTGTGAGTATATCTCACATTTATATAGCCTTTGTAAATGCTGTGTACTACATACAGATTATCCTTTTTATTATCCCAAATCAATTAGGTGGTATTATCCCAATTCAAGAGATGGAAAAACTGAGTTTCAGAAAGATGAAGTGACTTCCTAGGGTCACACAGCTAATAGTGCCAGAACTTTCTCCTCTGTAGCTCACTGCTTCTCTGAAATACTCCTACAAGTCTGTGAGAGCTCAGAGCATTTTAGTATTTTTAAAAAATATTTATTGAATGTATTGGGGTGATATTTGGTTAATAAAATTATATAGGTTTCAAGTGTATAATTCTATAATACATCATCTGTATATTGTATTGTGTGTTCACCAAAGTGGTCTCCTTTCATCACCATTTATCCTCTCCTTTACTCTCTTCTACCTGCTCCCACTCCCCCTTCCCTCTGGTAATCACTATACTGTTGTCTGTGTCTATGAGGGTTTTTTTGTCCCTTAATTCCTTCAACTATTTCACCCAGCCCTTCAACCACCCTCCCCTCTGACAGCTGTCTGTTCTCTGCACCTATGAATCTTCTTCTGTTCTGTTAGTTTATTTTGTTCATTAGATTCCACATATAAGTGAAATCATGTGGTATTTGTCTTTCTCTGACTGGCTTATTTCACTTAGCATAATACTCTCCTGGTCCATCTATGCTGTAGAAAAAGGTAAGATTTCCTTCTTTTTTACAGCGAAGTAGTATTCCATTGTGTAAATGTACCACAGCTTTTTTATCCACTCATCTACTAATGGGCACTTGGGCTGCTTCCAAATCTTGGCTATTCTAAATAACAATGCAGTGAACATAGAAGTACATATTTTCTTTCAAATTAGTGTTTTGGGTTTCTCTGGATATATTCCCAGAAATAGAATCACTGAGTCATAAGGCAGTTCCATTTTTAATTTTTTGAGGAATCTCCATACTGCTTTCCACAGTGGTTGCATCAGTCTGCATTCCCACCAAGAGTGCACAAGAGTTCCCTTTTCTCCACGTCATCGCCAACACTTGTTTGATTTATTGATGACAGCCATTCTGACAGGTGTGAGATGATATCTCATTGTGGTTTTTATTTGCATTTCTCTGATGATTAGTGACTTTGAGCATCTTTTCATATGTCTATTGGCCATTTGTATGTCCTCTTTAGAGAAGGGTCTCCTCAGGTCCTTTGCCCATTTTTTTTTTTTTAGGCTTTAAAGCTTTTATTTGCACATTTTAAAAATTGTGCATTCCAATAATTAAAATCATTTGAACAAAAACAATGGCACTCCAATTAAACTGCATTTTACAATGTGCAGGACACCTTGGAACAGCTTGGTTTTTACTCTGGATTTCATTGTTCCCACCCAGCTGCTTCTTTCACCAACATGCAAGTTCTTTTTGTTCCCTGCCAGGCAGAGGCAAATGGGAGATTGGATTATTTCTTTTGGTGTTGAGTTGTGTAAGTTCTTTATGTATTTTGGATATTAACCTCTTATCAGATGTATCATTGACAAATATGTTCTCCCATTCAATGGGTTGTCTTTTCATTTTGTTGATGGTTTCCTTTGCTGTGCAAAACCTTTTTAGTTTGATGTAGTCCATTTGTTTATTTTTTTTTCTTTGTTTCTTTTGCCTGAGGAGATGTAACAGGAAAAATATTGCTATGAGAAATGTCCGAGATTTTACTGCCTATGTTTTCTTACAGGATTTTTACAGTTTCATGTCTTACATTTTAGGCTTTCATCCATTTTGAGTTTATTCTCGTTTATGGTATAAGAAGTTAGTCTAGTTTCATTTTTTTGCACATATCTGTCCAATTTTACCACCATTATTTATTGAATAGACTATCTTTACCCCACTGTATGGTTACCTCCTTTGTCAAATATTAATTGACCACAAAGGCATGGGTTTATTTCTGGGCTCTCTATTCTGTTCCATTGATCTATGTCTGTTTTTATGCCAGTACCATGCTGTTTTGATTACTATGTCCTTGTAATATAGTTTGGTATCAGGTAGCATGATTCCTCCAACTTGGTTCTTTCTCAAGATTGCTGTGGCTACTCAGGATCTTTTGTGGTTCCATATAAATTTTTGGAATATTTCTTCTAGTTCTGTGAACTATGCCATTGGTATCTTGATAGAATTGCATTGAATCTAGATTGCTTTGGGTAGTATGGACATTTTAACGATGTTTGGTCTTCCCATCCATGAACATGAACACAGTATTTGCCTCCAATTATTTGTATGTCCTTTGATTTCTTTGACATCTTATAATTTTCCAAGTATAGGTCTTTTACATCCTTGGTTAAGTTTATTCATAGGTTTTGTTTTTTGATGCAACTGTAAATGGAGTTGTTTTTCTTAAGTTTTCCTTTCTGATGTTCATTATTGGTATATTAAAATGCAACTGATTTCTGGGTATTTATTTTGTATCCTGCTACTTTACTGAGTTCATTTATCAGTTCTAGTAGTTTTTTTATGGAATCTTTAGGGTTCTCTATATACAATATCATGTGGTCTGCAGAGAATTCTTAGTATTGCATGTACTTTTCTGAAGATAAAAAAGTGGATAGATGAACACTCACATACACACCATCTCCGTATTATGTGGGCAATGTCACAGGGACCCCCTTGGAACCTGGGATACCGCAGTCTTTTCCAGTTGTTTGCTTTCCCTTGTTATCAATTTGTGAAAACAGAATGCAGGATTTCATAAACTGACATTAAAGCTGAAGGTCCGTGGGACCCAGACAACCTAACCCTCTCTTTTAGCAAGTGCAGTTTAGGAGCCCAGGAAGGGCAGTGCTTTACCCAAGTTCACAAGGCACTTTATTGGCAGAACTGGGAGCAGGCTTCAGATCTCAATTCCCAGTCCATCCCTTTCTATTATATCACCGGGGATGAGTCAAGCTTATCTCTTAAACAGGAGGCAGCTGGGTTCTGTCACCTTGAAGCTCTTGTGTCACTGACCTAGTTGATTTCTCACCAGGGTGACTGAGCTTTGTTTCTCATGATTAATCTGCCCTGAGACAAGTGGAAATTGCGCATAATGCTTTGTCCTGGTGAGAGGGGTGGGAGAGATTTCAATTGCTAGAACCTCAGTTACAAAACAATTACGAGCTTCACTTGACCTTCTACAGTGAGGCCCTGGGGGAAATGGAATTTCCTAGGATCCAGTGGCAGTGAAATCAAATGGGATGCAAGTCTCCTGGCTCTAGATTGAAGTCTCCCTCCCTGAGACAAACTACTTTAAATAGGCTGACAAACCTGAGCTATTCCTAAGTTTCTACATTTATTAGTTTTGAGGACTCAGGTGAGTTATTTTAATCTCATTAAACCAGTTTTCTAATATGTAAGTGGGGATAATTCACTTTTAGAAGTTTAAGATGGAGATAATGCATATAATAGGTTAGCAAGTGCTCAGAAAATGTTAGATTATCTTCCCTTCTAAACTTCTTCACAATACTTTTTTGAAAGATTTTTCTCCCTCGCTGAGGTATAGTTATATATAGTGAAACAGGTTTTAAGTGTATATTTGATCAGTCTTGAGAATGCAGCCACCCATGAAACCTATATACTTCTGTCAAAATATATTTGTCACCCCAGAAAGTTCCCTTACATTCTTTTAGTTTTCCCCAGAAGCAACCACTGATTTCACTTTCCAAATTAGTTTTGCCTGTACTATATGTAAGTATCATACAGTATGTACCCTTTTGTGTATAACTGCATTAATTTACCCTAGTTTTATCTGTGTTGTTGCATGTATCAGTAGTTCACTCCTTCAGCATACTTTGTTTTAAATATCTCAGTCAAGGATAAACTACACCTAGTACTGCTGTAAAGACAAGGGGAATAGGCAGGAGAGAAGAGAGGGAAAGTCAATGGATTAGGAATCAGGATAGCTGGTTTTGGCACTATCAATACATAACCTTTGGGATAATCTGTTTTGGTCTTCATTTTACAGATGAGCTAACTGGTCTAGGAAGGAAAGAGACTTGTCCAATGTCACGCAGTTAACCAGTGACAGCCAGGGATAGCTCCAGGTCACTGAATTTCTTGTTCACTGCCCATTACTGAAACTTTTTCTGAAATAGATTTTTATGTACATCAGTAATTTTCAAGAAGGACCTGGGGTCAAATGGTGAGTTTTACTAGTTACAGCCAGTAGATTCCTCAGCCTCATGTGTTAGTCCCTTTCCTCTGGCTGAGGGTGGCTATTTCCCCACCATAGAGCTGGAAATTGCCAGCTGTGGATTCTGAAAGAGTATGTTTTAGTTGGAGGGAAAGAAATTAAATCTGGATATTTTGGCCATTTAGACACTGTAGCAATGCTGAGATCCCTGGTTCTCACTGTTTCTAGGATGTAAAGCGTACTTACGGAAGGAGACCTCTCTGAGCATGCACTGGGCACGTCTAAAACTAGACCTGCTGGAAAGGCACTGAAGATGGAGGTGGCCAGTGTGCCTTGTGCTTGTTTCATATGTACTTTGATCTCTTCATGCCATTTTTATCTTCAAATGTCTGATCTCCCTGGAGAATCTGAAATGATTCATTTAGTTTTTATAAACCCCCAGAATAACTTTCATTCTCTGACATTTCACGTTTAGGGAATCAGCTCATCATTTAGACAAAATACCCAAGCTCTGAAGAATGAAAGCTTTTCAGAAGAAAGAATTCTTCCCATTTCCTCTACCTGCCAGAAGTCCCTGCTGGTGCAGAGCAGGGGGCCCTGGCATTCAGTACAGCAGGAAAGGATAAGGTTTCAACCTGGATTTGCTCCAACTCTCTTTGGATTTCTAAAGTCAGCAGTCCAGGACCTAGTCTGGCAACTTTACCTGAGGGAGAGTATGAGCGGTATTTTATTACTCATCTAGTAAAACACATTACAGTGCACCTTTGCACTGAACACAGGCCAAGTCCCTAGCTAAGGACCTTGTGAAGAAGAGTCAAATCATGAGTCTGCTCTACGCATAGCCAAAGGGGAACAGCCAGCCAAGTATGCCTGACACCATGCCTCTCTGCAGAGGTAGGTATAGATTATATAGGAACAGGCATGGGCCACCTTAAATTCCAGCTGCATAGCTGTGAGCTGTAGGCAAAAATATAAAATCTAAAACACTGTAGGCAACCTACACTAGTTAATTTCCTTTTTGTAAATCACTAAAAAAAAAAAATACTATTTAAATAGTAAATATGGTTACTTACTGTATTGTGCATCGTACTAGGCACCACATGCTTGTGAGAGAGGACAGCAAAGGCTTTAGAACAAGACACACCTGGGAGTCTTAATCCTCAGTCTGACCTCTATTTCCTCCACTGTAAAGGTGAATAATGGAGTGTTGTGAGAGACTAAATGATGTAACTCAGGATAGTGACTAGTACACAAGAACAATGACAATAATAGCCAGCACTTAGTGACTACTTACTAAGTGCCAGATACAGTTTCTAAGCTCTTTACGGTAACTCCTCACTTAACATCATCAATAGGTTCTCTGGCTTTAAGCAAAACTATGCATAATGAAACCAATTTTACTATATAAGCTAATTGATATATAGAGTTAAGTTCCTACCTCACTTCTCATCATTATAAAATGACATTGAAAGAAATTATTCAAAGGCCTACTGTAACAATACAAACTCATTCTACAACCCTATGAGGAAAGTCTACATTTTTTTATTAGTTGTGAGGCTAATATGAAAGGCATTATAACTGCATTTTTACAAAAGAAAAAACAGAGCCTGAGATGTTAAGTAATTTGCCCAACTAGTAATCACCCAACTAGTAAGTGGCATTGTGGGATTTGAAAGCATATCACAGGGATGAGAGAACAGACTCTGGAACCAGACAGCCTGGGTCATATGCTCCATAAATACTACCTAATAGTTCAATAAATGCTAACAATTTTTTATTATATATTACCTAATGTAATTCCTTTAGTATTCCTATTAAGTCGGATTCATCTCCATTTACTTGAGGAAAGAGGCTTGAGTGGCAATAGAGCAAGATTTGCCCAAATACACCCTGTTCCCCACCCAGCATTAGCTCCGTTAGAGCTGGAACCCTCCAAAACTTGCTACCTCCACATGGCTGGTTTGGAGCTCATTTCACCCATTCTCTCTGCTAGAACCTCCCCTTATTGATGGAATGATGATCACACTGTGACCATTTATTCAATATTATAAACAGTGCTACAATGAACATAATAGTATATTCATCCTGTAAAAAAATACAGGGTCTTGCAGAAATAACACTTGAGTGTGGTTGGTAGGGTAATAATGTGGATGTAGTAATTTATAGTTTTAACCTGAACATTTTACCTAAAATGTCATATAGCATGTTTGAGTGTGATATTGTTACAGAATTACACACGATTTTTTAATAAAAGATTTTGTATTAAAAAAGGGGTGTTATTTGTGCTGGACCCTATATTTAAGAGGATTCCTACTAGAGGAATTGCCGTTTAAATATTTAAAATATTTATAGATCCCACCAAGTTGCCCTCCAAAAGCTTTACTTAGAACCTTTCAACAGTGTGGATGTCTGTTTCTCTCTATCCCTGCCAATATTGGTCATTATAAATACTTTGATTTTTGTCAAGAGGATCAGCTGATTAACCTGTTTTTTAAATCTGCATTTATCTTACTATCAGTGCAGAATATATTTACATTTTCCTGTTTCGGGGGTATATTTAACTTTGTTCACTTTTCAATTGGGCTGTTTTTTTTCTAACTGAATTCTAGGTACTTTTTATTTGCTGCAAACGGTAATCCTTCCTGTTACATATGTTATAGACAGGTAATATCTACTTTGTCTTTAAAAGTTCAACTCAAGCCTTGACTGGCATGGCTCAGTTGGTAGAGCATCATCTCTAAGTGAAAGATCCCTGGTTTGATTCCTGATAATGGCACATGCCTGGGTTGCAAGCCACTCCCCAGTTGAGGCGTGTGCGAGAGCAACCACTTGATGTCTCTCCCTCTTTATCCTCCCCTTCCCCTCTCTCTAAAAATAAAGGTTCAACTCAATTAAATCCCTTCTCTTTAAGATTCTTGCTGAAAGCTCCAGTCCACACTACTCTGAGGACCCACAGCACTGAGCTCACAGGTTCAGCTTTACACATGTGCTCATATACTCAGTCAGCCCCTTCAGCTTAAAGGCTGAACTAGATTTTATTTTTCTTTCAACTAAGATTCCTCATATCTTTATTCCTCCTATCTCTTCTTTTCTCTTTCTCTCCACCCCAAATACCAACACAAAGGTGGTGTTAGGGCCTACTATACCTCCAATTTGTGCTTCTAATTTATATATAAAAAATGAGATGTATGTAATACACACATAAACACACACACAAGAATTATTAGTGCTGATGACTTTGCACATGTCCCTTTGCAGTCCGGCTTCTATGACAGGGGCCACTCTCCCAACTCCCCACTCCCAATGCCTTACATGGCTAGGCAAAAATAGAATAATGTAATTCCATGGAAGCAAAATGAGAAATGGTGGCAACTTAAGCCAGAGAACACAACCACCTAAAAGAGAAACCTTATTCTGCTCTAGCAAATAGTTGTCAAGTAGCAATATCAACTCCATGTTGACAGCTTCTCTATCTTTCAAAAGTGAAAATCTGTATTTTATGCTAAATGTACTTTTTAAGTATCAATCTAACATTTGTGTGTTGGGAGTGTGATGAGGTCAAAGTCTGTATCTGTTCGTTCAACGGACTCTGGCATATGGGAGCCACTCAATGTTTTGTTTTCACATTTGCTTAATGATACAATGAAATATCCAGGACGACTTATGAAAGATGAAGTCATTTATATCATTGTCAGGGTTTAGTTGTTCCAGTGTGGTTTTATTTCTGTCTCTGACTACGCTAAACCACATGAAGGCAGAGATCACATTATTTATCACATCAGTTTTCAATAGTGTCTGGCACTAGAGAAGGTCTGAGAAAAACTTGCTGTTGTTGAACCAATGACTGAATAAATGAAGACCTGATTAGGTAACTAATTTACCTTTAGATTGTGAATTTACTTCTGAAATTCAACATCCATGTAATCAGCTCAGTATGTGGCACACTGACCCAAGGTGTACAGTAGAAGAGCATGCCTTAACCCCACTCTTTGTATTACATTGCAAATACTGGTCAATATTTAATATTCGTGGAACAAGATGAGAGGATGTGTGGGTCTCACCAGGAAAATATGACAGCTCCTTCTTTATGACACCCATGTCTAAACCCATGGCTTTCTGGCTCTCAAACCCAATTCCAGTGACCATCCCTGAGTTTTATACCTCTTGGCCCACATTTCCACTGTTTAGGATTTCTCTTGTCCATGATTTCTCTGGGTGCTAGTTTCTGCAGGCCATCCTCTGGGGATAGATTTGGGGTCTCAACTGTGGACACTGCCTTGTTCTTTCCTCCTCTGCAGCTCCTCCCGCCGCCTTGCCTGTTGTTCACTCATGCAGTCCCTGAAGGCCTGCACCTGTGGCTGGCACTGTCGCCAGTCCTGGTGCTGGGCCATGCACTCCTGCACTGCATAGTGGGAAGCAGCACAACCAGAGCGGGAGATCAGCTGGTCCAGTGGGTCCTCCTCCTCACCCTCCTTCTTCACCTGTGGGGTCCAGGCATGGCCTTGAGCTGACATCTTTGGGAGTCTCTAGACATCAATGGAAGCAAGGTCAGAACAGGAGCATGATTACATATGGGGTTCCTCTATTATAAATAACACTGACCCTTGCACTATTATAGCCAATTTATGCATATGTCTCTGGAGACTAAGCTATTTGAGAATAGATAATGGGCCTCATTCAACTTGGTGTCTTCAGCACTAGGCCTGGCAGACAGCAAGCCTACAGATGGTCTGAACTAAAAGAAATGAGATAAGGTATTTGAGAATCCTTAGAACAACACTAAATAAACTCAAATGGATTCTGCTATTGAAATTCGAATTAAGTGAAATGTCACCTTTCTAAGGAAGCTATCTCTGATTCACATGCAAAGAATTAATCTCATCCTGGCTGGGTGGCCTGGTGAGAATGTTGTCCCATACACCAAAAGGCTGCAGGTTCAATTCCCAGTCAGGGTGCATATGGAAGGCAATCAATTGATGTTTGTCTCTCTCCCCTCCTTCCTTTCTGTAGAAGCAATGAACATATCTTTGGGTGAGGATTAAAAAACTAAAAAAAAGAAAGAATCTCTCTTTTCTAATATTGACCTTATTCTATGGCTGGAGAACAAAGTTTAACACTTGGGCTAGAACCCAAGAATGGGTACAGTTTGACATATGGGAGGAACAGAGAGAGTTGTGTGGCTGTAACATATAGCATGTTGTGGCCAGGCAAGAGATGAGTCTGTGAGGTAATTGAGAGTACTTAATGTGAGGTGTATTTGCCCAAACTTCTTCCCAAGATCATCTGCTTTAGAACACTGAACAGAAGGTAACACACAGAAGGAACTTAAGAAAGGCTTTAAGAGAAATGATCTCACCCTTTGTACAAATTTCACCATGAGAGACTGTGAAGGAACTAGAACTCCTCAATGCCTTTCCTGTGTCTCTTATTCGACAAATGATCACTGAGTACCTATCATATAACAGACACTGTGCTAGAGTTGAGGATACAGAAGTGACCAGGAGAGTACAGTTCCTGCCTTCATAGACTTTACAATTCAGACAAATAAACAGGCAGCTTACTATACACTGTGTACAGATAGCTCAGATTGCGAACCCAGTGGAGCGATAGCTAATGCTGACAAGGGTAGAAAAAGGCATGGAAGCTTTCCTGGAGGAAGTGATTTCTAAACTGACTCTTCAAGTATGAATATGAGTTAGTCAGAGATAGAAAGGAAGATTATCTCCGTCAATGGAAGAGGGGACAGGTTGGCAGGGGGGTTATTGAAACGGAATTTGACACAGAGCAACGGCAAATTTTGTATGACTGGAGAATAAAATATCAGAAAGAAACAAATGAAACTGGCAAGATGAGACAGTATCTGATTGCAGCCAGGCCTTGTTAGCCGTGTTAAGGTGTTTAGAGGGCAATGAATGGGAAGGCGACAAAAAGGATTTAAACACTCCATTGCCCTGCATTAACTCATTTGCTTTGGGGACAGTATAACCGGAGGAAGGGGAAAATGGGCTTTGAAACAAACTTGTGTTGGCAACTAGCTTTGTCACTGACATATTGGGTGACTTTGAGCAAATCACTTCATCATCGCTTTTGAAGAACAGAGATAATATATACCCCACAGGATTGTTAAAGACTAAATGAGATAATGTATCTGAGGAGCCTGGCACGTCCAAAGAGTTCAATAAATGATAGTTTCTATTACTGTGCATGTTTCCTCTTCCTGAATACAGTGTGAGCTCTCTAAAAGCAAGGTGCAAACCTTAGAGCAAGCACAGGAGAAATCAAAGTGCCTTAAATTGTAAGCCAAGAAATCCGGGTTTGAATGCTGGCACACGCTTTACCCTGCAATCTTTTTCAGTGTCCTCCTTGAGGTATTTAACTCGCAGAATTACTGTAAGGTTTAGCATAATGATGCCAAATGCCTGGGCTACAACAGGACTCAGTAAATGCTATCGTACTCTTTTCCCCCACTACATACCAGCTTCAGCCTCCTTTGGAGTAAAAAGAGGAAGACCCTTACTCAGAGATCACGGCAAGCTAGATGGCCGGCAGCTGGAACTGGAGGCCGGCCTGGACTAAGAAGGCAAGGAAAGAATGGGAAAGCAGAGAAATCCAGGTGGCCAAGTCACCTAAGTCTCCTCTCCCACCCTCAGGAGAGGGCGCAGGCGCGCCCCCGTCGTGCTCGTTACGCTTCACCGAGCAGGGACACGGCACCCAGTGCTCACCGAAGAGGCAGACAAGAGGACCCGAACGCGCCCTCCCGCACGTCGGTGTCGCAAGCTGTTGATAATCTTCCGAAATTCCTGCCAAGTACCAGCCTCTGTGAGGACGACGCGCGGAAAGCGACTAGAGGGGAATGAAGAGTTACGGACCCAGCGTGCATTTTCATTGGTGGCCTCTCGGTGTAGATCCCGCCCTTCGTACTCGCCGCAGCCCTTTCCGAGAACCCATATCCGGGAAAGAGCGGAAGAGGCAGGCTGGTGAGGTGGGGTCAAGATGGCGACGCCTTTGAGGATTCAGAGCGACTGGGCTCAAGCCCTCAGGTGAATCCAGACCTAGAACCAGGACAGAGGAGGCGGGTAGTGGATGTTGCCTTTCTGTTGAGAGTCATGCCCAATCCAGGATATCCATAGGGGTTACTCATCAATTGTTGAGCGAGCACTGGGTCTAGAAAAAGAAGTCTGAAACCCACATGGTCACTGTTTTTTTATTCTTATAAGGGCTATCCTGAGGCTAAGGGAACATATAAGCGCCGTGTGATCGCAGCATCACAACTAGGATCAAAGTGTTGGAGAGAAACAAGAAAACTGGGAGACAGGAGTCCGAGTAGTTATAGTCATTTAGCAGGTATTTATTGGTCGTCAGCTATTTACCGAAGTCCCAGTACTCACCACCACCACACTGATTTTGAGTGTGTTTGTCTTTTATACCATGCTATTCATTAAACCACGTAGCGTTTACCATGTCCAGACTCTGACCTAGATAGATACTCGGCGCTCTTTAGACGCAGTTCAGATGTGTACTCTAAACAGAAGGGGCGGTTCCTGCCCTTAAGCTGACAGTTTAATTGGGACTGCACAGCAAACAATTCATTTATTTAACATTTATTTATTTGGGCACCAGGGTGAGTACAGCAGTGCCATGGATAGAAAGTAGAAACTATTATTACCAATAAGGATTTTTCTAAATGAAACAGTGGTAAAGATGAATAACACATTTTTGCACTTAATAAACTTACACTTTACTAAGTGGGCTAAAATAAAATAACACATTACTTACTACGACACAGAATGTGTAATAAGCAATAAAGGAAGAACACATTTATTGAGGGCCACCAGGTGCCTATGAGAGAATGCAGGATCAGAATCAGAGGAAGTAACTTGTGCAAGATTGTGCAGCAAACAAGTGATAGAGAGTTGCCAGCAACCTAAAAGCCTAGGCCCTTTCTTCTATACTCTAAGAGTGTTAGGGTGATGAGATACTGATTTGAATGATTGGGGAAGTTCATTCTAAAACAGGAAAAAAGTCTGTAAGGTGGTAGAACACAGACCTTACATACTAGTTCCACGTTTCAATTCCTGCTTCATAGCTAAGTAACCCTGGGCAAGTCATTTCTCTTTGAGCTCCAGTTTTATTTTTTATCTTTAACATGGATATAATAAAAGATACCCTGTTAAATTGTTTGGAGGATTAATGATGCTATATGCAAAGTGCCTAGCACAGGGCCTGGCTTACAATAATCCCAAAAATATAATCTTGATTTTTAAAAGCTGCACAGCTGTTAATAAATAGTGAACTGATTTAATTGAGCTTCATTTCATCAACAGATACATACATTAAACAGTTAATCCACAAATATTTCAACAAAACGTTTGTCTTAAAATAATTTATGCCTGAGTGAGATGTTACTCTAGATTATATTTAAGCACTATGGCCAAAGTGGAAATTATATAATCTTCTTTCTCCACTTGTATCAGTGGCATCCTTTTCAGTGCTGAGTGAGCCTAATTAGGCTTTGTCTCTCTTCATAGGAAGGATGAAGGGGAGGCCTGGCTGAGCTGTCACCCCCCAGGTAACGTCCTTAAATCTATACTCATTCCCTTTAGAGAAGGAGGATTTACTATCCCTACTTTCTCCTGGCCCAAATTCCTTGCACAGTGCTCATAGTCCTCAAACCTTCTTGACCAGTCTGTACTGTACTGACATCACCCCAACTCCTCCATTCTAGGGGAAGGCCTTCAGATTAGTTTTCCGTTTGGAAACCATAAACTTTTTTTCATGGAGACATTGCTGATGTGTCTTAAACAGTCTCTTAGCCATATATTGTATTTTTAGCAGTTCTGTAGTTTCATGTGTGACCTTCCTGATGATTCCTATATCTATAGCTCTAGCCCTGACCTCTCTTTAATTCCAAGCAATTGTATGCTAGCTGTTTCTGCTTGATGCTCTCGTTGTCATCTTGGTTTATCACATCTAAAATCAAGCTGAGCACTACTGTCACCAAACAGGTGCTCTTTCTTAATTTTCTCATTTCTTAAGTTACTATCATTCTAGGCATCAGAGTATAAAACTTAGACATTTCACCCTGCCGTATCCAGAGCACCCAAGTCTTACCAATTTTTCCTTGGAATGACACTCCTTTGTTATTCCCATTTATTCATTTGCAGTTAGGGTGGTAACACTAAAAAAAAACCAGCAGCAACAAAAACACCCCTAAATTTGTGAGAACATTTTGTTTCACTGATTATTTTTTATTTCAGATACCTTTGATGGTTTTATATAATAATATATTCTAGTTTTATGAGAACTAATTTTAAACAGTTTTGAGGAAATTGGTGCTGCATAGAAGAAGAGAGAATGGTAGCTAGAGGGCTCATAGTCAAGAGCTTTGTTTTGTTTTTAAAGTTGGGAACTAATTGGAGAGCAATTAAAGTACAGGTTTTAGGTAGAGGAGAGAAAAACTAACTAAAAAACCAATGTCTTAGAGGACAGAAAAGGAGACTGAATTAAGTTTAAAAGACAAAGATGAAAGTAGGTGAAGTTAAGTGCAGATACAGATAAATACATAGGCATGGGCATGGAAATTTGAGAGTATCTTACAGTCTTAAGTTTTCTTTGTGATGTTGGAGGTGGGGTCAGCTCTTAAGGAAGAAGATTTGGGGTTTTTTAAAATAACAGTTTTATTGAATTAAAATGTGTGCTATCTATGTGCTGGATGTGTTGCATACATTATTTCTTAACTACCCTTACAAGGTAGGTACTATTAGTATTTTAATTCTTTTATAACAACTTTATTGAGATATAATTTACATACCATAAACTTGACCTTTTTGAAGTGTAAATTCAGCCCTGGCTGGTGTGCCTCAGTGGATTGAGTGCTGGTCTAGGAACTAAAGGGTCACTGGTTCAATTCCCAGTCAGGACACATGCTTGCGTTACGGGCTGGGTCCCCATTTGAGGGCATTTGAGAGACAACCACACATCCATGTTTCTCTTTCTCTCTTTCTGCCTCCCTTCCACTCTCTCTAAAAATGAATAAATAGAATCTTTAAAAAAAAATGTAAATTCAGTGAATTTTAGTATATTCACAGAGTTGTGTGCCTGTCACCTGTATCCAATTTCAGAATATTTTCATCATCCCTAAAAGAAATCCTATACCCTTTTAATAGTCACTTCCCATTTCCCTCTTCTTCTAACCACTGATTGACCTCCTGTCTCTGGATTTGTCTATTATGGACATTTCATGTAAATGGAATTATATGGCCTTCTGTGTCTGTCTGACTTGCATTCAGCATAACATTTAAGGTTCACCTATTTTGTAGCATTCATTCCTTTTTGTGGCCAAGTAATACTGTATGAATATACCACATTTTTATTCATTCATCAGTTGATGGACTTTTGAGTTGTTTCCACTTCCTGGCTATTATAAAGGAAGAAGGTTTTGATGGCAGTATAGGTGGCATGAGAATTGGCCGCTATGGGGAATAGAAAGGGCAAAAGGACTGTAGAACTGCAGAGTTTGAGAACATGAATTGTGGTGTCGATCTGCATAATTGCGTGCTTTTCTGTAGCAGCACTCAGCAGCCTAAATATAGAAATCTGGCAGGTGAGTAGTTTGATTAATTCTAATTCTGTTATATAGACCAAAAAAAAAAGCCAAGACAGATAATTTCATTGACTTTACAAATGTAGAGAGGTCATTGAGGGTGCCAATAGGAGATAGGCTGAAATGTGTATCCTGAGGGCCAGACTTCATAGTGCGAAGCCAGGAGGGATTCATGGAATGGGACAAAAAGCAGAATTTCTCAATCTGTTTTTGTCACATCTTTCTTAACTAGCATTTCATGCCACTTCCTTGCCAAAGGCTTCTTCACTGGGTCCTCTCCAGTTCAAACTTCTACCCTAGATTGTGAGTTCCTCAGTCAATGTCCTTCAACTGCCATTTCCATGACTGTTGTAACCAAACTGGTATATTAATTGGTGCCTCCCTTCTCCTTGTTCTTTCTGACTTTCTTTTGTTCCTGACGTGACCCCTCCTTTATCTGCTGCCTGGTCTGTCCTTTTTTTTTTTTTTTTTAAAGATTTTATTTATTTTTAAAGAGAGAGGAAGGGATAGAGAAAGAGAGGGAGAGAAGCATCAGTGTGTCGTCATTTCTGGTGTGCCCCCAACTGGAGACCTGGCCCACAACCCAGGCATGTGCCCTGACCAGGAATCAAACCAGCGACCCTTTGGTTTGCAGGCCAGCACTCAATCCACTGAGCTACACCAGCCAGGGCTCCATCCTTTCTTTGAAGGTCCCACCCTTTCTAGGAATCCCTCCTACTCTGAATCCATAATGGTTTTTACTTCCTTCTTACTCCTTGAATTTCAGTTTGGTGCCAACAGTTATTTGCTGAATAATTTATAGCAACCTGCTAATTTCTGAACTCTAGGGCTTCACAGGCATGGTAGGTCAGAAATGTACACAGCATGTTATGGGCCGTTACAGAAGTGTATATATAGGGTGCTGAAGGGAATTAGAAGGGAATGTTTTTAACTCCATTCTACCCTTTGCATAGGTTTATATATAGGATAATATCTTATTTAGCCTATATGGTTCTACCTAAGTACATTTTCCAGATTAATAAAGCTTAACTCTCTCTAGTATGTATTGTACATATACGAGTATACTGTGGATAAATACATATATTCATGTTGATCGTCACCTTTCATCCTGGAAGAATTCCCTTTCACAGTCAGTAAAACTGAGGTTCAGGCCACTTTAGTATCTTTAAGTATCTACAAATGCTACATTGTATATGTAAATATTTGTTCTTAGTTTTTAACCCCTCAGTATATCCCCTAACAAATGAGGGTCACTTAGGCTAGTGTTCCTCACACTTAGCCTCATTTTTAACACCAATACCTGCTTTTCTTTCATGAACCAATTTCCTACCATCTATTCAGATACCAAAATCGAGTCTTCATGGAGAAAAAAATGTTAAATTATTATTTTTTGAGACACACTTCTTTTGTGCTATATAGGGAAACCAACTTTGTATGGCAGCCTAACCTGTCAAGGAATTGGCGTTGATGGCATCCCAGAGGTTACAGCTTCAGAAGGATTTATTGTGAAAGAAGTAAACAAGGTAGGTTTTTATGTCCTCTAGAACTGTGTCCATATATATGGTAATACCTATATATCCATTTTAAATACTTAGATTATTATGTGTGTATCAGTGTCTTCTCCAATTCATTTGTACACTAATCATAGTTTTCCCTGCCTTTGAATGTCAGTTTTTCTTTTGTAGTTATATATACTTTTAGATGCAATCAAACTTCCTCTTCCCTTATACCAGCGCTTTCCAACAGATAAACAATATGAGCCACGTTTATAACTTTAAATTTTCTAGTAGCTCCAAAAAGAAACAGTGAAATTAATTTTAATAATATATTTTATTTAACTTTCATCTATCATGCATATTGCAAATATTTTCCAGGAGCTCAATATCCTCAATTTATTTCCCATAAAGTTTCCCTTTGGGTTGGGGAAAAAAATATATTTTTTTTATTATATATCAGTATATTAAAAATTATATATAACATAAATATATAAATATATTTTACATATTTAAAATATTTCTAACTAATTAATAAAATTAATAATGAGATAATTTACATTTCTTTTTTCTTATTAAGTCTTTGAGATCCTATCTGTATTTTACACTAATAGCACATCTCCATTCAGACTCTAAGTTTTTTCATTGGAAATACTTTACATGTATTTAGGTTTTATAAAATTGAAGACATAGATCACATACTTAAAAATTCCCTAATAACTGAATCAAATATCAGTTTTTAAATTAAACTTTAAAGAAAATTAAAAATTTGGTTCCTCATTTGCACTGGCCATATTCTGAGTACTCAGTAACCTTATGTGGCTAGTACCTACTATATTGTACAGCATAGCACTATAATATGTCTGGCTGGACCTTGATGAAGATCTAGGCCTTCACCAAGTACTTAATAGTTTTTCTCACTGGTCTTCGAGGTGAGTGGATGACCAAGCTAAGTGTTGTAGAAGCTATGATCTAACTTTCCTTACTCATTCTGATGACTGCAATCAATATGCTATGGGGAGATGATTTCCAAAGGGTAAACTAGCCTTTTTTTCCTTATGTTATTAAACTTTTATAGCTGTAAAATATTGCTGGTATACTGACAAGAACAGAAAATACAGGGTCTGGCACAAATAATGCCCCTTTATTAGAAAACCATGAGCATGTAATTCTGTAACATAACAATATCACCCTCAAGCACACCACATGACATTTCAGATGAAATGTTCAAATTGCTGTCCATCTCATGTGAGACATTATGTACCCTACCAACAACACTCAAGCAAACCTTACTTCTGCTGGATTCTGTACTTTGTTTTTTACATGACATATTTAGCAAATATTCCTTCATTACCCTCTTTTGCAAGGTGATAGGCTACATGTTAACACCATATTTTGCCATGTAAAATGCACATTTTTTTTGTCCAAATTTTTGAGGGAAAGTAAGGATGTGCATTATACATAGGTAGTACTAATTCCATATCTATATAAATGTTTTTCATTCTTTTATTTATGCTTATGTGTTAAAAGTGTAACTCTAGAAAGCAATAACGATATGTGTATACAAAATAACACCCTGGAATATGATCATTGGTTTTGTTTCTAAACACAAATAAATAACTGAATTAAAGAATTGAAATGAAAAGATTTTTTTCCTGAAAGTTTGGGCCAAAAACGTGAGCATGCATTATACACAGCAAAACACGGTATATAGCTTATGTTGTTTTTTTTTTTCTTTTTAAAAGGTTTTATTTATTTATTTTCAGAGAGAAGGAAAGGGAAGGAGACAGAGAGGGAGACAAACATCAATGTGTGGTTGCTTCTCATGAGGCCCTACTAGGGACCTGGCCCGCAACCCAGGCATGTGTCCTGACTGTGAATCAAACCATGACCCTTTGGTTCGCAGGCTGGCACTCAATCCACTGAGCCACACCAGCCAGGCCTTATGTTGGGTTTTTTTATGAAAAGCTATGGAATTATAGGAAGTACAGAAGATCTGTGTCCAACTCCTAGTTAACTGTGACACTTACTAGTAATACGATTTTGGACAAAATCATAGACAACAGTATGGTGATTAACCAGAGGGAAAATGGGGGAGGTAGAAGGGGAGATAAATGGTGATGGAAGGAGACTTGACTTGGGGTGGTGAACATACACTTCAATATACAGATGATGTATTATAGAATGATACACCTGAAACCTACACAGTTTTATTAGCCAGTGTCACTCCAATAAATTCAGTTTTTTAAAAAAGGAAAAAAATATGATTTTGGACAAATGACTTAGTTCCCTGAGCCCAGTTTCCTCATCTATAAAACAGAGATAATATTCTACCTCATAGGCTGGTTAGTGGGGAATAAGACTGCATATGAATGAAACTAAAATATTATAAAAATGAGTTATTTGTTTATTATAGTAGTCTTTTCAGGTTGGCGTTTTAAATTTCCATTTTGCAGATAAGCAAATAGACTCTAAAAGGTTCATTCACCCCTAATGATCAAAGCGAGTTAGACTGAAGTTCGGTTAACTTCAGGTATAACACCACCTGGCAAGCCTACATTTTTCCCGGGTGTTTCACCGCTCTCCATCCATAGTCTGGGTGCTGACTTCCTTTCTTCCCTTCATACTCAGGCCCTGAAACAATTCTTACCTTCCAACATCATTGCTAATTTCTGCTGTGTACCTGCTGGGTCAGACAGTAAGTGCTTATGGTTGAGCATTCATTTGTTTCATAATTGCCATGAGTCACTTTGCTATTTGATGTTGCTACATTGTTCTTTTAAACAGATCTGTCAATATGCCTAAAAACCTAACCCTAGAAGATAAAAATTTCACTTTCAATTCTACTTTATTGTGGACTACTCACGCTCCCTCCTCCAACCCCCCAACCCTAAATTCTGTCTGTTTTGATATCTCCTGCGGCTTTTCTTTAAAATATTGTCATTAACAGCATGATGCTCTACTGCTGACCTTGGAAAGTATTCAACATTTATTTTCCTTCATAGTCTGTTTATGGATAAAAGTTAATTTACAAGATTGATAAGCAGGAGAAAATCACTGATGCTTGAAATCTTTCCCATAATTGGCCCCGAAGAAGTGAAGTCTTGTGAAAGTAAACCAATGCTGGCAGCAGCCTGAACACTAAGCCCTCAGAACCCCTTGCATCCTTGCTTGGTATGAATATTTAGCCAGGGGAGTTTAGCTGATGCTTTAGTTTTGGTATAGGAGACAATTCCAAATCCAGGTCAGCTCCCTGGCAGCTGTACGGGATTCATCATGCGGTTAGAAGCTAAAGCTCATTTAATGAAAGGCCTGCAGACAGCCAGGCATGGATATGCTGGCTCAGAAAGTACTGTTTGTACAGATATTCTGATTGTTTTTTTTTTTAAAGGAGTAGAAGACCTGTAATAAGAGTATATTGATTTTCAGTGATAAGAATATTATAACTTTGAAACTTTTGTAACAAACTATGAGGACTGTGCTTGTTGTTCATAGATTAGCCTTATAAAGAGGTTCAGAGTGATCTTGATTATTGAAGACATTATCATATATCCAGCAGAATTACCAGAAATTTGGAAGTACTGTTACGGAAGAGATAACAGATTAGGGGCCAATTCATGAGTGTAGCTCCTCAGCTCTGTAGGAGATACACACTGAGGTGACACTGTTGGTTTTCTGCCAGTTAAGAGTAAGGAATTGTCATAGCAAATCCTTGATGAAAGTTTGTTTACTAAGCCTTTTGTATCTACACGCATGCTACCTGGAAATACCAACATATTTACGTGGAATGGTTACAAAGGCCACCTTTAGCAAGTAATGTCACCTGAATCTAACATCTGGTTCTAGGTATAATTTCCTACTGTTGTCACTAGTGTTATCTTGCTGCAGTAGTTAGAAGATATGTGATAAGGCCTAGGCCAAACATGTGGGGAGTTGTAATACAGCTTTGACTGTGGCAGTGACCAGGCTGCGAACATGCACAGCCGGTTTAGTCCTAGGTGGGAATGGTCACCTCCAGGCTGACCAGGCCCTACGCATTGTAAGAATGTGCCATAATTTACCAGTGTTCTCTGGTAACTGTAGATATCAGTCTAACATTTTTTTCTGAAAGTTCTTAGAAGCAGTAAATTTACTTTTAGACTAGTCCTTTAGGCTCCAGACTTGAGGGCTGGTGCTGTTTCCTCACATCTGTTGACCCTGTTCCTTGCCCCACTGCTAATGAAGAGTTCTTCTAAAAAAATTAATGCTCTCATGTTTGTCAGTTATATCATATTGTTGGTTTGTCTTTTATGGGACAGTTTAACATAAAAAGATACTGGAATCTCAGTGATGCCAAATTATATTGCAGCCTCTGCAGTGAAAAGACTGCTAATCTGCAAGGGAGCGGTAGTTTTATAGGCTGGGGAAGGAGGGTTAGAGGATACACTTAAAAGATGAGAATTTCCTGTTATCATGATGTTTTCCATATGATGCTTTAATTCCATTGGAGTAGCTTTGCTGATGTATTTCATCTTTCCTTCTCTATTTAGAAAAGCATTCATGTTTCATGTCCAAAGGAAAATGCATCTTCGAAGTTTTTGGCACCATATACTACTTTTTCCAGAATTCATGCAAAGAGTGTAAGTATTTTGATAAAATACAGAGAAATGTAATAATATGTTAATTTTTCATTTCATCTACTTGTCTAGTGCTGTAAACCTCAATAATGAATAGCCGTTCATTTACTGTAATTATAACAGCTGATGAAGTGTGATAATGTTTGGCAAAGCTGGTACTTAGGACCATGTAGAAATATGTGCACACTTAGAGAAAGGAGCTTTGAAATGAAATTTTCTTACATGTTTTAGCAGAGCTCCTTCCTGGCTTTTGGATAATGATGGTAATAGCTGATGTTTGTCTGATTTGCCACTGCTCATGTTTTTGTCCCTTTGCGTACAGGGCCAGGACATTTTCTCGAAATTCCAAGTACAGCTTATTGAGGAATAATGTTCAAAGGTCTTTTTGAGAAAGCCCTTTCTACTACTTTGGGCTTTTGGAAGCAGAAGTGAGAAATAGGTGGATAAACTGGTTATTTTAAAGCCTCCATTTTTTATTGTGTGTACATTTTTAAAAATAGCTCTATTTCCCCTTACCGCAAAACAAATATATGGTTAGGGATGAAAATTTAGGAAACAAACAAAAGTGAGTCACTCATCTTTCTATGTCCTAAAGATAAACTTGCGAACTTTTTTATATAGCCTTTATTAATAATAGTAGTAATGGCTAACATTTATTGATTGCCGACTATGTTCCAGCATCATGCTATGCTTTATGTATCATAATTTTACTTTTTTCTTTTTTTGTTGGTTTTTTTTTTAAATTTTTATTGTCCATATACATTTGTCTCCGTTTTCCTGCCATTACTTTTCCCTGCCCCACCCTTAATCCTTCCCCACTCTGGCTTTGTCCACGGGTCCTTGGTACATGTTCCTTGATTTGACCCTTCCCCTTCTTTTCCCCATTATCCCCCTCCCTCCTTCCTTCTCCTTACTGTCAGTTTGTTTTTTCTTTCAATGTTGCTGGTTATATTTTTCTTGTTTGTTTGTTTTGTTGATTGGGTTCCACTTATAGGTGAGATCATATGGTATTTGTCTTTTACCGCCTGGTTTATTTCTCTTAGCATGATGCTCTCCACTTCCATCCATGCTGTCACTAAGGGTAGTAGTTCTTTCTGCTACATAGTATTCCACTGTGTAAATGTACCATAGTTTTTTGATCCATTCATTTATTAATAGGCACTTAGGTTGCTTCCAGCACTTGGCTATTGTAAATTGTGCTGCTATGAACATTGGGGCGTGTATCATTATTTTACTTGATCCTCCCTATCTTTTTTCTTTAAATATTTAACTAAAATAGATTTTCACAGTACTTGCTAATTTATAACTTGCTTTTTATTCTTTAAGAATGTATTATGACCCTGGTAGGTGTGGATTAGTTAGTTGGAGTGTTGTCTCATAAACCAAAGGGTGGCAGGTTCAGTTTGTGGTTGGGGTGCATGCCTAGGTTGTGGGTTCAGTCCCTGGTTGGGATGTGTATGGGAGGCAACTGATCAATGTTTCTCTCCCTTTCTCTCTCCTTTCCTTCTCCTCTTCCTAAAATCAATAAGGCGTGTTGGATGAGGATAAAAAAAATTTATGTAATTAAAAAAAATGTTATGTACATCATCCTATGTCATCTTTCTATGTATTCCTTTAAGAGCTACATAGTATTCCACTACATCATTTCATTATAATTTGTTTTTCCAGTCTTACATTATAGGTGTTCAAATATACCAATTTCATAAATTCTTATTTTGATGATAGAGCTAACCCTTTGCTCGTAAAGATAGGATGAAATTAGAATACATTGGTAAAAGTAGAGTTGCTGAGTCACAGGGAATGCAAATTATAAGGGTTTTGGTATGTTCTGACTGACTTCCACTTAACTGATCAATTCAGTTAACTTTTGCTCTGCATTTCCTCTGTAACATATACTGACTAATGTCCACAGCATAGTCACAGTCTATAAGCTCATCTTTGAGGTTTGCATACTTCTGACACTACTGGTTAAATTGAAGGAGTCAGTTGCAATATTAGTTACATTGTTCTTGAAATTATGTTAATTAATTAAATATGTTAAATTGATGAAATGTGAATGTGAAAAGGCAGAGAATGATTATGTCTGAAGACTAAGTTGATTGCTTTGTAAATACTTGGTAAAGAAGAGGTTTTTTTATTTATTTACTTGATTTTTAAACTGCTGTTACAGTGTGTGTAAGCAAGATACATGCAAATGTTAGGGAAAAGATTTAAAACAAAACAGAACAAAAAATCTCTAGCCCTGACCAGTGTGACTCGGTTGGTCGTCATCCAGCAAAGCAACATTTTGTTGCCAGTTTGATTCCCTGTCAGGGCATGCCTAGGTTGCAGGTTCAGTCCCCAGTTGGTGCACGTCCAGGAGGCAACCAATTGATATTTCTCTTTCAGATTGGTATTTCTCTCTTTCTTTCTCCCTCCCCCCCTGTCTAAAAATAAATAAAATAAATCTTTAAAAAATAACCCTAGATGAATTTTTGTTCTTAGATTGCTTTGTAAGTGTGAATAAAGACTTACCTTACTGCAAAGAAATTATAAATTGTAAATTGTGCCTTTTGGTTATAGTTTATTACAAGAAAGTCAAAATGAAGCTTCCTTGTAGTAATCAGTGGACTACTGAAAAGATACAGTGAATTTTAATGTACATTTGTACATTTGTGTTAATATAAAATGTAGGTATTAAGCATCATTTTTCATTATTTTCTATTTTAACTGAAATTGTTGATTAATTGACCTATCACTGGGCCCTTATCCATTTCCTTAAAAGGTTCCGACTGTATTATTGCTTTTCTACCATTCTGACTTAACATACTCTGCCAATATTGTGTATTAAAATTTTTAAGTTTTACATATTTGAGAGATGGTAGTTCATTTTATTTTAATTTGCATTCCTTTGATTAATCATGAATTGACCATTTTTTAATATATTTATTGGCCACTATTCATGTCATTTGCCATTTTTTTAATTGATTTTTGAGGGGCGGAAGGGAGGGTGGGAGAGAGGGAGAGAAAGAGAGAAAGAGAAACATTAGTTTGTTGTTGCACTTATTTATGCATTAATTGGTTGATTCTTGTATGTGACCTAACCAGGGATTGAACTTGCAGCCTTGATGTATTGATTCGGTACTCTGAGTTAATCAGCCAAGGCCTAAGTGTGAATTTTTTTCTTTATTAGTAAGAGCTTTTATAATAAGAGTATTGATCTTTTGCCGTATATTTTGCAGATTGTTTTTCTAGCTTATTGTTTATTATTGTTTGCTTATGGTGTCTTTTGACATATAGATATTTAATATTTCTAGATATTAAAACCTATTAATTTATTCCTCCATGGTAACTGCCTTTGGAATCTTGCTTAGGGTAGTCCATGATTTTGTATATGTAACTTATGTGAATATATAAAAAAATCACTTTTAATTGCATAACATAGTGGGTGAAAGCACTGACTCTAGAGACAAGCTCATTGGATTTGACTCCCATGGTTCAAATTTTGGTTCTGCCACTTAATTGTGTGACCTTAGGCCACATATTAACTCCATGTGCTTACCTATAATATGGGGGTGAAAATAATATTTATCTCTTAGGGTTTTTATGAGGATTAAAGCAGTTAGAATTGGGCCTGGAACATAGTAAGCACAATATAAGTGTTTGTTAATTAAAATTATAAATATAATGTTTTCTTTTCATTTTTATTTATTTTTTACATTTTAAACTTTGTTATTTGGTTTGAAGTAGGGAATCTAACTTAATTATTTTTGAAATGATTAGCATGTCACAGCACTATAAAATAATTCATCCTTTATCTCACTCGTTTGAATTGTCATCTTTCCCAATATTTTGGATTGTCCCATTGATCTGTCTTTTCTTATGCTGTGACTAAGGGATAGATCTTTAGCTTTGGACCCTGACCCAGGTTTCTGTCCTGGTTCTACAATGTCATGTTGGGGAAAGTACTTAATTACTTTTTTTTCCTTTTTTTTTTCTTAATTAATTAATTTATTTTTTCAAAAATATGGAACACTTCACGAATTTGCATGTCATCCTTGCACAGGGGCCATGCTAATCTTCTCTGTATCATTCCAATTTTAGTATATGTGCTGCCGAAGCGAGCACCTTAATTACTTTTTAAATCTCAAATTCCTCATTTGAAAAACATAGAATACCTATCTTATAGATTTTTGAAGAAATTATAGGAAGGTAGTGTCTGTTGCATGTCTGGAAAAAAAAAGCCTATTCAATAAATAGTTCCCTTTCCTTTTTCTTTAATAAAAGTTCAGAGGCAGGAAACAGCTGATATGAGCTATAATCTACTCACCAGTGTTTTGTCTCTTGGAAAGAAATGTATAATTTAGACTTAATTACTTTTTATGTCTAGGAACAAGGGCCCCCAAAATATGTAACACAGATAAATAACAGTATCCCTGTCACCTCCAGGGACAGTATATTAACTGGCAGGATGCAGTACAGTATATCAGAGCTTCTCAACCTTGGCAGCCTTGGCACTACTGACATTTTGAGCTGGATAATTTTTTATTGTGAAGGAGCTGTCTTAATGCACTGTAGTAGACTCTAGCCTTTTTGGGAAATTGGTGATGATAAGTCAACCTTTACACGAAACACACATCCTTGTATAAGGATACGTCTTGGAGGAGTGTGAAGCGGGAGTTCTATGACATATTTCAAGAGAAGATGAGCATTTTATTATTTGTAACACTGGTTATTTTGTCTTTTGAAACAGATAACGTGCCTGGACATTTCTAGTGGAGGAGGACTTGGTGTGTCTTCTAGTGCTGACGGGAGCATGAAAGTCTGGCAGGCTTCCAATGGAGAACTCAGAGTAAAGGCTTTGGATACACTTTTAGGGTCTTACACACAAAGGGTAGTCTAAGAAACCTCAGGCTGGGTCATGGAAAGAAGAGTGTCTTATTCTAAAAGTATAGTGTCACCACCCTTCAATCAATTTTTGTTCCATTTGTTAATCTTAGGACCATCTTTGAGCTTGGTGATTTGCCAGAACAAACTGGGGCTGCAACAGTGAAGGAGCCAGGACAGTGAATGTCTAAGTGGGTGATACCTTAGAATGAGCTGTTTTTAGTGAACAGTTCCTAAGACAGAGTGGCTAAGCCGTTATACTAATTATATGGTTTAGCCCCCCAGTGTGTATAGAGGATTTTAAGAAGAGGTAAATAAGAGTCCTCAAGCCTCCTCAGCTTCTTATATGTAGAACTAGTTTTAGGGATGGCTGTGAGAGCCACGGTGTTCAAATCCATGTCCATGGCCAAAGCCAAAAAGGGAGCCTACAGCTCTTAGAACTCTACCTGATAGACAGATGAACTAAAGAGATCCTTTGGACCTCCTTAGTTTTAAAACACAGCATGTGAGTATAGCATGTAGATATTTCACTTAAGGGATCAAGGATATGGGAGGTATGAGAATATCAAGGGATGGACAAGAGAACTAGCCTGGAATTTTCTTTTGTTTTTCCAGAGAGTATTGGAAGGACATGTGTTTGATGTGAATTGTTGCAGGTTTTTCCCATCAGGCCTTGTGGTTCTGAGTGGGGGAATGGATGCCCAGCTGAAGATCTGGTCAGCTGAAGATGCTAGCTGCGTGGTGACCTTCAAAGGTCATAAAGGAGGTATGAATGGTGACTTTTTTTCAAAAGGCTTCTATAATGCTTCCCAGAGACAAATCACTAAGAAAAATAGAAAGATAAGCTCTTTTTCTGCACAAATACAAATAATTCATCCAACTGGCCATTTAATGAGCTGCTGTTTCCCCAAGGATTAGGAATTCCTTTGCTATTCAGTCTAGTTATTGCTCTCTAGAACTAACTGCCTTACACAGATAGTTGTTTTCCACAGCTGATAAAGGGAAAAATTCTCCCCAGGAGATCATCTCCTTGTGTTCTGAAAAAAGGAGAGAGAGAGAGAGATGAGCCCACATTTTCTCATTATTAGTCCTTCGGCTGAGGCGATAGTAAAAGGTGGCACATGGCTGTGTCACTACACATCGAAAACAGAGCATAGTATCCACTGTTGTTTCCCATGGATTTAATTACAGTTCAGATTTTTAAAAATGGATAATCCATATGACCAATTGATAGCAGATGCAGAGACAGAGTAAGAACATAGTCTTTTTGTAAATGATTGGTTGATTTTTTAGAAAAATATATTAAATTTAGAGATGTTTTATCCTTAACTGAAACGATAAAACAGGTGATAAATAATGTTACTTTTATTTTACAAGTTTTGATGTTTTTAAAAATGTGATAACGTTCCCAAACAATTCCCTTAACTTGATCCCTCCTTTGGAACTATAATACAAATCATCTATATCATCCATTTGGGAGTTAATTATAATTAATTATATATTACCCTATACTTAGGACATTTAACCCAGTGTTTTTCCCTTGTGTACTTGACTATATTATAAATAACTTGTGTGTAAGGATTGAGTTTTAAATTTTAATATTTCTTTATAATGGTTTGTCAGATTACATAGAGATCGTCTAATAAACACATGTTAACCTCAGTAAATAAATGGTTTACTTCAAAAACTGCAAGTACACGGCTGCATGGAGATAGAATAGAAAGGTTGTTTGGAGCCTCATGCACATTTAGCCTGAAGAATGACAGGTCTAAGGAGTCAGGGCAGCCTGCATAGTCCAGGAGCTAAAGGAATCTAGAGGAGAACAGAGGGATTCACCTCTGACAGGCTGTCCTTCTGAATGTCTAAGGTACAGGGGAACTTCCCAGTGGAACCATGCATGACCATGCATGTTGATCTTGACAAAATACGTATTCAACATCAATGCACATTCACTCAGCTTAGGATACCTTTGGATTACTGCAGTTATCGAGTGTGCCCTGCACATGAATCCTAAGCTTCCCAACGTCCTTCAGTTCTCCTTAAGAGTACATGTGTGTCACTTAGTTTAGAGTGGATTACAGAATGTTAATATAATTTCAGCTTTTATTCATATAGTTTGTTCCATTCTTTTGGCCTTGTGAAAAAGTCCTGAGGTGGGGGTAGAAAAGGAAAACTTTATAGATGGCAGCTCTTCGGTGAGTGTTACTTGAAATCTGTGCACAGGTAGTACCATACACAGCTCTCTAGCCACAGTTACAGCATCCAGCCATGGGTACATACTTTTCCGAACTTAGTCTTTTTTCTAAAGCTTGCATCACTTCCATGGAACTCAATAACAGTTTAAATAGCAGTTGTAACTTTCCAGTGAGGATATAAACAGATCTTTGATTGCTTAATTAGAGTTGGAGGCCCTTCCTAATGTGTCTGCTGGTGATTTTGTAGGATTCTGAAAAGATATAAGATCCTTTTCTAGTTAGATTTATGCTGAATGTGTTATGGAAATAAAGTGAAAAGGTGGACTTTCTTTAACTCAGAATGCTTTACTATTATTAATACAAAATACCATACAATTAAGAAACATTAAATAGTAGCATAACATGTTGCTTCCTTAGATCTGTTTTTGAGAGGAAGACTATTTTTAAAACCTTGTGTATAGCGGCTTTTATCTAGTAGATATATAATTGCAAGTATTACATTTTCGAACTCCAGTCAGCTATATAATGTGGATTTAGTCTTTATTTTAAATTGAATATATTTGGAAGCTTACACTGTAATTAGGTCCCATCTGAGTTGCCTCTAATCATATTTTCTGAAACCAGCCCTAAACTGGCTACTTTTTCAATTTGTGGCATTTTCATAAATTAATCTTTTTCTGAAGAAGTCTTTCAAGGTGAAATTTCCAGTAAGAGTTGAGTCATGTGGTTACTTGCATGGGTCCTCCATCACCTATACCTTATGCTGAGTTGCTGTGGAGTTTTTTGTCAAAGTTTGTGTATCTGAAGTCATCTCATCTTAGGAGCAGTGGGAACAAGGCAAAGATCACTAATTGACTAAGTGACCTTTGGTCAGGTACTCAGTAGTCAATCTGCAAGTATTTACATGGGATCAGAAAATGGGTGTTAATAGAACAAGTGCCAGCCCTGCCTGTATCACCATAGGGTCGGCACTTCCTGCTCTCTACAGCCCAGTGTTATCACACACATGCCACTGTGTTATAACCGTCCATGACTATCTTTAACTTTTAATGCTGTGTGCTCCTAAGGCCAGGGACCATCGCACAACTCAGATAACAGGTAATAAAAGGACTTCAAAAATTATAAAATCTACCCTGATCAGTGTGGCTCAGTTGGTTGTGTATCGTCCTGTAAATAGAAAGCCACTGGTTCAAATCCCAGTCAGGGCACATGTCTGGGCTTCAGGTTCAGTCCCCTAGTCAAGGCATGTATGGAAGGCAGCCAGATCAGTGTTTCTCTCCCTTTCTTTCTCCCTCCCTTCCCCTCTCTTTAAAAAGGAATTATAATGTCTGTGGATATTTTGGACGTTATAGCACTCCAGATCTTATTTAATCTTTTTTTTTTTTTTTTTTTTTTTTTAGCAGGGGAGTCCCTATCGAGTTAGGGTACTGGGGCTTGGTAGATGTGTATGCTCAGCTTCCTGCTGGGCTGCTTTAACACTACTCTGGCAAAAATAGAACACTGTTCACAGTGCCTCTTTGTAAACAGGTGAGGTGGTAGCTCAGCTTCCCCTTGGCCCTTCTGGTGCCTTTCTGGTGAAAGCGGGCCACTGACAACTTGCACCACCTCCTTGCCTCCGTGTGGGCTTGTAAGCTCACTTCCCTGCTGATTGACACCAGGGTGGGTGGCTGGGGAAGGTGGAGTGCCATTTCCCACTACTTCATTCTACCTCTTTCCACCTGTCGCTGTCAGGTGGAGATAGAGGCTCCATTCACCTCTGGACCCTGCTGACAGTCCCCAGCTGGGTCTGGCCAGTGTCACTGGATCGGGGATTAGAGTGCTCCCTCCTGCTTCCTTGGGGTTGGGGTAGAAGATCATTCCCATTTCAGCCCCCCTGAAACTTCGGGTGAGGGAGAGGTAGTTGTGTTCCTGTTGCTGTTGGAGTGGGGTGGGTGTGGCCAAAGTTTTTCTGTTTTGATAGGTCACCTCTTTCCCAGTCTTTTGCCTGGGGCAACAGCGTTTTCTTGGAGTTTTTGGTGGCTGTTTTGTTTTTTTGTTTTTTTTTTAACTGTGCCTGGTTTTTTTTAATTGGTTCCACACTGGAGGCTTCTGCAGTGTTGTGCCCAGGATATATAGGAAGCAATAGGAAATCTATGGAACTCATTGCCCTTCAAGCCCTGAGGTCCATAGGTGGTCTGCCTCCTTCTTTCCATTTTTCAGTCTTCCTGTGCTTGTTTGTTGTGTTAAGTCCAGGTCTTTTTTAGTTGTAAGAAGGACCTGGGAGGAATGGGGCTACTTCATCTTGGCCAGACTAAAAGTCACATCTTTTTTTTTTAAGATGGGGAGACTAACCCTTTCAATTAGTTCTCAATGGAAACTACAGGATCTTTTTAAGACAGTGATTTTCATACGGAACTCTCTAAGATGACCACTTAATTTTTGCTTAAAAAACAGGTGTTTAAGCCAAAATAAAGTCTTAAAAACCACTGGTCTGGAATACTCTACTAAAAATTAAATCCAAAGCTTCTTTTTCCTTGTCTGTCTCTCACAGCTAGTTTTTGTTTGTTTGCTTGATTGTTTTTTACTTTAGATAGAGAGGGAGAGAAAAACATCAGTTTGCTGTTCCACCTACTTATGCACTCGTTCGTTGACTCCTGCATGTGCCCCAGCTGGGCATCGAACCTGTAACCTTGGCGCATTGTGACAACACTCCAACCAACCGAGCTACCCAGCCAGGGCTTTCATAGCTAGTCTTTGTACCATTAGGCAACAGGAACTCTGTTCTATGTGTTTGTTTTTCTAGCACTTGAACATTCCCAGCATGTAGATTATATCAGTACATGTTTGTAAAGGAATGGAGTCATTTATGCAGACCTGTCTTCTCTGCCCTTGTAGTTTCTTTACTGTCTGCTCCATCTTACAGTCCTTTTCTTTTTTCCTTTTGCCAGGTATCCTAGATACAGCCATTGTTGATCGGGGGAGGAATGTGGTATCTGGTTCTCGAGATGGAACAGCACGACTTTGGGATTGTGGGCGGTCAGCCTGCCTGGGAGTTATTGCAGACTGCGGTTCTTCCATCAATGGAGTGGCTGTGGGTGCTGCCGACAACTCCATCAACCTCGGGTCTCCTGAGCAGATGCCCAGTAAGTTGATAATGATATGTGAGCTTATTTTATTTTCCTAGACCCCTTCACTATTTGCTTTAGTTTCTCCATTTCTTCCTTGTCCTTTCTTGCTCTGTAGCTGGTATTTCTATTTTTACCATTAGATTAACATTTATTGCACTCCTGTTGTTTCTGTTGCTTTGGAATCTGCAAAGGAACTACATGTCATAGTTACTACATTTGAGTAATTACAATTTGATATCAGATAAGACTAATTCCTGTAAAACAGAACAATAAAGTTTTGGCTGAAATAGCTCAGTGACTCTTGGAAAAAGAGTGTTTTAAGTTAGGGTCAATGAGAAAGATGTCACAAAAGAAGTTGGCTTGAATCTGGAAAGATGGATTCCAGGTGAACAGACAAGAACAGGAAGGATGGGAGAATGGAGACTAGGGGAGGGTCAGCAGAGGCTCCGTGTTGCCTAGTCCAGTGTTACTTCTTTGTGCTTATCTTTCTAAATTCTCTACATTGTTCAACATAGCCAACTCTATTCTCAGGACACTTTTTCTTGGCTTCTGTGATACACTGTACTGCCTTTCTTCCTATCTCACTGGCTGCTGCTTCTTAGTCTCCTTTTATAAATTTCCTTTATTCTACCTTTAAAGTATTTTTTAAATTTATTGATTTTAGAGAGGGGGGGGGAGTAGAGGCGGGGGAAGAAACATCAATTTGTTGTTCCACTTATTTATGCAGCCTGTAGTTGTTTCTTATATGTGCCGTGACCAGAGATCAAACCCACGACCTTAGTATATCAGGATAACACCCTAACCAGCTGAGCCACCTGGCCAGGGCCTATTCTACCTCTAAAAATTGGAGGGCCCTCAGCTCTATCTACAGTTTCTCCCCAGGTGATCGATGGCTTTAAGTATTGTATGTAAAGTGGTGATTTCCAAAAGTATATCTGAAGTTTAGACCTGTCACCTGAGTTTTTGACTACGTTTAGAAGTGTAATAGCTCAAACCTACCTTGTCTAACAGGGAATTTTTTATCCCCGCCGCCAATCTGTTTTTCCCGATCTTTCCATTTGCTCAATCCCAAAGCCCAAGGTTCATTCACCATCCATCCACCCCTACTTTTCCTTATGTCCCACATCAGCAAAGTCTGTCATCTCTACCTTCAAAGTGTTTCTAATATTTCTACCTTACTTTCTCCCTCCCATTCTCCCTCCTGCCAGCATTCTGGTCCAATCTATCATCATCTATTCCTTGTACTATTCTCCTATAATCCATTGTGGTTATTTAAAAAACACAAGTCATGCCCTGGCTGGTGTGGCTCAGTTGGGTGTTGGCCTGTGAACCAAAGAGTGGCTGGTTCAATTTCCAGTCAGGGGCATATGCCTGGGTTGCCGGCCAGGTCCCTAGCTGGGGGCGTGTAAGAGGCAGCCGCACGTTGTTTTTCTCCCTCTCTTTCTCCCTCCCTTCTTCATTCTCTAAAAATAAATAAATAAAATCTTTTTTTTAAAAAAAGCAATGAAATATGGTAGTAACAAGTCACTGCCTTTAAAAAACACAAATCAAGTCATGTCATTGTTCTTTGTCTCTATTCTTTCCCAGTGGCCTCCTTTTATACACATATTAAAATCTTTACCTCTTACCATGCTAATCACAAACCTTTATGCATTCTGGCTCCTACATTCCTCTCTAGCCTCATGTTATATCACCCCCTGCCAGGCTCTCTGTATTCCAGCCATAGGCCTTGGGTTTGTTCTTCTACCACATACATTCTGCTGGCCAGTACTTTTCAAAACTCTTCATATAACTGTCATCTGTTTACTATTCAGGTCTCAGTTGAAAAGTGGCCTCCATGGAGCCTTTTTAAAGTTGAAATTTATATTCAAAGTTAACTTTCCCCCCAATCTTCCCACTGTCTATTCACTTTTGGTCATATTTTACTGTTTCATTTCCATTGTAAAACTCATCACTATCTGAAAGTATCCTATTTGTCTACCTATTCCACTGTTTCCTGGTTCCCCTAAATTCCTAAAGAGTAAGGACCTTGTCCGTTTGTACAGCACTATTTCTTCAGCACCCAGAATAGTGTCTGATACATTGTAGTCCCTCAATAAGTATTTAGTGAATGAATGTATTTTATTCCCTCCAGACTGTAGGAGCCTTGAGGGCAGAGACTGTGTTTTGTTCAACATTGTACCTCTGCTCCTAGTATGGTATCTCGTCACATTTTTTTACAAAGGACTTAATAATAATGTATTTAAGTTGGGTTTTTTGATGTATATTTTATATAAAGTAAAAGTCATTCTTTTTAATTGCACAGTTCTGTGAGTGTTGACAAATGTGTATAGTCATATAAACAATACCACAGTCAAGATAGAAAGATAATAAATGCTTTTTAAAATTAATGAGTGGCCCTGACCAGTGCGGCTCAGTTGGTTGGACATTATTCTGCAAAGTGAAAGGTTGCGGGTTCGATCCCCGGTCAGGAGACATGCCTACGTTATGGGTTCAGTTGCTAGTTGAGGGCACATACAAGAGGCAACTGATCGATGTTTCTCTCACTGTTTCTTTCCCTTTTCTCCCTCCTTTTCCCTCTCTCTAAAAATAAATAAAATATTTTTAAAAATTAATGAGTGAATCACTAACAAAGTAATTCAGTAAACAGCCATCAGTAGCTATGCTTTCTGGGTACTACCAGCTAATTAGCCTGTTTTTGACATAGCTCATTTGTCATGCAGGTGAACGGGAGGTTGGAACAGAATCGAAAATGCTGCTGTTGGCCCAGGAAGATAAGAAGCTTCAGTGCCTAGGACTACAGAGCAGGCAGCCGGCAAGTGGTTCCTCTAAGATCTTTGAATTCTTGGGCAAGCGAGGGCACTCTTGATTCTAGATAAGCGGTTTTGGAAGCATTGCTACATGCTCACTGTATTCACCTTTTGAGAAAACTGCATGAGTGAGAGATAGTACATTGTAGAAATTAAGAGCATGGGATTTGGAATAGGGCAACATTTAAATCCCAGCTCTTCCATTTAATAGCTATGACATTGGACAGGTTACTTACCCTCTCTGACCCTCAATTTCCTCATTAGTAAATTGGGCCTGGTAGGACTTACCTCATAGGGTTATGTGATAAGGATTAAATGCTCTGCTGCTTTGCAACCTTTATTATTTATTAAGGCACTCTTTCCCTCTTGACCTTCATGTGCTATATGTAAAATGATGAGGTTATATAGACTCCTTTCTACCTGTAAGGTAATGTGAAGAAATTCTGAATAAAGCACCCACACACTCAGGGCTCTGGATCAGATAATGATCAGAATATCTTTTATAGAAGAAATAGTTGATTTTCCTCCTTCATCCTCTGGTGCTTTGCTGGGTATACTGTATTCTTAATTAAACTCTGAGTTCCTGGGATTAGATGTTTAAAATTTCTTTCTATCACCCAGATAACTTTAATGATTTGGTTTAGGCATAGGGTGTGTATTTTTATTTTATTTTGCTACTTCATTGTGTTGGTAACGTTTCCATTTTCAATGTTTGTTTGAGAAACATCACTATTTTTAATCATATTGCCTTTGCACTCTTGAATTTCCATGCTGGCTTTTACTTCCAAAGGGAAATCAAGGACTTTTGTTTGTTTTGTTTTTCTTTACTTTGTTTCTGTCCATTTTAGAATATTCAAGGGAGAAATCAATTTGAGTTAACAGTAAGGAATAAACAAAAATCAGATAACTTCCTTTTTCAAGTACGTGGGAGAATTGTGATTCTTTATATTGACACTTTAAGCTTTTTTCTTTCTTTTTTTAATACTCACCCAAGGATATGTGTATTGACTTTAGAGTGAGAGGAAAGGAAAAGAGAGAGAGAGAGAGACATTGATTGGTTGCCTCCCATACACACCCCAACTGGGGATCGAACCCGCAACCTTCCGGTGTACCGGATGATGCTCCAACCATCTGAGCCACCCCACCAGGACTAAGCTTTTTTCTCTTCCTGCAAAATATCTCCCTTCAAAAAGTGGTTAGAGGTGACACAAAGCAGATCTTAAATGTGTGAATTGTAAGTATTTCTCAAATGGAAGGTTGTAATGGAAAGAGGGAAAGGAAGGGTTTTTGGTGTTGAGGATCCTACAAGTCAATGTGCTGAGGGCTAGTAGTTTGAAAATTGCTGCCTCAGAATACAGTATTATATAAACTGCTAAAGAAGTTCTCAGCCAGCTTCAGGTTCCTGAAATCCTGGGGTGCTCCTTCCTCAGTTGTTAATGAATGCAGTTTAGATCAAGAATACATTAAGAGAGAAGAAAGAAAATAGCTCTAAAAATAGTAAACTTTTTGTTTTCTTGGTGTCTGTTTATTCCTGGAAACAAATTAAGCTCTAACAGCATTTTTGTCTCCTGCTTGTTCCCAGATATTTCACTTTATTGGCTCAGATGCCTTCAACTGCTGTACTTTTCTCTCTGGCTTCTTGCTATTGGCTGGAACACAGGATGGAAACGTTTATCAGCTGGACGTGAGGAGTCCAAGGTGAGTCACCATGCTTTTGCCTGATGTAGACCTACAGAGTGGAAATTTTTATTGGCTTTAGCATAGCATATAGATGACTATTGAATCAAAGGCATATCTTTCCATTTACAAAGGTTTTCTGGTGAAAATTGTCTGATTATTTAAAAAATTATCCTTGGGATCATATTAAAAGGCAATGTGACTCATGCTGTCATGACTGTCCCAGTGTAGTGACTGCTTTAATTAAGCTTCAATAATGGACTAATATTTCACTTAAAATGATTGTGTAAAACTTAATTTTGAGGAGCTCAGTAATTTTCTCTGTGGGGTTAGATCTTGGTTGGCCTAACGATCATTCTTCAAGTTCAAATAAGCCAACACTGGTTCTTTATAGCAGGCCTTGCTCTGCTCTTAGAGCTCTCCCGAGAAAATCACACAACCTCTCTGTCCCAGGATTTTTCAGTGTCTACAATTTCTTCCTCCCTCTATTCCCTTCCTTTCTTCAACTGATATTTATTGAATGGCTTCAGGCTTTGTGCAGGACACTGAAAAACAGAAAAGATGTAGACTTTGCCTTTGAGGCATTTGGACTCTAATAGTTACACCGGACAAGTAAAAGACTGTTGTGATGCATTGTGATCAGTGGTCTGACAGGTCAATACTCAGGAATATGAGGAAGCACTGAGGAGAGTGAAGGTGAGATTGCTTCTGCAGGAAGATGAGGCTTTCATTGCACCTTGTCCAGCAGGAAGTTACAAGTAGAGAAGGAAGGGCCCTGCCCTAGCTAGAGCAGCATGTTGGGAAGCGCGAAGGCACATGGAAGTAGCTCGATGTGACGGGTATGTACCCTGCCACCGTACAGCAGGGAGAAGTGATGCCAGGCAGGAGAGCGGGAGTTTGCTTAGAAAAGACTTACACGCCAGCCTAAGGAGCAGGGAATTCATTCCAAGAGCAGAGAAGAAATTCCAGCTAAAGAGTGACTAGCTTATATTTTTCTTCCATAATTTGTTACTTCATTTTTGTACTTGTTTTTCCCTCCCCAGAGATAGATTTCTGATTACTATTATAAAATCATTCTTGCATATATTCTATATATATATATGATGCTCACTCACCTTCTGTTTTGTTTTACAGAGTTCTGACAACTTTAATATTTCACAACTGTCTTAATTGTCTATAAGGAAAAAGGTTAACATACTGTTAACATTGTTCTCTTAAACCGTTGTCAGGCCTCCCTGAAAACTGGAGACACTGGTGGTGACCAGGTCCATTCAGCTCAATGACATGTTTAGAGACATGTTTAGATTTACTCCAAGGTGTAAATGGATTATCTTGATCTACCATTTAAGGATCTTGCAGGAAAGAAGCTGTGTGAATGTTTAGTCTCTATTCACCTATGTCCTGTTTGCTGTTATGTGGTTAGTGCTATATACTTAGGCATTACTTTTAAAGAAAAAAAAAACAAAACTGAAATTGTCCCTTTTACTCTGAACCCTAGGGCTCCAGTGCAAGTCATCCACAGATCAGGAGCACCGGTTCTGTCCCTGCTGAGATTCAGAGATGGCTTTATTGCTAGCCAAGGTGGGTCGGCGGCCATGGAGAGACGGTTCCATGTGGTTCAGCTAAACATCGGTTTAAAAACCCTGGTCTATGGGGCTAGGGCCATGGGCCTCCATGAATGCTCGGCATATTGTGCTTATCACATAGTGTTTGTCACCCTCCATTGTAACTGTCTATGTCCCCCTCCAGTCCAAGTTATCTGAGAGTAGTGACTGTGGCTTATTCATTGTATTACCCACAGCATTTCACTGCCCGCTATGCAGTTGACGTTCAATAAACATCGGTAGAGTAAATGTATTATTCTTTACTGTAAAACATTGAGGTTCCCATAATAAATCAGTTACAGTCTGCCCTGAAAGAGTTCACAGTTGGTAAGGCAGACAGACGTGGGGATGTGATTGAGCACACTTTGATAAGCGCTGCACCCAAAAACTCTATGGGAACGCGGAGAACAACCAGCTCTGGGGGTAGAAGTGCTGCAGGGATGTCTTCATAGACCAGGGGATGTGTATGCCATGCCGGTGAGTATTTTACCAGCAGGAGATGCAAAGTGAATGCTGAAAGGCTAAAGCTATAGGGTGTGCAAAGTCATAGATGAAAGAAGGGAGCAAAAAGAAGGAATCTGTCATTTACTAGGTGACTGCTATGCGGTAGGTCCTATGTTTGAGGCTTTACATAGATAGTCTAGGTAAAGTGAGTACCTTGGTGTAGCCGGGACAAGATATTTGGAGTTGGGGAGTGGGTTTGAGGGAAATGCATGGAACAAGGTATTCACTAAGGGACATTGTGAATCTTCATAGGAATGATGCAGGTGAGAGGACGAGACAGTGTGGCCTGGAGGGACCATCTTACCTGAGTATTTCAGTGTGTCAGTTAGGATATTTTTGGCCTTAGTAACAGGACCCAGCTGAAAATGGCTTCAATAATTAGGAAAGTGTACTACTTCACTTCATAAGAAGTCCGGATCTATGGTGGTTTTAGATTAGATTCATCAAGTGATTCAAAAACAGTCAACAGAGGAGATTAAAGAGACTTGGCAACTAAATCAGTGTGGTATCCTGGATTGGATCCAGGACATCAAAGACAGGTGAAATCCAAAAAGTACCTGCCGAACCTGGCTGGCTACTCTGCAGGGTGCAGCAGAGGGAATTCTGCATTCAGTTAAGAAGCTGGAAGTAGATGATCTATGAAATCCTTTGGAACACTTTGATTCACTAGAGAGGAGATTGAAATTGCCAGATTAAATAATTTTTAAAACATTTTATTATGGAAATTGCCAGGCAGATACAGAGGTAGAGAGAATAGCACAATAAACCTGTTGTACCCCTTATCTAGCTTCAACTATTACAGATTTATGACTAATCCTTTTTCACATTTTGAAACATTTCACAGACATCAGATTATTTCATCTGTCAGTATTTCTAAATAAATATGTCTCTCTCTAAAAGATAAGGATTTGGGGGTGCAGATTATTTTTAATAATAATGCAAGAAAAGGATAAGATCCTCCTGTATGTTGCTGGTTGGAGTATAGATTGATTCACAGATTAAAATACAATTTATTAACATGATTTTAGAAAGCAGTTTTTCAGATTTCCAGAAAGTTTAAATATCTTTTGATGCTTTTCCAGGGTTCCATCCAAAGTTATAATCTTAATACAGAAAAAACTTTAGCATCAAGACATTCTTTGATGCAGTATGTTTTCAATCATGTAAAATAAAAATTTTGCACAAAAAAGATAATAAAAATACATTAAAATGTTAACAGTAATTATCTTCGAGTGATAGATTATAGATGATTTTATACTTCTCTTTACTTTTAAAAGTTTTCTTCAATGACCGTGTACTACTTTTATGTGAAGTAAGACAAGAACAACAACAAAAAAGTCACCTTAATCAACAGTATATAGATCATCCCAGTTTAATTTGTCCATGCTCCTCTGAGAAAAAATTTTAAAAATTAGATATACTTTTATTTTCTTAACTTTTTTCCTTTGCCTAATATATATGGTCAATTGATATATATATCAATTGAAGAATAATTTGGGAACATGGGATTTTTTTTTTTTTTTAGAGAAACATTTATATAAACAAATTCCCTGTTAAAAATTTAAGATAAGTTTGCAAACAGTTTAGAAGTTGAAAATAGATGATCCATGAGGTCCTTTGGAATGCTTTGAAAATCCAGGACAAGCCTTCTGTCAGAAGGCAGTTGGTCTTCAAATTCTCTCTAGTTCAGCATCCTAGGCAGCCACCATTAGGTCCTCATACTTGACCTACATAATGAGACTGTTTGCCATTTGGGGCCTTAGGATAATCTTCTAAAATATTGAAGTTTTTAAAATATCCTTTGCATGCAGCTTTCTCTTCAGTTTTCTAAATTTCCTTTCTGCCTTTTAGGTGATGGAAGTTGTTTCGTTGTCCAGCAAGACTTAGACTATGTCCTTGAGCTCACCGGGGCCGACTGTGACCCTGTGTACAAGGTACAGGTCTGACTGGGGACCAAGTCCGGGGGATTCTCACCTGGGAACTAGAGCTTTGGAGGGGACTGAATCCAGCTATTTTGTCATTATCAGGGGTGATAAAATACTTAGGAATGAGATAGAAAGAAGTCAAAATTTTGAGTCAGAAGTGACTTCACCACTTACTAGATCTAAAAACTCGAAAAATTACTTCACCTCCCCAGTCTGTCAGTTCATCTGTAAAATGGGGGTAATAGTGAGATAATGCATATGAAAGCTCTTTGTAAATTTAAAATAGTCTATAAATATTAGCCATCATTATTATTAGTTCAAGACTGATTGTCTTATTTGAGTAGACTGGAAGAGAAAAATAAAAGGGAAAATAATATTTATTGACTGACATTGTGCTGGATGTTTTATATACATTATCTTATTGACTAAATGTTATCACTACTTGAAGTGTAGGTATTATTATTCCTGTTTTTTTTTTAATTAAAAAATTGCACAATTAATACATGCCTATAAAAATTCAAGCAATACAGAATTATACAGGCTTAAAAGTCCCCTCTAAGACAGTTTTAGTTCATTGTTTCTCAGAAGCCACCAGCATTAACAGTTTGGCACATATCTTTGAAGACTGTTTTTGAGTTTATGTATTTCTGTAAATAATATAGTTTTATCTTAGTTTCTACATAATTGGGATCTTCATGTATATGAGATCTGTCCAGAAGGTATCCAGGCATGTAGTATGAAAAATGGAGACATTTATTGAAGAAGATACAAGATATAAGAAACACTGTACATAGGACAGTGATACCTCAGTCCCCTTCGAACTAGGCACCTTGGGACCTCACACAGTTCTCCCAGTCACCGTCAGCTGCCCTGTCATATTTTCCTGAATCTCATCAATGGTCTGAAATTTCTTCCCTTTCAAAGGTGATTTTAGTTTTGGGAAAAGTCAGAAGTTGCAGGGCGCCAAATCTGGGCTGTAGGGGGACTGAGTCACCTGGGTGATTTGATGTTTCACCAAAAACACTGCACGAAACATGATTCATGAGTGGGTGCATTGTTCTGATGAAGCTGCCAACCTTCAGTTGCCCACAGCCGCAGCCTTCTGATCACCTGAGTAGTTTCCACAGAGGAATGTTCAAGCTTAACACAAAATTTGATGCAAATTCATTGCTTTACTCACTCAGTCATTTTGAATGTGACAGCTACACAGCATACATGCTCATCAACGGCGCCTACTGCCCTTACTGACTAGTACAGTGAAGTTGTCATTGTTCGTGCATACACATTCCAGTCCACTCTCCTTGGCTGCCGCGTTACATTAATGTCACACAAACTTTTCTCACTAACAGTGCTGGACTTTTTCCAGGTCAACTTCATATATTTCCTTATGACTTTTTTTTCTTTACTTACCATCTTGGAGCTCTTTCCAGACAAATGTATATAGATCCACTTCATTTCTAAAAGTTTCTGCATAGTTCTATATTGTGAGTTAACGTATCATTTTCATTATACAAATAAGGAAACTGGGGCCCAGAGGAATACGTAGAGGTGATGCTGCTACATATTAACGGACCTGAGATTCAGAAAGCTCCCTGCTGGATTCATGCTATGTCCACTATTTAGGGATTCTTAACCCTCTTTAAGTCTCAGACTTCTTTGAGAAGTCTATGAAATTCTCAGAAAAACACATATTAAGAACTTGTTTGCATACAATTTTATGAGGTTCAGGGATACCCACAGCCATGTATGGACCGTCTCCTCCCCAGGGACAGACTCTCCGCACTAAGCCATGCACAACACTAATGGGTTTGCTCTCCACTTGGCTAATTAGTATCTGTTCTGTAGTCATAGTGCACTTGACCCTGGCCAGCAATTTTCTAAATACATACGGATATAATTCTTTTCTTGTCTTTGGAGTCAGTAAAGCTTCGCAGACTCCCTTGTACTAGTAGGGGGTGAATGACTAGGCTTTATCTTTTTGAAGTGGAAGAATTCCAGGCCTGCTTTGAGCTGTGAACTCTTGTATTCCAGGTGGCCACGTGGGAGAAGCAGATTTACACATGTTGTCGAGATGGTCTTGTACGGCGCTATCAGCTCTCTGACCTCTGATTCCTTGGAAAGAGAAGTCATAGTTAATGAAAACAATTGACCCTGATCAACAATGAGCAGAAACATCATGAGTCCTTCCCAAGGACCCTGATCTTTATTGTCTTGGGCACATTTTGGAGGTCACAGAAAGCCAACAACATTGGCCGTGTGAACTGTCATTCCATAACAAGAGGTACTTTGAACTGAGTAAGAAGTTCACATATGCTCACTGCTTTTGCCCCAACTTTATGTATAAACTACCCCCAGCAACACAGGGCAAGACTATGGATTGCTTACAGTTTGATCTCACAGCAGTTGTATTAAATGTTTACAGGACCAGAGGACTAAAGCCTGTTCTCTGAAAGAAATAAAGAGAATATATTTGGAGGAGTCTGAATTTAAAAAACTTTGTTAAATACTCATTCCAGCAAAAACCCAGTCAAGCTGATGGAACTCCATTTTCAGGGCTTCCCGTTGGCCTGGCCATAGAGAAGGACTGTTTGACAGTAGCAGTAAACATCCCATAAGCAGCAGCCTGGGAGAGGTGTTTATATAGGTGGGATAAGCAACCATCCCAGCTTTTCTCAGACTGGGAGGCTTTCTGCTCCATGTAACTTTCCATCCAGGCAAACCGACATGGTCAATCAGTCTGTACACAGGTGATGGAGTTGAGCCATTGTAAAGGCAGGGGCCATCAAACTATTGTCCCTGGAACAGCTGTATCAGTTATTACCAGGAAACTTAGGAACAGAAATCCTTGAGCCCCACCTCAGACCTACATCCGAAATTCTATGGGTAGCACCCACAGTCAGTACTTAATCCTTCCATGATTTGGATGCATGTGAACGTTTGAGACCTAGAGGGAGAGATGGTAAAGGGCACTTTCGTTATAAATGGGACCCAGGGCTCCTAGAACGGCCAGGCTGGTCTGTAGGAGGTGAAGCTGGAGAGGCTTCCAGGACCCGAATAGTGAAGGGACTTGCGTGCCAGGAAGAAGCTTCAACTTCACTTAGTTGGCTGTAGGGAACCGTGAAGGAGTTTTTCAGCAAGGGTGTGACATGGTTACTTCTTTTTTTCCTCAACATAAAAATGGAATTATAATGTATGTATTCCCTGGCTTATTTTCATTCAGTGTCTTTGAGTTCTTTTCATCTCAATACCTTTAGACCTTCCTCATTCTTTTTTAACAACTTCCAGAGCATGAATATCATGTCATTTACATTTTATAGGTTATTAAAGAAAGTTTTCTTGGCACATGCCATATTTGAACTGGGCCATGTAGGCTAAGCTCTAGAATTTATTTAAGGGAAGAAGGTAATTCCTGTCTGGGGTAATAGTATGATTTACAGATTTCTTAAAGGCATATTCTCATGTAATCTTTATCACTGCCTTGTGACATACCAGTAGTAACTCAACGAGATGACGTGATTTGCCAAGGGTCATAGAGAGCAGGAACTTGAACACAGTTTAACTTGTTTTTAATCTTTATTATATCTTTTTTTCATTATCATTTAGTCCCCTTATACCCCGCTCCCCCCAGGGATCCTCACACTGTTGTCTACATCCATGAGTCCTTTTTCCTTTTCGCTCAATCTGTCTTAACTTTAAATCCCATTTTTTCCTACCTGTTGCATATTCCTAAACAAAATTGTGAAAATAAAATACTGTAATTCATCTGCTGGTTACCTATTCTGTTCTAGGTACTGTATTTATATCTTTAATCCTCACAGCCCTGTTCTACAGATAAGAAAATGAAGGCTCAAGAAACTAAGTACCGGAGCCTTGATAGGGACCTTGCTCAGTCTGTCTCCAAGGCCTGTGCTCCTTTCACCTCTCCATGTGGTCACAAGACCTCTGCGACTAGAGCCATTTCACTTAAGGACGTTATTTGTGATAGGATCAGGTGCCCCGAAGAGACATATTCCAGAACTCAGAAACATTGATGCCTAGGATGTCTAAGGGGCACCTCCAAGAAGTCAGATTAAGAAAACAGTGATGCAGGATGTGGCTCGAGTTCATCACAGGGCAGCTGTATCTGTGAGTTCCCATTCCAGGGCTCACTCTTCTCCATTTGCTGTCACATTCACGAGCTCCTTTTCACAGGGCTCCAGAGTTGGTATCCTGGTTGTGACGGGTGCAGGGACCCCTGACAGCCGCTGTGAAATCCAGACCCAGACAGAAGGAGCAGAGGCTAGCTCTCGAGCGCCCCAAAGCCTTGTCCACTGTGAATGGAATAATCCCCAGCTGGCAACAGACAAAGCTGTTTTTTCTTTTGGGTTGAGGAGTGCCTTCTGGGTAAGGAAGGGGGGACAACCCCCATCCTTAGTGCAGCAGGCCCAGTGAAGCTCTGTGCTAGATCTTGTTTCTTGGTTTTCAGATGCCCCCTTGTGACTTCTTGTGAGAAGTGCCTCTGGTTCCCAAGCTATGGCATCAGCTATTGAGTAAATAAATACTCTGTGCCAAGCACAGTCCTCACAATAGGCTTGCAAAGTAAAGGTTTCTTTTCCTTGAACAAGCCTCTGTATCAGATATATTTTATATATTTTTTTCTACTTTACTTTTATTTTGAAGTTCAAATTTACAGATAAATTGCAAACATAGTACAAAGGATTCCAATGTATCCTCACCCAGATCTTCTCCCAGTTGTTAACATTTTTTTTATCCTCACCCAAGAACATGCTTATTAATTTTTGAGAACGGAAAGGGAGGAAGAGAGAGGGAGAGAAACATCAATTGTTTGCCTCTTATACACACACTGACTAGGGGACCAAACCCACAACCTCAGCATGCGCCCTGACCAGGTATCCAACCTGCGACCTTTAGGTTTACAGGACGATACTCCAACTAACTGAGCCACACTGGCCAGGACACCGGTGGTTAATTTCTTTTCCTTTTTTTTTTTTTCATCATCACCCAAGGACACTTTTTCATTGCTTTTAGAGAGAGAAGGGGAAGAGAGAGAGACACATCAGTGTGACAGAGAAACATCAATTGGCTCTCCTGCACCTACCTGGACCAGGGATCATACCTGCCTGGACTGGGGGTCAAACCCCCGCCCCCATTAAGCGATGTCGCTCCAACCAACTGAGCCACACCGGCCAGGGCAGTTGTTAACTTTTTATTGTGTTTATCATTCTCTCTCCCCTTCTCTCTCTCTCCCCTCCTCTGGTTCATGCATGCACTGCTGCCCTCAAGGAGGTGGAACAGAGCTTCCCACTCTTTCAGAGTGGCCTCACAATGACTTCCCACGGAAATGTACAATCCAGAAAGGGAAAACAAAAAATGACTCTTCAGTGGAGAAACCTAACAAGCTCTGCCTCAGCAGGGGATCAAGGTTAGCATCGCCAGTCATTTTGGTAGTATGCACCTTTGGTCTGATGAGGCAGGAATGGCACTTTACCTCTGATCTTTCATCCAAAACCCCAGTCTAATCATAAGAAAAACATCAAACAAATCCAAAAAAACCAGTACTTAAGTTGTCAAAGTCGTTAAAAACAAGGCAAGTGTGATAAACAGTTGCAATCAGGAGATGCCTAAGGAGACCTGACAACTAAACGTAATGTGGAATCCGAGACGGGATCCTGGAGCAGCAACAAGACCTTAGGTTAAAAAACTAGGAAATTGGAATAAAGAATGGACGTCTGTTATAAATGATGTATGCATATTGGTTATTATTTATGACAAATGTACCATACTCATGTAAGATGTTAATAATGGGGCAAACTGAACGTGGGGTATGTAGGAAATCTACTGTCTTCACAACTTGTCTGAAAATCCAATACTTTTCAAAAATGAAAATTTATTTGCAAAAAACGGCTAGTCCTGATTGGTGTGGCTCAGTTGGTTGGGTGTCATCCTGCAAAGTGGAAGGTCATCAGTTCGATTCCAGGTCAGGGCACATGCCTGGGTTGTGGGTTATGAGAGACAATTGGTCGATGTTTCTCTCCCTCCCTTTCTCCCTCCTTTTCCTCTCTCAAAAACAGAACAAAACAAAAAACAGCTAAAGGCATTTGTTCTGAAAACTTTCAATTAAAACTAATTGCTACTCCCCTTAACTCTGGTTTCTGAGTTGAGTGACCTTCACCAGGGTCACAGAATCAGCCCTAGTTCTCAGTCCCTTCATTCACTTCTGTAAGGCAGAGCTAGCTGAGAGGGTGGTTTGCTTAGGCAGGAAGGACTACAACTCCCAGAGTGCCCCTGTGTGGTTGTCAGGAGCAACCAAAGAATGCAGACTAACAGCCCTGCTGGAGTCAAGACTATCCAGGGGCCTGCCAGCCAGCCAGCCAGCCATGGGCCAGGATTATTACGCTGTACTCCACATCACTCACAATTCAGAGGATGCCCAGATCAAGAAGGCGTAAGTTGGGACAGGAGTTGGGTTTTAGGGATGTGCTGAGGCAGGCCCCACCGTCCTATCTTTCTAATTGAGCTTCCCTGCACAGTTTAGGGCAAGCAAAGTAAACCTTGTTTCTTCTCTTGCTTCTTGCACACTTACATCCATCCCAGCTTTGGGCTGGGTCAGGGTTCCCAGTGCATCATCCTTCGCCCTCCATGCCCCGTGTCCTCTCTTGGGTGCCCTGGTTTTCCTAGCAATGAAATGAGAACAAAGGGGACATTTGAACTTTATTCTGAAGTTATATTATGGAGAACCAAAGGACTGTGAACAGAAGAGTGACCTGGCCAGAAGTAGTGTTACACATTTTATTTCGGCCATCACGTGGGATTTTGGTGTTGAATAAACTACATCAAGTCTTGGGGACTTTATGGTCTATTTCTAAGAAAGTCTTGGATAGGAGTCAGCACATTCCCTGGGGAAAAAAAAAAAAAAACAACAAATTTTAGACAAATAGTTATTGAGTGACTACCTAATAGGTTAGGAGAGATAAGCGTGACTCAGAGAAAGAGGCAGCTTAATTTTGTTGGTGAATACAGATGTTGACTAAGTCACAAGTGTGATGAGCGTTACGAAAGGGGAAGCGCTGAGGAAGCCTATACTGGACCCCTGCTGAGGTTGTCGTGATGATCAAGGCAACAGCTGAAGCCTGAAGAAGGGCAGTGGGCTACCGAGAGGGGAGGGAATGGACTTGATAATTAATTAGATAATTAGAGGGTAAAGAATAAAGGAGGAACATAGGATAATTCAGTCAATTAAGGTTGGGTAGCTGCATGGACTGAATTGTACAGATGCTGTTCTGAGAACCTTCCATCATTATTTCACTCAATCCTCACAACCCTGAGAAGTAGGTGCTGTTATTATCCCGAGGCCACGCACCTAGCAAACAGCAGGGCCAGTGTTCCGATACCACACCTGGTCTAGTTAGGTGCTGTGGGCCGGGGCCGGAAAGCGCAGGGTATCTAAGTGACATAAGTGGAACAGTCTGCAGTGTGGGTGGAGAAACAAGACACACACTCGTGAAACAATTAAAGACCAATTCAGGGCAATGTGTCATGTCACCCGCTGTTCAGAGCATCTCACTGACCGTCGGAACCCATCTAGGAAACATCATGAGGAGGGAGGGCCATTGAAATCCAGAAATGTAAGTCCAGCTTAAGCATTGGAGAGACGTAGGCCTGAATCCAGGTTCTCCTGCTTGCTAGCTGCGTGACATGGGCAAATTACTTAACCTCTCTGAGCCTCAGTTTTCCCACCTCTCTCTAAGAAAGGGGGGTGGGTTGTTGTGGTATTGAAACGGGGTTATATGAGATAATGAACATGAAAGTGGCCAGCAAACAATTGCATCTGAAACATCAAATAACAATTAAAAGAACAGCGTATGTTCCAGACAACAGTGCTTAACCCTTCTCCCCTGCAACAGCTCTTAAAGGCATGAGTCACATGTGTAACGCACTCTCCCATAGGAGTACCTAGATTTTGCTCCCCCAAAAGTAAAACTTACATAACAATGATTCCTAATCACTCAGCAATTAACCTCCTCGGTATCACTCACTCACTGTAGGCTGCCGCCTGGGTGCTGGGCCTCCCCCCACCCCCTCCTCAGGAAAGCAGCTGAACCAGAGTGATATCACTGCATGCATCATTTTAAAACTCAAGTCTATATGAAAAACTGAACTCAAATCTCTACTTTTACTCACTGATAGAATTTATTTGCAATTCTCCTCACATAGAGATTGTGACCTCCGTAGTTAAGAAGGGCTGGTTTAGAAGTCTCAGAAAGGTCATGACAATTGTCTTTAAGTCTCCCAAGGTAGACAAAGCAAATTTTGCAAGGCCTCTGAGAGCTGAGTGAGGACCTTTATGGATGAAGAGGTAGAGTCGCAGGACAGCAGACCCCACATAGTAAGAGTGACCATTGCCTAAAATTTGGAGCGGTCCCACAGTGAGGTGGGCTGCCTCGTGGGACAGTTAGTTCACATCATTCATTTACTCACTGCTACTCAATGATGGGTACAGGGGACTCAGAGAACTGGACATAGTAATTCAAGGAACTCATAGGCTAGTGGGGCGGGGGGCAGACCAGTCAACAAACCGGAGCACTGCATGAGAAATTACTGGGACCAAAGGCACTGGGGATGCAGGAAGGGGTGTCTAATTTAGAATGGAAGCTGCAATCAGGGAAGGCATCCTGGAGGAATTGCCCCCCGTGCTACATGTTGAAGGGTGAATAGAAAATTTGCCGGGAGGAGATGGGAGGGGCTGGAGAGGGGTGAGTGCTACAGTCCAGGGAGTAGAATGTTTAGGGCATGAGCCAGGCAGTGTGGGGAGACTGGACAGGAGGGGGCACAGGAACAGAGAAGGAAAGACGTGTGAGGAGGCCAGAGAGGAGAGCAGGAGCCCGAATCTGAGAGGCGTTTGGATTTTATGCTGAAGGCAAAGGGGAAACAAGGGGAAGATTTAGGCAGGACAGTAACTTGGTCAGGGAGCATTTTAGAAACATCAAATTAGCAAGAGAGAGGAATCGAACCAGAGGCAGCACACAGAATAGAGTGGAGAGGGCAAAACCAGAAAGAGGAAGACACGGGTCTGTGACAGTTGTAAGGATAAAGAGATAAGAACAGAATACGAGTTAGAAGGAAAAGGGACATGCCTTAGTAATGACGGTATTGGGGTGGGGTGGACAAAGGAGAACTTGGAGTCAAAGATAATGCTCAGCTAGCTTTCTGGCTGCAGTGCCTGGAAAAATGGAGTGTTGGGGGTGGGAATTAAGGAATGAAAATGTTACGATTAGGCTCATCGAGTCTGTGGGGTCTGTGGGACACTGGAGAGGAAGTACAACATGGGCAGCTGGATAATGGGTCTGACGTTCAGAGAAGGGACCTGCTTTAGGTGGGGCTCAAAGTGTGGGACAGGTGAGCTTGTCCTTGCCAGCATGTGGAGAACAGGGGCAGCAGAGCTCTGGGAACACCAGCATGGACGTGTACGCAGGGCAGAGGCTCTGAGTGCTGACCCAGCTGGGGGGCAAATGGGGTCACGTGCGTACTGAGCAACTTGGGCTGTGCGGATGCCCCAGTTCTCGCGTCCAGACACTCCCCCTGCCTTTCTGCACCCGCTCTCTGCTCTGGAGGCTGATCATCTGAGCTGCACCCTTAGGCTTCCTGGCCCTCAGGCTTCTTGATGCGTCCTGCTAAAGAGAACGCAAGGCAGGCGCCTGGGAGGGAAGAAACTGGCGCTGGGGTGTTCGCTCCCAGTTCCCTTTCTGTGGGGCCTCTTCAAGTTGGACATGACCCTTAACTGAAGACCACAGCTCCTGCCAAGGGCCCTGCCTCTATACTCTCTCCTAGGGGTTTCAGGTAACCTCTTCCTCCCTCCTGTAGACTCGCGAGTTGTCAGGGTTCCCCAGGGCTCTTGGCCTCCACTACTGCACTGTCCCTGTGGTTTCCCACCCAATTCCAGCACCTTGATCAGTGGTCTCTTACTAAACTCTCTACAAGTCACCCAGTTCATGCCACCTCTTTCCTCCTGGGACACTGATAGTAGGTTCTCAGACGCTGGAGGCGTTGCATCACCGAGGAGGATTGGGTAGGTACGAAGCGGAAGCGGGGGAAACACTGAGCGCCGGGGTCGGAGATGATGGCGTGCGCTGAGTGCCCTCTGCACTCGCCCCTCTGACCCCCTATTTTATCTAATCTTCCCAAGAAGCCTGTGTGTCAGTTCAGACACCAAGATGGAATTAGATGTGCAAAAAAGTGTCCTGGGAGAAACATGGGGGTGAAGGGGCAGCAGGAGTGTGCAGGGACGGCCTTCAGACCGCAAGGCAGGCCTGACAGGAGAGAGGGAAGGACGGTTCGGGAGCACAAGGCTGCAGCGTGGTCTGGAGAAAAGCTCAGCCAGGCGGATGGGAGTCCTCAAGCAGAGGCTGGGTCTTGGAGGGGTCCTGTGTCCTTCAGCAACGGGCCAGTACTAATGTCCCCAGCACCCTTAGGCATTGGCTGGGAGCAGCTGGGGTCGGTGGGGGTTGGGGAGGGGTGATGGTGTGTAACCTCAGCACAAACGGTCGGGGGTCAGCTGCAGGGGCTGTCAGTCACCTATGCTCCCTCCACTGGGTTCTCTTCAAGGGAGTCTGAGCAGTGGGCCTCCCTGGCCAGCATGGCCCTAAACATCGAAGCTCTAGGAGGCCACCAGGCAGTAGTAGACAGCAGGGCCACCTCTGAGCCATAGTCTGCCCTGAGGCACACGGCAGCTGCTTTGACTTGCAGTAACCCTCCCACCTCTAGGTACCGGAAACTTGCCATGAAGCACCACCCGCTGAAGTCCGTTGACCCGTCCTCAGCAGAGATATTCAGGCAAATAGCAGAGGCCTACGACGTGCTCAGCGACCGTGAGTGACTGCAGCTGAGCCTGGAGGAGTGATTCTAGGCCACCTTCTCTGTCCCACCTCTCCTTTAAGATCATTCCCTAAGTCTCTTGAGTGTTGGGCTTTCTGAGGGGCCCCAACATGGAGTAAGCAGAATCGAAATAAACTGAGAAGGAAGAGAACGAAGAATTGCCCTTCTCAGTAGACACAAGCTAAGGTGGAGGACGTGGCGTGGAGAGCCCCCAGATCAAGCTGATGTGTTCGCCCAGTCTCATCAGGGCAAGACGCGGGGCAGGTCTCCCCACACGCCCCACGCCACACTGTCCACGACAGGGATGGAGAGAGCTCACTGCTTGCTGCCAAGGGAAGAAGGCTAAGGCTAAGGCCCAGATCTACCAAAAAGCTAAATCTCCATTTCCCTGAGGACAGCATGCATGTAAAAGGGCTAAGAGAAGAAACCAGTAACTAGTAAAATTGTCTCCTATAGGAACTGGTAGAGTGGGGAAGGGTTTCCCACCCCTGCCTGGGGCATTGCCCACGTGGGTTCCCCCAAGGGCTCGCCCTGGACACTCACCAGAGGTCCTGTGCAGGGGAATGACAGTCACTAAGGTTTCTCCAGCCCCGAGTTTTCAGGACTTTCAACTCTAACATTTCAAAGCCTTAGAATTTGGAAGCTAGAATTATTAATTCTAACATGTCAAGGTTCTAGGATTCTACTTACCCGAGATAAGATAGCGGCTATGATGCGTTATGCTAAATCCCAGAAGGATAGCCTGACCCTACTCCGATCCCCACCCCTCCCCAGCAAGTCTCCGTCTTTTCCATGTCCCTTCTGGGGGCGGACGTAGGTCCATCCACAATAAAATCCACCCCCCCCCCCGAACTTCTAGGGTCTTCTTCCAAAGACTGCCAGGCAGCAGACGCTTTAGAAATAAGGCTGTTTTTGCCCCATGCTCTTTCCCATCTCCCCCTTCTTCCCAGCCTTCCAGTTACCCTAGCTCCCAAGGCTGGACCCCCTCCTCAAGGTGGCATATGTCCACAGCTGTGAAGAGAAGCATCTATGACAAGTTTGGAGAAGAGGGTCTGAAGGGCGGGGTCCCTCTGGAGTTTGGGTCCCAGACCCCATGGACAACTGGTTATGTCTTCCACGGCAACCCTGAAAAGGTTTTCCATGAGTTCTTCGGAGGAGACAACCCCTTCGGTGGTAAGAGGTTCTACCTACCCTTTGTCTTACTGAGAAACAATGTTGCTGTAAAGATGCTTTTCTTTGAATATTATTTTTTAAAACCTTTAACAGGCCTCCATTCCTTTCCCAGAAGCAGACACTCACTGTTAACATTTCATGTATTATTCCAGAAATTTTCTGTGCATTTATGAGCTAATTTTTATTTTATTTTATTTTATTTTAGTGTTTTTAATCCCCACCCAAGGATATGTTTGATTTTAGAGAGAGAAAGGGATGGAGAGAAACATCAGTGTCAGAGATAAACATACCTCAGTTGCCTCCCATACACTCCCCAACTGGTGACGGAACCCGCAACCCAGGCCTGTGCCCTGACTGAGCATTGAACCCACAACCTTTTTGGTGTACGGGACAGCACTCCAACCAACTGAGGCACAGGGCAGCATATTCTTATTTTTACATAGACTTTTATTTCATTAAGGAAATGGGACCACATTTTACACAGTTATTTTTTTTTCATTTGTCTTACTATACTTTATTATACAAATTTACTCATTTTCGTGGCTGCGTAAGATTCCATTGTACAGGTGTGTGTTAGATGAATCCATGGATGGATGGGTGGATGATCCCAGGTCCCAGACAGACAAAGAGTTCATTTCTGAGGCTCAGAATCATCTTGCAAGGACAGTAAACCTTCAGACCTATCCTCCTGTCTCCATTATGCAGCTCAAGAGAGGCTAGATTTTTGCGCTTCGCTCCCCCCGCCCCTTCTTCCTGGCTATCCTACCTGCATTTCAAAAGTTCTCTCTCCCTCTTTTCCACGCTACTGTGATGAGTGGGCTACAGCCCACTGCCCCTTCTCCTATCTGCCAGAGGAGCCTGAGTTTATAAATTCCCCATGAGACCAGAAAAACAAGAGACTTGCCTTCAGAGGGCCTGTTTCAAATCCACGCACTGCCTCTTAGGCGCAGAGTAGACCCTGGGTAGATCTCTTCACCTCTCTGAAACCTCAGCCATTAAATGGCTGTATTGCTCACAGGCCATTGTCAAGTGAAATAATGTTTCATAAATATGAAAATGGGCTTTGCAGTCAGAAAAATGCCATACAGTGGACCTGTCTGTCCCAGCGAGGGGTGCGTGGACAAGTGGCAGTTCAGAGGAGCCAAACCAGAGTGTGCGGGGCATTGCTCATTAGGGAAGGTCAACCTCAGGGTTTGGGGGTCCCTCAGGCAGTGCCCAGGAGCCAGACTGACTGCTGCAGTGCTTCCCCCTAGGGGTTCTTGTGTCCCATCTCCCTGCAGAGTCAAGGGGCCGGGCTTCCTGTGATCTGGCTATCGGGGTGTCTCAGGCTGGACACACCACAGGTGCTGGGTGAACAAATGAACTCAGCAGTGCAAAAGGGGACCAGGCAGTTCACAGGCCTGATTACCTGCCTGTCACATCTTAGGGGGACATAGTGTGGCGCCTCCTCACCCACCCCAGCCTAAGGCCATCGTGTCATTCAAGCCTGTGAAGCTCATTCCATGACACCAGCCAAGAGAGGCCAAGTACAGGAAATCTTACTGTGATAGTCACTCCTGGCTCTGCAGCTTACAAAGGGCTGCACATCTAGCTATGCGGTGCAGCGGCTAAGGGCGCAGGTTCTGCAGCCAAATCGTGGACCGATCCCGACTCTACTGCTGACTACCTGTGAGACTTTAAACATTTTGTTTGGCCTCTGAGCTAATGAAATAATAACATAAAAAGCCGAAAACAGCACCTGATGTGTAGTAAGCTCTCAGCAAGTTTAAGCTCTTCATCATCTTGTAACCTAATCCTAATGGTGGGAGGCAGGTCAGGCAATATTGCTCCGCCTCACAGACAAAGAAACTGATGCCCCAGTGACTTCACAGCACATCCACGGGCAGAGGCACCACCTGCACTAGGGTGGAAGGGCAGGGCACCAAGAGGGGTTATGAGTGCAGAGCTGTGTAGGGGCAAAAAGAGTTGAGGAAAGAGGAGTTGGGGCTATGGTATATGCTGGTGACCTCTCAGATTTGTTAGGGACCAGCCTTGCCCCTCTTGACTTTATAGAAACTAGAGTCTGGGGGTCTCTAGCAGTCTTGGGCTGAGCTGGACAGTGCGGGGGATGTAGCCTGGGGAAGTGTAGGGAGGCCTGGCACGCTGGGACGCTCCCCTCCGAGAGTGAATAGCTTGGGTTATTTCTGGCCCTGCCAGGTGCAGCCAAGGTTGAGGGTTACTTCCCCGAGTAGTGGGGGAGGAAGTCAGCAAAGTCAGGGGTGTGTCCAGAGTGGGGGAGAAGCAATGGGGGCAGCAAGGGGTGATAATCATTGGATCTGCAATTGAGTTCAATTTCTTGGCCCAAGTCTGAGTCTTCAAAAAGGGAATGGGGTGGTGGGTATTACCTGTGAGGTAATTACCTGTGGGGAAGAGGTGGGCTGTGGGAAGTTCTGTCAATCCCAGCTTCTATACACAGTTTCTCTTACCCCTCTCCCCACCTCCTGCAGAGTTTTTTGATGCAGAAGGAAATGAGGTGGATTTGAACTTTGGGGGGCTCCGGGGCCGAGGGGTCAGGAAACAGGACCCCCCAATAGAAAGAGACCTCTACTTATCCCTTGAGGACTTATTCTTCGGCTGCACCAAGAAAATCAAGATCTCCCGCAGGGTGAGTGCTTGCCTGGGAGCCATTGTCTGTCCCCTCCAGCCCTGACAGTCACGCTGACTCCAACGAGAGACCTCAGGTGTGGTCTCTCATGAAATCGTGCAAACTTAAATTTGGAGACCTAAGGCTGCAGAATTCTAGAATCTGAAGTCTGGAAGGGACAATTAGGGGTATCAGCGTGGCGCTTTCCCAGTGTAGGAATTCCCTTTGCAGCATTTCTAATCCCGACAGGACCTTTCCCTTCCCAGGTCAGCCACAACCTTGTGGGGAGCGGGAGGGCTCTGAATGGGAGCAGCTAAAACTGTGAATTCTGCCCTCTGGGTGTCACCAGCCCATGCCCTCAGGATTCCATCGGGGGAATGCCCCGTGAGTAAGAAGCAGCAGTGTGGGAATTGAGGGTGGGCTGGGAGACAGTCCCTGAGGGGGCTGGTTGAGGAAGACCCTCAATCCTGTGGTCCAGACCTGCACTAGCATGTGAACAACGCTCTCTCAAAACTTTACCCAGGTGAGGAGATGCCACCTGTGGTTATGCTTTCCACAGATGACACCCCTGTGGGCCTGTGATTGGGGGATGGACGGATGGCGATGTAATAGGGGAATGCTTCAGATGAGGCTCAGATGGTGACCTCTGAGTCATCCTCTGGGGTGGGAGGGAGAATGGAGTGCATGTTCACGGTGCCTGTGTTAGTGGTCTGGGCCACTTGATTTCTAGGACTGGAACTGTGGCCTTGACCCGCTCACGGTGACTGCTTGGCATCTCAGGCCCTGGCCCCATGACGTGCCCTGCCGCGCTGGAACCCTAAATTCCTGGTTCTGGTGGAATGGGGCTGGCGTGAAAATGGCTCAAGGCAAGGTGTCCCCATTGCTAGAGGATTGAGCGCGAGCACAGATCCTTCGGCGCTTCCCTCACGTTGGGCAATCCTGAGCAATCCTCCCCGACCATCCCGCTGCAGGTGCTGAACGAGGATGGGTACTCCTCTACCATCAAGGACAAGATCCTCACAATTGATGTGAAGCCTGGCTGGAGGCAGGGCACACGGATCACCTTCGAGAAGGAAGGTGACCAGGTGAGAGGGAGGGAAGCTGACTGAGGACAGTCCAAGGGTCAGTTACCTGGACCCCTGCGGTGGGAAGACAGAGGGGGAAGGAGGCAACGCTCTTCCCTGGCCCCGTGAGCCCTCGTCTGGCAGGGAGACCAATCTGCAGAGTGGGTGAGAAGATCCCTAAAGTCTCTTCCAAGGGACAGAGCCTCACAACACCTCTGTGGGTGGGCAGACCAGGGCTTCTGCCCATTTTGCAGAGTGGGAAACTGAGGCCCAGAGAGGGGAGGGCCTTGCCCAAAGCAAGGGCACAAGAAATGAAAGGAAAACACAGTCCTAACTCTAGTGCTGGGTTTTCTTCAGTGTTTTTCTGAGTAAAGTCCAATTATAGGAACTACTCAGAAATCGCTTATTAATAATTTGAAATACTAATTTAAATAAAAATATAAAATTACTGTCCAAAGCAGTGATGGTATCTTCAGAGCCAAGAGTGATTAATTTCTCTGCTGACACTTTTTGCCTCCTTTCTCACCTATGAAACATTTACTTCCAAAAAAAAAAAAAAGGAACCACCTTCAAGACCCAGCTCCAAGTTCCCCGCTCTGGGCCACCTTCCCTGACCCTCTACCTGGGCAATACCTCTCTAAGCTCCTGCCTCTGGGATCCCCTTTTCAGTCTTGGGCCTGCTGAAGAGTCACTGTGCTTGCGTTTATCCCTCTAGACTGGGAGCTCCTTCAGGGGGAGGGTCAGTCTGATTCCTCTGCCCCCGGTGGCCAGAAGACACCTCAGCAGTTTTGGTGACTTAATGGAGGATGGCAGGACAGAGACTTCTCAGAACACCCAGCTCAGTGTTCCACCCCCCACCTAAGGAAGCCTCTGTCTCCCTCCAGCTGAGCACACCTGTTTGGGCATGCTCAGTAGAGAAGGAATGGGGTGGGGGACCAGGATTCACCGGGGTAGCCTTTTCAGAAGAGAGGCTACGGGGTCAACTGAAAGGCCCTTCCAGAACACCTGGTCTATCTCCTCATAGTTCAGATGAAGACATGGAGACCAGTAAAGGCAAGGACTTGGCCAAGGTCACACGGCCAATTAGCCCTGTCCTGCCTTGGCCTTTCCTGCCCAGGGTCCCAACATCATCCCAGCTGACATCATCTTCATCGTAAAGGAGAAGCTACACCCTCGCTTCCGCAGGGAGAACGACAACCTTTTTTTTGTGAACTCCGTCCCCCTGGGCAAGGTGAGTGGCCAAAGTAGAAGATCGGGGGGTGGGACCAAGGTCAGCTCCCTCTGCCCCATGGGCAGCAGCAAGCAGGCCTTCAGAGTGTGGTGGGTGTCCCTCGGAGTCTTTGTGGCGGTCTTCACTCCTGAATGTGAGCGGCCCCTCCACACACACACAACAGAAGCAGGAAACAGCACCAGCCTAAACTGTGCCTCTCTGCCCCGCCGCACCCTGAGGTCCGTCACTAAGACCTGTCAATTCTCCCTGCAAATCCCTCTCCACTTGGTCCACTTTTTCCCATCCCCACCGTCAGGGTCTGAGCAGCCATCCCTTCGGTGGCCTTCCTGCCTCCGTGCTCACCCCCTCCAGCCTCTTGCCCGCGGCACTCTTTCCACACTCATCTGACTGTGTCACAGTCCTGTTTAAACATCTTCACGTGGAATCCAAGGCCCTGCACAATCTGGCCCCTGCTCATCTCATGCCACTTAGATCTCCTGCCCATTTAGGACACTTTGTTCTCCTGTTTCTTCTGGCTCCCCTGCCTGGCATGCTGTCTACCCACCTTGTCTAACTAACCCACTCTCTAAGATCCTCATCAACTGCCGCCTGCACTGTGTAGCCCTTTTGTTCACCCCAGAATGGTCTGGGAGCCTCTCCTTGGCTCCCACCAACCCTTTACTGCCCACTGTTATGACACGAATCAACACCAGTCTTACCCGCCAGCCTGTGAACTCCTTGAGGGCAGGCGTTAGTCCTTGAGTCTTCCTTTGTCTCCTTGAGGCCCAGCTCAGAGTCTGGGACTGAAGAAGGACCATAAAGTGCCTTCTAAACAGAACGGTCATGAGGACCTTCCCTACTCCCACCTTTGGCCTTAATGTCCCCTAGGCTCTGACCTGCTGCACCGTGGAGGTGAAGACCCTAGATGACCGTCTGCTCAACATCCCCATCAATGACATCATCCAGTGAGTCCATCTGCGCGGGCCCCCATGGGCAGAAGGGCTGGCCTGGGCCTTAGAGGGTAGTATCAGACAGGTGGGCCTGGTACAGCTGTTCAGCTTGCACTGAGCACAAGGGGGCAAGAGAGGACTAAAATCCAGCTTCCATGCTGCCCGAGCTGTGGACTGCATTCAACTGGCAAATGCAGCGCCTTTTCCTAACTTCCACGGAGCCACTGTAGAGGCTAGAAGCTCCCAGTGTTAGGAAATCCTTATTACCTTTATCTTCTATCCTCCGGAACCTCTCCTTAGAGTTCTGAGTTAATTCCACTAAGCCCTTCCCAAGGAAGGCCCTCTGCGTGGGGAACTTTGCTCAGCAGCCCAGCCCCCCACCAACCCAGGGTCTGCTCACTTTCCCTCCTTTCTCATCCTGTTCCTCATCTCTAAAACAAGATTCCCCGAATATTCCACCAGAGACTTGGTGTAAATGGGTTTTCAGGGAGCAAACTATCTGGAACAAGCCAGTCTCCTCTTTCCTCCCACCCAGTCTGGCTGAAAAAAAAAACATCCCATGGTAGAAGCTGTAGTGACTGCCCCGTGCCTGAGGTGACGTGAGCAGGGGTGGCACAGGATCTGTTCAGGGTGCTGCTCCCGGGTGCTCTCTAAACTCCCTTCCTTCATCCCCTCTCAGTCCTAAGTACTTCAAGAAGGTACCAGGTGAGGGGATGCCATTGCCTGAGGACCCCACCAAAAAGGGGGACCTCTTCATCTTCTTCGACATCCAGTTCCCCACTCGCCTCACACCCCAGAAGAAGCAGATGCTGCGCCAGGCACTGCTGACGTAACTGGTGGGCTGGGGGCGGGCCTTACCCCACGCCTATCTCCCACAGCTTCTGGGTGTTCAGGGGAGCCAGCCCACTGCACAGATGTGGCATGAGGGTGGGATGGCATGGGACTTTTAAACTGACACAATAAAGATTTATTTCCTATCCTCCAGCTACACCCAGGAGTGTGTGTGCTGGGTAGGGGGCGGTAGGGAAGGAGTGTCATATCGCCCTCTGTGGAGCAGAGGAAAATCGAGGACTGGGTCCCTGTCTTGGCTTTGTGGGTGTGGCTGGGTCCCTGAGGAGTCAGCGTTTCTGCGCTCTGAGCTGAGGAAGTGCTGTGTAACCTGAGGGTCCTCAGCTCTACTGATTTCTCCTGGCAAGTGATGTTTAGGAGGGGCAGTTTCTAGAGTGTGAAATGGTCACATTGTACTCACGAAAAGGGAAGTACAAGAAAAAAACACTTGTCTCAGCAGAACCTCAAAGGTCACTTCCCACAAACTCACCCTGCTTAGAACAAAGGACACAAGTCTAGGAAACAGCTTCGGTTTCTACCTCACCAGCCTCAACTCTGTTGCCTGTGCAGTGGGTGGGTCCTGGGCTGCGTCTAGGCAGGGTGGCCTGGGAGGCAGGAGGTCTGGGTTCTGCTCCCAGCCCTGACCCCTTAGATGTTCCTGCTCATCAGTAAAGCAGAGCTCATCATGCCCCTCAGGTTACTTGTGAGGACCCAGCCATTGGTGTGAAAGTGCTTGGTGAAACTTGTTTAGGTTCCAGAGCTGCAGCATTGCTGCCCACGTGGCCTGGAGGCATCCCAGCCTCCGGCCCAGCCGCGCCTGTGCAGACCACACCTGCCTCCGCAGCCGACCTTCCATCAGCTGACAGCAGTGAGGCGTACACCGCTTCAGTGCCTGGATGCCAAGAGAAAGACTCTCCCGAGTCTGGGTTTGGGACAGGATAGGCCCAATCTTATGAATAACTGGTCACTTCTGTGAAGGCTTCAGGGGTGCCAGAAAGAACCCCCATATTGCTTGGATTCCACCATTGAAAGCACCACGTTAGTTGGCTTAAGGCTTTTTCCTTCAATGGGTACTCAGCAGCATATCAGGTATTTTTAACCCATCAAGCAGTAAGCAGTAGCCCAAGATGTAGGATCTGGACCAGGGGTCTAGGGAGCATCTCTGCAGTCAGTAAAGGGGCGGGGGGGGGGTGCTTTGGGGCAAGTACAGCCCAGGTGGGCTACTTACCAGCTGCGTGCCCTTAGGCAAATCCCTTCCTTCTCTGAACCTCAGATCCATACAAAGATTACAACCCCCCCCCCCTTTTTAGGCCTTTGTACAAACCAGATGACTTGCCCTGAGGCAGGACCTGGGTGGGGAGTGGTGGTAGCTGCCCTGCTCGGAGAGCAGCGACTGGGTGAGGGCGTGTGGAGCCTGCACGGGGAAATAGTATGCCAGGCCTCCCCTGGGCCAGCCAGGAAGCCTGCTCCCACCCTCTTCCTCAGTGAGGCTCTGAAGATCTTTGAAATTTGTTACTTCAGAGTTTCGCTCATGCTCAAACACCAGGCTCTATTTTAGTGATCTTCAGTGATACCTTGTGAGCCAGGCAAAGCAGGGTTTAGCACACACCCATTTTATAGGCATTAAGGACAGAGGGCCAGCTCCTGAGACCTACTGGTACACTGTCCAGTGGTTCCTACATGTCTCCCAGCTCCTCCTTGTCCCAGGATCATGCCCCAAACCATGATGAAGTCTGGCGGACTGCTGTCCACCCCAGTGTCTGGGACATAAGCCTGCAGAATGAACCAGCTGGTTTGCCTTGTGTGACAAATTGTCTCAGTTTCCTCTAGTGTGACTGGGAATGGCCTGCTTCATGGGATTTAAGGTGCCTCCATTTATGCTTACGCCTTGCAGCCCAGCAGACTTGCCTCGATGAATTGCCTGCCCTCCCCTTGAACTGAGTCATGTAACCAACCCTGTCCCTCTTGGGGACTATGAGACTTCAGCCTAGTTTGTCAGAAGCTGGGCCCTGTTCTCCAGAAACCTAATATCCTGGACCCCTTACCAGGCACAGAAGGGCCTAGCCTCCAGCTATGACCAGTGGGGAAGGAGCAGTAGCATCAGCTGTGTTAGGCTGTGAGGGTCCTGTTTTCTCCGCCTAGCTCGGCAATTGCCCGAGGTTCCCACAGGACCCCCCCAGCAAAAGTCCTTGGGAGGAGGCGGCCATGGGGGAGGGAGGAGCCCTGGTCTCAGATCAGCCGCCAAATGTCCTGTGTGTCCCTGCCTGCACAACCTGTCTCAGCCCTCAGATCCTTCGGACATACGTAAGATAGGCCAGGGTGGCTTAACTCTGAGGGCCCAGCCCTGCACAATACAATTTGGGATTCTGGAAACTCTCAGAATCCCTGATCCCTTGAAACAAAAGTAGCCCTGCCCAACTGCTTTCCTGCCTGAGAGCAGGGGGTAGGGAGACAGAAAAGTATCAACCCCTGTGCAGCCTAAGCCTCGCTTTGCCACTGCCTGCTTGGGATCCCTGGCCCGGGGAGAGGGTGAGCCTCCCAGTGGAAAGCACCCTCTGGCCAAGGACCGCTGTGTGCCCTGCAGCCTGCCCTCCCAGGCGACAACACTCTCTAAGGGTGGGAGCCTGGAGGATGGGAGGCTGCCCAACTTGCCCTCACTTGGTCTGGGACTTTGGGGAGAGGGGGGTAGGTGTCTCATTTGTAAAATGGAGTAAAATAAGCCCACAACATCTAAGATTCCCAAGTTCCTCTAAATCTTCCAAGAAGCACCGGAGATGCAGAGAGGAACACTCTCATTTTGCAGAGAGAGATAAAGGCAGGTGCTGGGGTACCAGGCACTGTGGGAGTAAAAGCTCAAGTAGCCTGGTGAGAGCAAAGCCACTGCAGCGACTCTGAGTTGCTCCTTCACCTGCCACCTCAGCCCAGGGACTGGTTGGGAAAGAGAAACGGACCTGATTGGACACTGGAGGTGGAGTGTGGGCCACACCCCCTTTTCCAAGCCAGGGTAGCTCCTCCCCTGCCCACCAGGCCCAAGAGAGACCATTAGACTCAGATCTCTGGTTACAGCTATGAGAGAGGGAGGAGACGCCAAGGTTGAGCGTGTTTTATGGGTGATGTGCTCTCTGGGCTTGGGGACAGGATCTTGAAGCGTTGGGCTGAGAGGCTTGGGATGCTCGCTGGTGTCAGGGCTGCCACAGTGTCAGCTGGGATCCACTCCAACAGGACTGAGAGGCCACGGGGAGAAGAGGTAGGGAGGAGAGGTGGGGAGAGGGAGGGGGTGGTAGAAATGGGAGCAGAAGGCGGGGAGTGAGGGAGGGGAAGCAGGGCCGGCTGGAGCCGAAGCCAAGCCAGAGGTGGTCAGGCTGGCAGCAGGAGAGGCTCAAAAGGGAGCCTCCCGGGAAGTGCGGGAAGCCATGAGGGCCCGTTTCAGCTGCTCATAGGTGACGAACATCACCACGTTCCAGGAACCCAAACGGAGAAAGGAGGGCATGAACCTAGAGGGGAGAAAACACAGGTCACAGGGGGAACCTCCACCTCCTGCTCACCCCAGTGGGCCCGGGCATCCAAGCCAACCCAGGTGTGCTCTGTCCCTGAGGAGGCGGGGAGGGCCCAGGGGCCAGAGCCTCACGGCTGTGTGGCTGTGACCAAGAATCCTGTGAGTCTCCATTTTAATACCCTTAAAGTAGGTAGCAACTCTGACAGGAAGGAGTTAAAGGCATGAGAGAAGGCTAGGGAAATACTAGGGCCACCATCAGAAATAGGCTAACAGTTGGTTGCTACTCAGTTCTAGGTGGTTCTCTCCCACCTGTGTCACAGGAGGCCTGGAATTGGGCAGGGTAGATCACAGGCTCACCCTTTGTAGAAGGCCCGGGGACCCTCCTTCCGGAGCATGGTGAGGGCACAGTGGCCAGCGCTGCTGTACTGGCCCAGGGCAGAGTTCATGTATCTCGTCTTGACTACATCCACAGGGGAGGCGATGATGGTGGTGCAGAAGCCTGCCCCGAAGGCAGAAGTGAAGTGACAGGGAAGGTCATCTGTCAAGGAGGAGGAGCAGGCAAGGGTCAGGACTTGCTCCATCATTCCAGAAGGAAAGAGATTATTTAAGTAGCCAGAGTCTTGTGGTTTTGGAGAGACAGAGACTCCAGCAGGGGCATCTCCCAAGGACCTAAGCAGCATTTTGCCCACCTCGTCTCAGCGCTTCAGTGTGCAGACTGGGAGCTTCATCTCACTTGGCCTCAATACGGCGAGTGAGAGAGAGAGAAGCTCACTCCACAAGCAGAGGGGAATCAGGATGAAAAGATGTGGTCCTCAGGCAACCAGATTCCCACAGCTGATCCTGGGTTGGGGGAAGGGCGAGACCCAGCACCATTTACCCTAACTCACCTGTCATGAGGTTGGCCTTCAGGAGGGCATCCTTGATGAGGTCATAGGTCACCAGCTCAGCACAGTTGACAATAGCATTACGAGCAATATTGGGAGAGGTCCCTACAGAAGGAAAGGGTGCCATTGTGAGGCCAGGCAATGGGGGAGGAGGAAGATGGGAAAGAAGAAACATCTGGTACACACACCTTTCCAGAGTCCCCGGAACCCTTCCTCTCGGGCAATGGTCTTGTAGGCATCAACGGTGCTTTGGTATCTCTGGCTACCTCCAGCCCGGGCCTGAGCCTGGAACCGGACCTTTACCACATCCGTGGGCTGGGCCACAGCCACAGCCAAGGCACCTGTGGTGCTGCCTGCCAGGAGGCGGCTCCCAATGCTGGCATCTGTTGGGGGAGAACCATGGGGGTCAGTGTCCAGCTGGGTCTGCACTCATTTTCTATTTCTCTTTATCAAATACACCACGTGACTATAATCTCTCGCCTGCTGGCAATAGGATCTAGACTAGCTCTTGCTCTAAGAACTCCTCATATAGAATAAAATATTACTGAGAGTGTCTACTACTCACTAGGCACTGGGACCCAGCAGGGAGTAGAACAAAAAGAGACTTAGTGCTTTCATTCATTCACTTCACTGGGTATTTCCATTCATTTCACTGAACATGCTCAACAGCCCTGAGAAACGAGAACTGTTTCCATTTGACGAATGCAAAAACCAAGGCTCGAGAGAATCGGCTTTTCCAAGGAGTGGGACACATTAAGACTTGGGTTCTCATCCCAGATCTACTTCTCCCTGCCACGTAATCTTGGGAAAAGTCAACTTATAACCTGGGTCCTCAGTTTCCACACATGTAAAACAGCATGGGCATGGCGTGCAGAGAAGAAATGGGAGTGTGCTGGCCTTGAAAGCTCAGGTCCTGGGTGTGTTTTCTGGCTTCCCACTGTGTGCCCCTGGCCAAGGCCCCCTCCCACCACCTCCCGCAAACCTCAGTGTCTTGACCTGTAGCACAGGGATAATACCACCTACTCTCAAGGTGTCTATGAGGACTGTCATGGGAGGATGCCCTGCTCAGAGCTGGCATAGCCCAAGAGCTCTGGAATCATTAGGAGAATCAGGGCCCTTCCAGTTCTCCCTTCCTCTGATTCTCCTTGGGACCCTGAGCAAAATGCACTAGGATCAATCATCACTGAGAAGAAAAGGCTGAGGAGCCTGGGGCCCAGCTCCACACTTACGCTCAGAGCCCTTGGTGTAAAACTGCTTGACAGAGTCATAGAGGCCGATGCGGACAGAAGCAAAGCTCATCTGGCGCTGCAGGCCGGCGACCAGCCCGTTGTAGAGGCTGCGGGGCCCCTCGGTGCGCACCATGGTCAGGATGGTGCCCAGCACGCCGCGGTACTGGACACTGGCCGCAGCTCTCACTGCCGCCTGCTTTTCTCCTTGGATCTGCAAGGCCAAGATAGGTATAGGGATAGGCAGGTTGCCATCCCCATCTCCTGCCATCCCTATGCTCCAAAACTTATAGTCCCGAACACCCCACTGGCCCTTGAGGAATCTGCATCTTGGGGAGGGAACAGACTAGACACCATCAATATCCCTAGTTCATCCCCTCACCTGCAGCCGGACTTTTGCAGTATCCAGGGGAAAGGTGATGAGATCTGCAATGCAGGCAGCTGTGCCAGCCCCCAGGAACTTCACGGTGGCAGTAGGGGGCACATCTGTGGCCTTAAACCCAACCATGATGCTGATTTCCAGCTACCTCCCAGAAGATGAAGACAAAGTGGAGAAGGGGGCACCTTCAACCAGCAATAAGACGAGATAGAGGAACTCTGCCGGAATCTGTGCCAAGGAGAGAGAAGCCCCATCATTATCAGTATGCCTGGGCCCTCCGTGCTCACCAACCCCACCGCTACTTTCCCTGACAGCACCACCTCCCCAAGCAAGGGCTAGAGCAACCCTAAGAGGGAAAATAGGAGTGAGTTCCGGAGGTACTCAAATAGAGGCTGAAAGAGCAATTCCTGCCTGAGGAGCCCAGGTTTAGTGAAGAGCTCCCTCCCTTTCACCACAGAGGGAGTCTGGATCACAGATATCCTAATGCTGTCTCAGCCAGGCCCTGGCCCAGACCTCTGTCCGCTGGGTCCAGATATTTCTCTGGTGACGCCCACATTCCTGTTTCTGCGGGTCTGCCTGGAAAGCAGACAGAAGTGGGGAGAAGGTTTCAGCCAGACCAGAACCTGACAGGCATAAATCTGCAGGCTTATGCCTTGGGTTTCTTAAGCAGAAGTTCCTATGGGTCTGGAATTGCCTAAGTCTGGAAGAAAAGGAATGGTTAACCCAATTCAGTTCCTTCCCAGCCCATCAGTCTTACTCTCTCCCCTAGCCCTCGCATAGTTTGGGCTCTCTTGAATCACTCTTTCAACAAGACTGCTTTGTGAGGTCCTGGTTCACTGTGATACAGGAGACAGTATCTGCCCTAGAGGGGCTTCCTGTTTGGCACAGGGAGTGGGCAGGTGACTCAAGTTGCACCGGGGCTTGCAGGGCATACCGTTAAACTGCAGAGGAGAAACACTCCCAACAGGAGAGAGGAAAGGAAGAGTGGGTAACCAGAAGATCTAGAAAAGGTAACACTTAGCTGGACCTTGAGGGAGGCTGGGCAATTCCCGGGGCTCAGAGTAGGGCCTAGGTGCTCAACTTTCCTCCCTGGCCTGCTGTGTGATTCAGAGAAAACCACCTCCCCTTCTCTGTCACAGGGGAACCCACAGTTTCACCACAAAAGAGGTGGGGATGGGGAGATGCAAGTCAGAGATATGAAGAGCCACACAGACAACCAAAAGCTCCATTTTGTTCTAGTTGGAACAACACCCCTCCCTCCCCCGCTAAGGGAGGAAGTGAGCCCAGCACCCCAGCGGAGGAGGATGACATGCTTCTCTCTCCCCTGAGCTTGCTTCTCTGCTTTTGTAGGAGCAGCGCTCTGAGCTCAGTCTGATTGGCTGCCCCTGTTGCTGGGGACAGGAGGAAAGAGCTGACCAGCAAAAGGAGGATGTGGTGGGAGCCAGCTGTGAACAGAGACCCATGGAAGCAAACAGCTCCAGGGCTCCTTCTCCTGCGTTCCTAGCCCAAAAAGCTGGGGCAAATGGGGAAGTCCACAGCCTGCTCACACGCTCAATTGCATCAGAAACTCCTATAGGGTGGGGCTTATTTTCATTTCTCTAGAGTGTGGCTCACTTTAGGCACAGTGAAGATGGGCACTCAAATGGCGCAATGGGTTGATGAGGGTGCTCCAGACTCCCTAGCTTCCCTGCTCTGACATCCCCACCCCTGGGAGGTGCTGCACCCGATTGCCTGGGGTACTCCATTGCCTGGCTTGCTCCTCAGAGTGGCCCTGTGACAGGGCTGCCCTTACTTCCATATTAGAGATAAAGAGGGAACTTGCTAAGACAGCCACGTCGACAGGCTCCAAAGCTTATGCTGTTTGCTTTGAACTGGTGCCCAGCTCATTTCTTTCCTGTTGTTTTCTCAGCCCCAGTCACAGGTAGGGCCTTTCACATTGAAGTCCAACAACCAAATTCTCTTGTGCCCACACGAAAGTCCTCAGAGGGTGAAGGCAAATGGCATCCCTTCTCTGGGCATCAGAGACATGACGACATTAGTCTCATGTCCTGACTTTGAGCTGGGTTGAGGTTGAAGTGAGCACCAGAACGAGTAAGACTCATCACCTTGCCCACCTCGCAGCCAAGTGCAGAGACTCAGCTGTCATTCTGAATGTTGCCTTGGGGTTGCCACAAATCAGGTCCTTTAGAGGCATGAGTATGGGGGTAAAGGCTGCCTCTGCTAAAGATCTTACTAAGAAGCATTAGTAAAACTCAGATCTAGAAAGAGTTAATCATATTTTACAGTCCCTGGCAAATAACCAGTTTCAGTGTCAAAAAAAAGTACATCTCATTACTAGTCTGAATCTCAGGGACAGTCAAAGCTGGAGTCAACAACATGTAGTTAGAACAATAGGTTCCTGTTCTCCTGGTTCCCAGGGTCACCCAGGGCCAATCACTGTCCCACCTGGGCCTCAATTTAGTCCTTTGTAAAATGGGGGCCATTATCCTAGGCATGTCAGGGTCAGCAATAAGAGCCAGAATGAGATCAGGGATATATGACAGTGCTTTGTGAAATGTGAAGAGCAACTTCACTGGGGCGGGGGTTGGGGGAAAGGTGGTAATTGTTTTTGTTAATATCCTGCTGACCCCTCACCCTTACCCCAGACTATAGGGCTAGGAGGCAGTAGGAGATCCCCCCTAGACTGGACTCTTACCCGGCTTTGTAAGGTCTCACGCTGAGGCCGCTAAGATCAAGCTTCTCTAAAGGTGTCCCGTTCTTCAAAGCTGCCAGCAGCTATCATGGCCCGATCCTGTTGGTTTTCCATAGAAAATGGCTGGGAGACGAAACACCTAAAGTTCATACTATGTGTCCTGTGGGTAAAGGCAAAGGAGGAGAGTTCAGAAGGAAATCCACCTTAAATGACCACACCCCAACAAGGAAAGGGCCCCTGCCCAAGGCACGCAGTCCACTCAGTCAGTGCCTATAGAAGGATGGAACAGGGTCCATTACCCCAGGGTCGCTGTGGAGTAAGTAAGTGCACACAATGGAGGGGGGAAATGAACCCAGGAATTCCACCTCCTCTGTCTGCTCTCTTAGTATTAACGCATTGGCTCTTCCAGACTTCTGCTTTGGTGGCACGCATTACTCTGGAAAGCATCCCCCTACCCAGTCAGCAGGGGCGGATGGGCGAGAGTCAAGATGGATCAGAGACTCGCTGAGAATCCACTAGGCCCCAGAGCAGGGCTGCGAAGTTGGAGGAGTTGGGATCGGGCGCGTGAGGGAAGCAGCTCAAAGCCCCATCTCAGCAAAAATAGCCCCAGCAATGGTCTGGAGCTCCCGGCGGAGGGAGCGGTCATTCAGGTCGTTGCTGCTGCGCCAGAAGGCCCCCGCCCAAGGCAGGGCTGTGCATTCTCTGGCCAAGGGAAGGGAGATGGGAGGGCGAAGGTTTAAATTACAGCCAATTAAACGCGAGAGGTAGAGAACAAAAGCGAGATGGGGAAAGGGTGAAAGATGAGAGATAAAGACAGGAGGGACAGAGAGGAAAAATACTAAATAGTTTGGGAGTAGGAGGGAAATTAATGAGAGGGAAGAGCGCGGGTCCGTGCGGCCGGGGTAGCGGGCGTGGAGCAAGTGCAGCGGGAGCTGGGCTGGGGCGGGCCGGGGCCGGGCTCACCGGTCCGCAGGGAGAACACGAGACGAGAGAGCGGGGGGCTCCGTCGGTCAGCAGTCGGAGGGTGCGCGGAGGAAGCGCAGGCAGTACTCTATCCGAAGGCGCGGGCGCTGAGGCTGGCACTTGGGGTCGGTTGAGGCTGTCGCGGGAATTTAGTCCCGCGGGCGGGGCCTGTGGGGAGGGGCGGGGTTTACGGGCCCTGAGGCAGAGTCGCCTTCCCGCCGGCGGCCTCCGGGCGCACCCTTTTCTCCACTTCTATTTCCGTGAGGGTGGCGCATCCCCGCGTATACCCGCCCCCCCTCGCCCTTAGATCTTCCCCCGCGGTCACTCCTTTCCCCGCACTCCGCCAACATTGCGAGAATGGGAAGACTGACGCCAGAAAAGCAGAGGCTGCCAAGGGTCGCACACGCCTCTGCGCCCAACCTTCCCTGCCAGGGCTCTTTCTTTCATACAGTCATTTATTCATTCATTTGTTTGTTTTTCAAATACATTTGTCTCCACTTTCCCCTGCCCTCTTCCCCCACCTCCCTCCCTCAATCCTTTCCCACTTTGGCTTTGTCCATGGGTCCTCCACACCTGTTCCTTGACTTGACCCTTCCCTTCCAGTTCCTCGCCCCTTCCCCACCACCCACTTCCCTCTTGATTCTGTTGGTTTCTTTTTTCTTTCAATGTTGCTGGTTATATTTTCCTTGTTTGTTTTGTTGGTTAGGTTCCACTTATAGGTGAGATCATATGGTATTTGTCTTTCACCCGGCCAGGGCTCTTTCTAACAGCTGCTCAGAGCCTAGGGTGTAAGCGCAGGCCTTCCTTTCACAGGGCCATTTTGCGCCCAGGCCTCTGCAAACCAACCGTCTGCCTCAGGCGCTGGCTCCGGCTCCCGCTGGGCGGGGCCTCCTGACCGGCCTCGCTGGCGCTTGGTTAAAGCCACCACGTTGACAGAGGAAGGAGCCAATTCGAGCTGCAGCGGCAGGTGGCTCGCGACCGCCAACGGTCGCCGCGAACAGCTGGCCTTCCTGCCTTCTCCCGCCGAGGATGAGTCTGGCCCTGGGGACCCGCCGGGTTTCCGGCCCGGGTAGGGGGGCACCAAACGTGACGCGAGAGGGCCCGCACCCTGCGAGTGAGAAGGCCGAACAGAGCCCAGGCTGTGTCCGGGACAAGCACGAGCGTTAGGTCTCTGTTTGCCCTTGGACTCTGTGTCCCTGCTTCTGTGTACCCTCTGTCCTTTGCTGTTTTCATCTTTGTCTGCCTCCAAAGACTGCTGTGGGGGGTGGTGTCTCCCTGAGTAGACTGTAAGCTCCTCCAGCCCGGGAAGGTATTTCCTGTATTTTAGTATCACAATACTCAAGGGCCGATGATATATACATATACTACAGGCTCAGTATGTGCAGTTTGGGCCGCTGTTGAAAGTGCCTTGAGAGATGTAACTGGGAGAACCAGGGGAAACGAACGTTTGGTGAATGTGGTAACTATGTTCAGGTCCAGGTCGTGTGGATACTCCCTGTGAGGCCAGTATTAACCCCTCTTTTACAGATGAGAAAACAAGAATCCCAGGAAGGTTAAATCACTCGCCCAGTGTCACACAGCTAGGAAGTGGTGAGCCCTCCCTCAAACCCTGGTCAGTTAGGCCCCGTGAGTGTGTTTTCTATATTGTCCATAAACAGAAGGACTTGGCAGCTGAGGAAACAATAGCTGGAATGGGGATGGATAATTAGCGCGGATGTCCAGGAAAAAAATCCAAACCTATAGAAAAGTTTTATAAGAGTTTATTTTAACAAAATTTTTTAGGAGATGGCTGGAAGCAAGATCTCAACGGAGTGAGAAAATGCTCTGGAGAGCGGCAGTGTTGTAGTTCCTTTTATGCATTTAGTATCAGGGGAAAACATACGGAAGGTACTACATGAAGTCTGATGATAGATAGAGGCGGGAGAAAGTAAAGAAGGGAAACCTCTAGGATTGGATAAAAAGCAAAACAGAGAAACATACTCCAACAATACATTGGTGGGTACAGGATAGATAACAATGAACATTTATAGTACATAGAGATGGTATGAGGGGACAAGATAACAATGAGGGGTTCTGTGGTCTCCAGCTCTGGTGGTCTTATGTTCTGATGCCTACGGTTGTGCTTTAGAGAAGTCTAAAAAAGAACATTACTCTGACATTTCAATGGTATGTTATTCTTAAATGCATAAGAAAAATTGTCATGGCTCACTTAAGGTAAATGTTGACCTTTGCTTTAGGCCTGGGATGTGACTACCTACTATAGGCTGCCCAGTTAAGTATTTGTGATCCGACTATCCTTTGTGTTTACTTTCAGTCACTGAGCTCATCACGTCTGCCATGTGGTGCCCCTGAGCTAGTCAGGTTTATTACAAAGTCCCTTTTTTGTTCACACAGGAAAGAAAAACACCTGAGCACATGGCTGGTAGAAGCAGAAGCAAAGTGGAAATTGAGAAGTCAAGTTAAAAAAATTACTTCTGGTACTGTGGGGTCTCCCATCCACTACTAACTAGACTTACACTCAAGTGCAAAAGCCAGACCAGCTTAAGATGGTAAAGCAAACTTGAAAAAGCTGGCCTCCATTTGAACGAGTGTTGAAGCACCTTCCTAGAATGAGTGAACAAAGTTAATGACATGTAGAGAGAGTTTTCTAATGGGATGTCAGAGTTTTTAAAGGCTTTCCTTTCTGCAAAGGTTGTCTATAGCAGTTTTCCTACAGACTCTCATTTAAATTCAGAGCTAAATAGCTCTGAATCAAAACGAGAGACCAGTTGGCTTCTGTTGTGGCAACATCAGAGTTCTGTTTTGTTGTGGACTCTTTAGTTGCTTCCTCAATGACAATTTACGATGATTCTGTACTTTCATTTGCTCTGAGCTGGAAGTTAAATCAGGTTCCCCTTTCTCACCATAAAGAGCACCAAGTTTTCTGTTTGCATGTTTACTAGTAGCATAAAAATGGGGACATATACACAAAAATTCCTACAACCTCACTTTGTTTCTTGATATGTGTAATGCTTATGAACACCCGTATCAACACAAGCAAACTCTCCTTGTAGCTGTATTTACCAAATGGAAAAGGTTTCTCTCATCCCATCATTCAACATCTGAGCTAATCTGAAGTAGGGATTACTTCAGGATTATGACTCCAAAAACATTACTGCTCAATAATAACCCTGAAATATATCTGATGAATTTTGAAGTCTTGTACCTTTGGACAGTAAAATAAATGAGAATCTGCCTTCTGTGCAGTGACCTCTAGATAACTGGTCAAATATTCTGGGGAGTACTAGTTGCTGATGGACTGAGTTCATTAGTGAGAGGAGCCGTGGAAAAAGACAATGTATAATTTTTGCATAGAACTCTGCCATAAGTTGCTGGTTCTAAATCAAGAAGGCTTCCAGAGTGGTAGAAATTCAGAAGAAAACCATAACTGGCCTGTTCTGGCTATGCAGTTGTGTGGCTATATCATTATTAATATGCAGAGACAGTGTTGTGTTTCTCAGAGTAAGTGCCTGACCAAAATATCTCTGCACTTCTCTACCAGTGTTTTGAACCTTTTCTAGATCTGTAAGAAAGCTGTCCAGAGTTACGTGCAAATTTACCAATTTTTGGTGAAAGATTGCCGATAATTAAAAAGGTAAGAGTTGAGTCAAATAGAAAATCAATAAGTTGTGTGGATCCTGTAGAAAGCCCCGGATGGCTTTTATCAGCTGTGTCAGCTGGCTCTTGATGATTTTCATCAGTATCAGAGCTGACAAAGCTCCTACTTTCCTTGTCATCTAGTGATAAAAGTATCTTTTGTGGATAGAAAGTACTTTAAAATCTGTTTACAGATTAAACATTGAAACTGATCCACGTTATTACTTTCTCTCCTTATGGGCAAAGTCCAATCAGCAATATATGGAAACACCATTCTTTTTTTTTTTAAGAAATATATTTCTTTTTTATTTTTAAATCCTCACCAACTATATGTTTATTGATTTTAGAGAAAGAGGGAGGGGGAGAGAGAGACAGAGAAAGAGAGAAGAAACAGAGAGAGATTGATGTAAGAGAGAAACGTCGATCAGTTGTGTTCTGTATGATCCCCGATCGGAGATTGAACCTGAAACTTAGGTATATGCCCTGATGGGGATTGAACCTGCAAACTTTTGGTATTTGGGATAACTGAGCCACCCCACCACAGTAGCAACACCGTTCTTAACAAGGGAAAGTCTATCTCAAGGACATTTGCAAGCTCTGCAACATTAGTATGCTCAACGATTGAAAGAAATATAGTTTGAAAGTTTCATTGCCTCGTTATCTTGCACTCAATTCATTACAAAATAGAATAAAATTGTCACTAGATAGTGATACATTTGAGTAAAATTGTTATGTAAACTATGTATCACATTGCAACCTAGTGATCTGAATCAGTGATGTTATCTACAGTATATTTGTGCATATCTTTATGTCATTTTTGTGACCTGGGCAGCCTATACCATCCACCACGCCTCTCTGGCAGTTTCCACTGGCATTATTAGTAGATGATGTGACCATTCTTCAAATTTTAAAAAGAAAAAAATTTGATGATCTACATTGATTTATACTATCAATGTATTACTGCTACTCTTTTATGCCAAGAAAACAGCCAGCCCTACTAAAGATGGTCAATGAAGCATAAATTTTCTCATTGTCCATAATGTCCTCTGTAATCTCAGTATAATACAGAAATGGTGTTACCTTTGGGCCCTTTACCATAATATCCAATAAATGGTAAAGGTCTAGCATGAAATAATCTTGACTGTAATAGTTCCTCAAAGTATTTGCATCCACCTTTCTGGACATGTTTAAATTATGTTTCTGTATCATAACACAGACTGTGATATGTAGAGGACAACCTGCTTTGCATATTTTACTCTCTGAATTTCCAAGACCCTGTCATATGTTGGCAGGCAGTTTGCTCTGTGAGTGGCTGTGCCTGATGTGGAACTCTGTGCCTGTGATGCAAGGGCCTTGCGGCAGTTGAGAGGAGCCTTCTGGAGGCATCATTGTCTACGCTTTACAATGCCTGTGCTGCTTTCTGGTGAGGGCTCCAGCCAGCTCAGTGTGACAAAGAACAGTGTCAGGGGTGTATCAGAGGATCTAAGTTTCTTCATTAAATTATTTTTTAAGAAAAAATGAGCTTTCAAAATCATCTCTCTCATAAAATAATTCTCCAGGCCCACTAACCTACTTTCATATGTGACCATTCCTCAAATTTCAATGAAAAGATTGGAGAATGCCTTAATTTTGCTTCTCTCCATTTCAAAAATTTTGCCTGTATGGCTCTCCTTTATTTCTAGGTTTATCATATCCTTTCTATCTTGGCCCATCCCACCTATACCCATTACTCTGTGCTCTTGTTTCCCCTAGGACCTGGCTTTGCAATCTTTCCCCCTCATCTTCAATCTTTCCTTACTTGTGTGTATGTGTGTATGTATAAATTGAACCTGCAGGTCTTTCTTACCCCTTTTACAATGGCTTTCTTTCTCCTTCCTTTTCCTGTCACACTTTCCCAACAATTGGCTGTCCTCTGACTTCTCAGCCTCTGGCACAGTTCTTACGTATTTGATGAGTGAATAAATGAATGATCTCTCATACACCTCCTCATTCACTTCATGCCAGCCACATGGGCCCTCTTTTTGTTCTTTGAACATGCCAACCTCATTCCCACAGACTGTTCTGTTCTAGTTTCCTGGAACACTCTTCCTCAGATCTTTGCCCAGCCAGCTCTTCTCATCATCCCTACACACACACACACACACACACACACACACACACACACACACAATTGCACATGTCAGTCAAGTCAAAAGTAAGGGAAATTTGTATATTACTGCTTTTTAAAAAGATTTATTTATTTTTAGAGAGAAGGGAAGGGAAGGAAGAGAGAGAGAGAAACATCAATGTGTGATTGCCTTCCCCACAACCCAGGTGTGTGCCTTGACTGGGAATCGAACTGGTGAACTTTCGGTTCGCAGGCCAGCACTCAATCCACTGAGCCACACCAGCCAGGGCAGTAAGGAACATTTTTAAATATGAGTTTTTTTTGAAAGCCAAAGCAGGCACTAAATTGATAATTTTTGTATTTTGCTTTTGTTTGTGCTTTCCAGTTTGTATATGTAGATGATCTCAAATTATAATTTAAATTTAGGAAAGTGCTGAGTGTAAGTGAATATTCACTTTTTCCCAGGGTCCAGAGGAGGCAGTGTGGGGGAGGGAAGGATGACTTTGCTGAACATTCCTCCCGGTGCTTTGGCTGCTAGTAAGGTGGGGTGCAGTGTGTGGGCGTGTGGGGCCAGATCTGGCTCAACCCTTGCAAACAGGAAGCCTGAAGTGAGAAAGGGAAATTCTGTCCAAGAAAGAAGGTAGAAAAGTGGCTGTTCTCATTTGAATACCCAAGGTGTGAATTCCTTTACCAAGTCATAATAATTTTCCAAAAATTCTGAGTCCTGCTACTTTTGGCTGTCAGTCCTGCCATTTCTCTTTTCCTCCAACCCCCTTACTCTTCAAGGTGCCTCACAGTCGAGTCAGAGAATGGGGGCTAAATGGGAGGGTGTCCTGTGGCCACATGTCATCCTCTGTCCATGAGTCCTGGGTTCCTTTGGCCATACCTCTAGTCAACCGTCTTTCAAAAACTTCCCTGGCACTTCCTCACTGTTCTGACAAAACCTTTCCCAAGGCCTTGTCTTTATACTTACATTTGTACAGAATTTTTGCTTCTATAAAGTGCTTTCCTGTCCAGCTCCCCACTTGATCATCACGCCACCCTGGTGAAGTAGCAGGAATGGGATTTTTACTCCCATTTTACAGAGAAGGAGACTGAGGTGGTCCTCTGGATTTTCAGTGTCATCAGGGATGAATCGCAGCCTCACACAGGGCCAGCAGTGCTCCTTTGGCACAGGTTCCAGGTTTTCTCTTTTTTTCTCACGTTTCCTAGAATCCCAATGGATTCTACACAGCAGACACACTACATACACAGCTGGTGGTCCATGGCTAATCACAGGCTTCAGCCACAAGCTTTGCGCTGCCTGGCAGTGTCCCTCTACACCCTAGCTGGTTGCCAAGTCACCATGTACCACTTCTGTCCACTGCTTGCAGTCTTTTCCTTCATCATCAAATCAGATTTTTCAGCTTACAAACTTCCATTTTATCCAAATGGGTCTGTTTCAGTTTATTCCCTCTAGCCTAAATGTTAGGCATCCAACCTAATAAGATTAAAAAATTAATGTAATTTATTTTCCACCTTGTCAGTGCGAAACAAAAAATGTTCTAAAGACAATGCACTGAAGACGAGACTCCTTCCTCCTCTTCTCCTGTGTTTCTTGAGTCGGCATCAAGAAACAGTTCTGTAAACATGTGTGGGTCTGTGTCCCTGTGTGTGTGGACCCACTGATTTATTCCACTCTTGACTGGTTTTTTCCAGTTAACGTCCCAAGTGGCCTTTCTGATTCAAAATGAAGATTCCCGAAGCATCTGAACTTTCATCAAGGCCCGTTTCAGCTGCTCATAGGTTACAAACATTATCACGTTCCAGGCTCCCAGTCGCAGAAAGGAGGGTGTAAATCTGATGAGAAAAACAACCACATCAGGCGGACAGGACTAAGTTCCCAAAGAGATCTGCTGCGCACTCCCCACCACCGTGGTAGTGTCAGTGGACCTAAACTTGTGTTAGTCATGAGCGTTGTCTAAGATCGGTTCAGTCTTTTTCTTCTCTGCTGAAGGAACTTAGGCAGAAGTTGGAATCAGGAAAGAAAACTAACATTTTTTAGCCAGGTTACTATTTCAGGCAGTTATCCTCACAGTTCTGTAACATAGATATGATTGTTGCCAGTTGCCTTTTTCAGAAACGGGGGCCCACCAGGGTTAAGTAGCTCTACTAAACCACCTGTCCCCACTCTGCTGCTGGGTGTTTCTGGGCTCATTTACATCCTGAATGGTCACCCCAGATGAGGCACCTGCCAGGGAACCAAGAAGCTGGGGCACTGAGAAGCTGAGGCACTGCAGGGCAAAGATGGCGTAACACCAAATACAGCTGATCTCCGGAGAGCCTACCTATCCAGTGACAGCGTGTCCAGGAGAGAATCCCATTTGAGCTGTGCTTCGCAGACTCAGGGAAGAGCCTGTGACCTGGCCCATGCCCTCCTCTTCAGCCTGTCTCTGCTAACCCCCTTCTGGTCCCCTCTGCCCCTGCCAGACCCTTATTTCCATGCCTTTGCCCATGTTGCTCTTTCTGCTTGGAATGTCCCCTACTCTCCTTGCCTGGCTGGTTGCTGTTGGCTCTGTAGGAATCAGCCTAGGTACCATAACATCACACCAAGGCCTCTCCTGAACCCTCAGCCAAGGCCCTACAGGGAGTATAGCAGCACTAGGGCGCTGAACATGAACTCTGGAATCAGATCTGGGTTTAAATCCTAGCTCTACTAGTTTCTAGCTTCATGATCTTAGTTGAATTAATCTTTCTGAGACTCAGTTTCCTTATCTGTAAAAGGAGGAAAACAATGGTATCTACCTCACAGAGTTGTTATGAGGATTAAATGGATTAATGTACTGCTTGTAGTAGAGGGCCCAGCATCAGCAAATGCTCAGTAGATGTAACATACTTGTCTGCTGCTCTTTGAGGGAAACATAGCACAAGGTCTGGCACCCATGAGATGCTCAGGAAATGATTCCCAAGTAAAATAATAAACCGAGACAAGTGGCTGCAGCTGAAGATTGTAAGAAGCGGAGGAACTTACAGGAAAAGAACAATCTGTTAAAGGAAACACACACTGATGATGTCATTCCCAGGGCCGAGAACATATTTGCTTGTTAAGTTCAATCTAACGCTGGGCACCAGAAAACTACCATCAGTGGTGGGAGGTGAGAGGGCTAAGAAAAGAGCTTAGCAATTCAATGAACAACATGTCGTGTCTGATGGTCTGGGTTTGAGCCATGATTCTGTCATTTTAATTTTGTGGTCTTGGACAAGTTCCTTGATATTTATGAGTCTCTTCCTGAGGAAATGGGGAAAATATTGCCCAGTTCAGCGGGCTGTTGACATAATATATGTAATGTGCTTATATTAGGCCTTGTATCAAAGCCTAATACACAGAGACTTAGTGATAACGATGATTGTTGATAACCTAAGTACTGAGTGCTAGCTTTGTGCTTGGGACTTTGGGAGGTGAAAGATGTATAAGCCACCAGTCCTTGGCTTTAAAGAGCTTGCACTCTAGCATGGTGGATAATTTAAACTTACAAATACTATAACACAAAGTAGGAGGTGGTAAATCCCATACAAGTGGTATCAAGGAAGTACTGGTGAAGCTCACAGGGTACTTGAGAGTGTTGGGGAGGAGGTGGCATTTGAACTAGTCTTGAAGAACAGCTAAGATTAAGAGCATGTCCATTTTGATGGTTGCTAGAGTGGTGTTGAGGGGATGTGTGAAAAAGGTAAAGGGATTAAGAAGTACAAATCGGGCCTTGACTGGTGTGGCTCACTTGGTTGGGCATCATCCCTCAAAGCAAAAGGTTGCTGGTTCGATTCCCAGTCAGGGCATATGTTTGGGTTGTAGGTTTGGTCCCAGGTCAGGGCTCGTGCAAGAGACAAGTGATCAATGTTTCTTACACACATCAATGTTTCTTTTGCTCTCTTTCTCTCTCCTTTTCCCTCTCTCTATAAATAAATAAATGAAACTGTTAGTTTGAAAAAAAGTCTAAATTGGTAGTTACAGAATAATTACTGGGATGTAAAGTACAGCATAGAGAATATAGTCAATAATATTGTAATAACTGTATATGGTATCAGATGGGTACTAGATTTATCGGGGTGATGACTTCATAAGTTATATAAATGTCTAATTAGCCCTGGCTGGTGTGGCTCAGTGGATTGAGTGCCAGGCTGCAAACCAAAGGGTTGCTGGTTCGATTTCCAGTGTAGGGCACATGCCTGGGTTGCAGGCCAGGTTCCTGGTGAGGGGTGTGCGAGATGCTACCACACATTGATGTATCTCTTCCTCTCTTTCCCTCTTTCTTCTCTTAAAATAAATAAAATCTTATAAATAAATAAATGTCTAATCATTGGGTTGTACACCTGAAACTAATATAATATTGTATATCAACTATAATTGAAAAACAAAAAGTTATTTTTTAAAAAAGATTTAGAGCATGTAGATGGCATGGGAAAGGCATCCCAGGCAGAGGGAACAGTAAATGCTAAGATACAGAAGCAAGAAAACGTGACACACATTGGGCACTTCAGGTGCCATCTGGAGTGATCCCCAGCTGTGGCAGTGGGTTGGGGAAAAGTCTCAGGAGCACCAACCACCTTTCCCTCCTTCTCCCCTGCTCAGTAAATGTGGTGACAGCACTTTGCCTAGACTCCTTTTTCTCAGATAAGCTTCCCCTGACTCTCCAAATTAGATCTGGTTCACTCTCCTTTTTTCCTTTTTTCTTTTTTTTTTTTAACTTCCATAGTTCTCGATACTTTCCTTTGTGGCATTAACATCTCTGCTGTTCATCACTGCATCCTCAAATGGACCCACTATACATGAAAGGAAGAAAGGAAGGACAGAAAGAATAAAGGAAAGAAAAAAGGAAAGGGAAGGAGGAAGGGAAAGGGAGGAGAGTCGGAGGGGGAAGAGAGCCGGAGTGTTCTGGGGTAGGGGAGTGTGGAGGCGGGGGAAGCTCACCCCTTATAGAGGGCTGTGGGACCCTCCCGGGCCACCATCTTCAGCATACAGTCCAGGGGGCTGCGGTACTGGCCTGGGGGCGAGTTGATATACCGGGTCTTCACCACGTCCACTGGGGAGGCCACCACTGTGGCACATAAACCGGCTCCGAAGGCAGAGACCAAGTGGCAGGGGAAGTTGTCTGCGGCAGGGAAAGGAAGAGCAAATGTTGGGCTCCAAGATGGGGAGTGCGCTTGCTTTCTGTCCCATGTGTGCTTATGTCCCCAATTAAATGGCGAACTTTTCGAGCTTAAGGACATTATTTTCCATCTCTCTCCCTGCCCTGGGTGGAGCTCCTGGTGAGTACTGGCAAGACAGAACTGAGCAATCCAGAGTTGGAAGGTCATTCAGCCCAGCCACCTTGTTTGGGAAAACTGAAATCAGTAGGCGATCCCTGCTTTAAGATGCATGGTGAGAAGTGGTGCTGGGCTGGAGCCCCAGCCCCTGGCTTCCCCGTTCAGGGCTTTTTCCTACTCGTCACAATGATGTGCTGGTCACTGCTCCTCTCTCTGCTCCTTCTAAAGCCCCGTTGCCTCTGGGTGGTGGCCACTATGTGGAGTTCGAGGTTCCCTCCCTACTGTTTGTGCCGGGGGCTGTCTGCCTGGAGCCCAGGGCCTCACCGGTGAACAGATGATAGTCTAGCAGCTTCTCCTTGATGATGTCATAGGTCACCATCTCAGCACAGTTGACAATGGCATTCCTCATGATGTTGGGTAAAGTTCCTGTTAGAAGGGGAAGTGGGAGCTGGTAAATGGGAGTAGGAGAATAGAACCCCCACAGGCTCCAGTTTGCGGGGCACAGCACCTTGTTCTAGTAGCCTCAGACAGCCCACCTCAGCTGAGCAGATCACATATTTTCCTGTGCTGACAACTCTCAGATTGTCCATGTCTTCCTCACAGGCAGGAAACAGAAAGGCCCACTGTGTGTGTTTGGGCCACATTTTGGAGGATAATCTGCAATACCTATCAAAATTTAAATATACCTGCCCGAGACTTGTCTAGAGCTAGAAAAGGAAACATTTTTTGGAAGAGGGAGGCTGGGCTCTTGGAACAGGGACAGAGTGTAGTGCAGGCAGGGCCCACGGAAGGCCTCAGACCAGCTGCCTGGTTTCACAGATGAGGGCTGGGCTCCAGGAGGGCCCAGAGCAAGTGACTGCAGGGCCAGGGCTGTGACCCAGGAGTCCTGCTCTTAACTTTCACTGACTGGGTCACTGTTTCTTCTGCAAGGATTCATGTGACCCCTGGTCCCCATATGGGAAAGACTCCAGCATTTGTGGAGGTTGCCACCATTTATACACATAGGCACCCTAAAGCCATGCTCCTGTGGAAGCTCCCTCCTCACAGGATCTCCCTATGCCCCACTCCTCACGGCTGCCATTTCTTCTCCAAGCCATGCAGTCACCTCTCTTAGACCTTTGCTTGGGGGGCCTCCTTTGCATCTCCACACAAGCAGAGTCTGCTGAGCCTTTGAGGCTCAGCTTAACATCACCTTCCCTCCAGACCCTGCATGGGCTCTCCTGACTCTGGACCTGCACCTCTGCGTGAACCCAGCACATCCTGCCCCGTGGAATGGCTGCTCCTTGATGCGTCTCTTCTTCTCTGTGGGGGTGGAAGGTGTCTTCTGTCTTTCACTTATTTCTCTCTCCCTCCCAATAGCCTGCACGTGAGGAAGGGTTAGCACGTTGAACTGGGGCACTGTGGTAGGTCAGGAAATATTCTCTCTTGGGATATTCTTTCAGAATCACTGGCCTACACTGTGCTGGGAGTCCCGTCATTGCTCAGTTCTCTGCCTGAGCCCTAGGGTAGGGACAGCTCTACCGAAGGCCCCCTGAGCCTGGAGCCCAGACTTACCTTTCCACAGGCCCCTGACCCCTTCCTCCCTGGCGATGGTCCTATAGGCATCCATTGTTCCGCTGTACTTCCTGTTGCTCCCAGTGCCAAGGTGTATGGTGGCCTGAAATCGGACCTTGACTACATCCGTGGGCTGGGCACAGGTTACCGCCATGGCCCCTGTGGTGCAGCCTGCCAGAATCCGGCTGACGAGGCTGGAGTCTGGGGAGAAGAGGAGCGAGTGGGCCAGTGCCCCACCACCTGACACCGCTCTGGGTCTGATGCTGTTCTCTGCAGAGCTGCCCCTGCCAGGTATCTGCCTCTTCTCCTGGGTTGGGGTTCCGGGGCTTTCTTGACGGGTCTCTGAGTCTCCTCATGAGTGCCTGTTACCAGCTCCCCACACCCTAGCCCTGCCTCTGAGTCTGCACTGCCCTGGTCTCTGGACCCCCATGCCCTGGTTCTGCTTCCACCCACCCGCCGGTGTCCATGGGATACTGGGCACTCACGATCCGCTCCTTTAGGGGTGTAGAACTGCTTGACAGAGTCATAGAGGCCGATGCGGATGGAGGCGAAGCTCATCTGGCGCTGCAGGCCGGCGACCAGCCCGTTGTAGAGGCTGCGGGGCCCCTCGGTGCGCACCATGGTCAGGATGGTGCCCAGCACGCCGCGGTACTGGATGTTCCGGGCCACCTGGGCTGCCTGGGTCTCCCCCTGGATCTGAGGGACACCCCCCACAGAGGTGTGAGGAGCTTGGTAGGGAGTGGATGGGGCTGTGTTCAGAAGGACCTGCCTGGGGCTGGATTTCGAGAACAAACAGGATCACAGCTGTCACATCCCAGAATAGCTGAGGTTTGTGCAGCAGTTCACAGCTCACAGGGGATTGATTCTCAGAGCAAATGGAGGCCAGGCTGTTTTTCCCACTTACAGTGGTCAGTCGCTTGCTCTAGGTCACCCAGTAATTCCTTACTTTTACTTTACTCTTTACAGTTTACAAAGTAGGGCTAGACCATGAAAGGCTCCGTCATGTCATGCCAAGGAATTACTATTTTCTTGTCTTGGGCAATGGTGGTGGGGAAGTGGCAAGGCAGGGTCTTAAGCAGTGGGGTGAGTGGTCTGGTCAGGGTTCTGCGTGAGGCGGAGCTTGCTGTCGGACAGTGCAGGCGCTGTGGTAGAGAGCTCAGCCTCTCCTTTGATGTGAACGACCCTTGGCCAAAGGGCACCTACCTGCAGGCGGACCTTGGCCGTGTCCAGTGGATAGGTGAGGAGGTCAGCAAAACAGGCGGCCGAGCCTGCCCCCAGGAATTTCACAGCCGTTGTGGGAGGCACCTCTGAAGGCTTCAGTCCAACCATGGTCCCAGAAGTCTCTTCCAGCCCCTTGAGGGCCGGTGCAGGTCCAAGGACGGAGGTCACTCTGCAGCCCTGGGCGTTACTGCAGGGAGGAGCCTGCAGGAGACAGGCCAGAGGAGGTCGATGGAACCTGTGCCGACCAGTTCCCAAGCTTCCCCCAGCACCAAGGGGGCTATGTAAGTGAAGAGCCTGGGCATTACCATGTTTAGCTGTGTGGATTTGGATTATAAAAACTGGTCACTTGACTCTGCCTTATCTCATTTGATCTTTCCCAGCATGAAGTTGCATTTAAAATTTTATTTTTATTTTTTAAACTTTTGAATTTGAGGTATAATTTCCATACAATGGTTGCATGCATTTTAATGGCCACTGAACTGTAATGGGAATTGTGTGTTGATTCTGGGATATTTGGTCGCAACGGCAGATAGAGGAAGCAATTTTCTGGGGCGAGGACCCAACCTGGCATCCAAGCATACATAAATCAGATCATGTCATCCCGTCTAAAACTGTCCATTGTGCCCCCTCCGCCAATCCTATTATTCAGATCAAAGTGCCAAGTCCTTGCCATGGCCCATGATCCATGAGATCCACCCCATGCTGGGCCCTGTGCTTGGCACTCCCCAGGAAATCTTGAGATGGGTAAAAACAGTGTGCGTGACCTGCCTGCAAGGAAGTCTCAAGGAGTCTTGTAGGAGCATTAGACATGCCTACAGATAACAGTAGGGCAAGATGAGCTGGACCAATGTCAGAGGAACGAGCCACGAAGAAGGGACTCACAGGAGGGAAAGACCTTCTCTCTTATTTGTGAGGTAGAATTAGAACAATTTCATGGTGGGGCTGGTTGAGGGGTTGCGTAAGCTAGGCCTTCAAGGGTGGGCAGGAGAAGGGTGTTTGAGGTACAGGGAAGGGCCTGAGCTCGTGTGAGAGCCTGGGGCATGGCTTCTGGTAGGAGGAGGGAATAGCTACTGGGCTGTGAGGACTTTGCAGTGAGCTTTACACACAATCTCAGGGGATTCTCTTAACTCCTCTGAAAGGGAGCTTTCTCTTCCTTTCCCCTACCTTGGATGAATGAGCACACCGAGACTCAGACACACGTGCTTGCTCAGTGTTCCCAGCCACTAGTGTCACAGCCTGGTTCCCTCTGCCATACTGGGCTTAAAATAGCCCTGGAAAGAAGGAAGGGCATTTAAATCCATTTTACAGATGAGAAAACAGAGGCTTAAGATGGAAGGAGACTGGCTCAAATTCACAGAACTCCAACCGGGTGCTTGTGACGGCGCAAGTCTCCCTTCACCATTCTACTCAGGGGCCCCAGGAGTTGTGGTGGTATGGATATCACGACTGTGCCTTTTTATCGAGGCCTTCAAAGGCTGGGTAGGCATCACCGCCTACTTTGGTAGGTAAAGAAAATGGGCCCCCAAGAGGCTGAGACCTCTGCAGGTTGCAGTCAGGCCTTGCCTCCCTCTGCCGGGCTCTTCCACAGCCCAACTTCCTGCCTTTCTGCAGTGCCTTCTTGATAGGGTCCAAGAGGGGTCTGGCTCCTTGGGAGGATGGTGAGGAGGCCCTGGTGTCCGCACAGCTGAGCCTGGCTGGGGAACAGTGTGGCAGTTGTGCTGGGAACACCACCCTCCCCCTGCCTCCTTCCTCATTCCCCTTTGCCCTACAGAGGACCAGCAGCTGCCAGGGCTGGCTGGGTCCCCAGCAGGGAGGTGCTGGCTCCTCTGCCTGGGGCTGGAATCTAATGGCCCGATTCTCAGAGCTGGGAGGTCCTTGGGGGCTGAGCTCTCTGGTGTCTCTTCCGGGTTGTCGGAGTGTGCCTTCTTCAAAACCTTTGGTGGCCACCCAGGCTCTAATAGAAGAACACTACGAATTAGGTATTTTTACTCCACTTTCAGAGTTACAAACTGAGGCGCAGACAGGTGGAATGACCTATCTGAGATCACAGGTGAGCAGGGCTGTGTGGCTCCAAGGCATTTGTATGGTGTGCCAGCCTGGCAGGGAACACTTCATGGGCTTTGCCTACCAGGCTGGATTTACCTTCCTGGAGGAGCTTGGCCAGGGGGCTGAACCACCGAGGGCTTCCCTTCCGAACTTCCTTTGTCTCCAGCTACCCCTGGTCCCGTAGGATTAGTTCATTAACTGCTGTTTGTCCCCCTGTAGATGGAGGACACCAAAGGCGGGGACAGGGTTGACTTACCCTGCTTCTCTGTGCAGCCAGGTGCAGGGGATGGTCTAGGAATTGAGGGGCCCATGGAGGAAGAGTTAACCAAGGAAACCTACTTGCTGAAGAGGGGAATTGAGAAATCTGGGGTGCCCAGAGGGGCCTTTGGGGGAGGGTCACAAATGCCAGGGCTATCCTTGTTCCATTAGACAGTGGAGAGAGGTTGGTGACTTTCAGGTTGAGGAGTGACACTAGCAGATCCCTGAGAACATGCTGGTGCAGGTTTGGATGGGCTGGGAGATGGGAGGCTCAGGGACCAGTGAGGAGGTTATTGGAATGGTTCAGCAAGGGGTGTTGGAGCCTCAACTTGGTCAAGAGCAGGGGCCCAGAGTGAGGCTGGAGGGTACCCGGAGGCAGTCCTGAGCCACCCACGGGAGGCAGAATGGATAGGAATGGACTCAGGTCAACAGCCACACCTTTTGGGGAGGACTCTAGAACTTCCGCTGGTCAAGCTGGGGTGGGCGGTAGGGAGGCCATAATGTTGGGCACAGGGAAGGGCTGCCCTGAGGCCAGTGCTCCCCAGCCTCCTTCCCTCTTCACTCCTGCCTCCTGAACTGGTACTCGAGGAGCCTTAGCAGCCAGTAGACCTTTACCACTGGCCAGTAGGTGAGGAAGTTGACAGCAGAACCCTCCTCCCACTAACTCTGTTGGGGTACCTGAGCGATGGAATGTTCTGGTATGAATGTCCTGGGGTCATGGTGCCCACTAATGTTTGCTGAGTGCTTCCTGCATCAGGAAGCACCATGCGAGGGCTTCCCAGGCATTGACTAATTCAAGCCCTTTATAAGACTCTAAGGTAGTTGCTATGACTCTTCCCACTTCATCCTCGAGGGACTGAAGGCTTTGAGGGCCTCAGCTGGTCCCAAGGCTGAGGGACAGAGCTGGGATCGGTGCCCAGGACTGTCTGACACCTGTGCCTGTTCCATTGCCCAGAGTCTCAGACTTCAGGGAGAGCTCAGGATCCCTGGAGCCACTTGTTTACCGAGTGGATTCTCAGCCCTCAGTGCCAGAGATCCCCATTCAGGCCTGGATTGGGGTCTGGGAATCTGCATTAGAAACAAGTTCCCTAAAGTAGGGGTCAGAAGACCCAAGCCTTATATACCCGACCCAACGCAACTGTACTGACAAAGCCTCCGCAGCATCCCCACTGAGGAAGTCGCTGCGTGGAGAGTTCCCACGGGCTCTGTAAAACTTCTAGCTCGCAAACTGGGCCAGGCCACATGCCAGACATGCCTCGACCATCCCTACTCAGGAAAGGGGTCCCCAAGGCCCTCATGGGGAAAAGATTTTATGCTCTGGAGGGATCCTGGAGGGATTCAGGACCAGATTAAGGAGAAAGCCACTTCTATCTATGGGGATGGGCAAAAGCACAGCAGAGACAGCCAGCAGAGCAAGGGGTAAGTCCTGGGTGAGTGGCATGAATGGCGGGGCTGAGTCCCCAGCCCTGCCACTGCGCTCTCATCAGGGCTGCAGTTCCCTCCTCCTGACAAGATTGGACTAAATCTCCATCAGCTCTGCCATGCAATGGCAGGGATCCCTGCCAGTTCCTGCCGAGATGGGGAGAACCTGGGGCTTACCTGTGAGTCCAGCCAGGGTAGGGGAACCACAGGACCTCCTTAGGAGGTGGCAGCAGGAATCTGATTGCTCCCTTGCCACGCACTGTTATCCCTGCTGTCTCTGGCTTGGCACCTGTTTTTATACACTCCAGCTGACCTGAAACCTTACCCTAGAGACTCTAGTTGACAGTCTGATCACTTGACAAGAGACGGCTGGTGAGGGGCAGGGAAGTGAGGGAGGAGGTCAGAGTTCTAGATCTGGTTCAGTTTCTTTGACCTGAGGTTCTTTAAAATAGCTCCTTTCAGCCCCTTGAAAGGAGATCTACCTCAGGCAATAAGGGTATACATGTGCATGTGTGGGGGTGTCGGACCTGTCACCTGTTAAAGTCCAAAGGTTAAGGCCTTCCTCTATAGGCTGGGTTGGGCTCTCTCGCGCCTCCTTTTAATAATAACAATGAGAATAACTCTCATTTCTTGGTGCCTACTATGAGCTAGATATTTTACATACATTATTCCTATTTCTCACAACCCTATGAGGTAGGTACTATTTGGATTCTAAGTTTAAATAATAGTAACAGCTTTATTGAGATACAATTCTAACATCATTTACCTATTTAAAGGGTATAATTCAAAAGTTTTAGTATATTCAGTTATACTGCCATCAATCATCACAATTAATTTTAGAACATTTTCATCACCCCTCAGAAAAATCCCCCTACACATCAGCAGCCCCTTCCTTCCCCTCCTAGGCAATCACTAATCTACTTTCTGTCTTAATAGATCTCTTCTGAGTACTTCACGTTAATATAAATGTGTGACATACTCTGTGACTAGCTTCTTTCACTTATGATAAATATTTTCAAAGTTCATGTGCATTCATCCCTTTTCATGGCTTAGGATCCTAACATGTATAATGCTTATTTTACAGAGGAGAAAACTGAGTCTCAGGGACAGCCAATGACTTACACAGGTCGTACAGCTAGTGCGAGGCAGAGCCTGTTTCTAGCCTGTAATTATAAGGTACTTAGGGTCTATCTTCTGTCAACACTGAGTTCGATGACATAAAACTTGGAGGCTCCAGCATGGACACTGCTGGAGCCGAAGGGAGCTGGGAGGGTGTGCAGGGCACGGTGGGACGGGTCCCCTGCTGTGGGAGAGGCACTGAGGGTAAGGGTTAGGCACATCTGAACCCAGGACCCAGGTGGCAGAGAAAAGAGGACAGAAGGGGAAGGGGTCAGTGGAGAAGAGGGCAGGGGAAGAGAGAGGAAGGAGGTTGAGAAGGGAAGGGAAATAACTAGGTGGGGCAGAGGAGCAGGCAGAGGCCAATGCTGGACTTGGGCCAGGGCCCCAAGGCAGGCGGTCACAAGTCTAGATGCTCAAGTACCAAGCCTGTCCTTCTTGAACCAGGCTCTGCCCGCCTGTCCACAGAGCAGGCAGTTGTGTGAATGTGGTGAGAGAAGGGGCTGCTGAGGTTGGGAGGGCTCAGGAGGTAGGTTCTGGGCTCTGTAAATGTTGGCCTGGAGGTGGTGGGTGAATTACAGTTGGTACTATATACGGGGGCAGCGGGGGAGGGGGCGATAAAGAGTAGGAACCCAAACAAGGGGCAGCAGGCCCTGGGGAAACCCAGAGTGGGCAGTTGGGCTGGCTCACCTTCCATTGGCCTGGGAGCTTCTTGAAAGCTGGGACAGGTGTGTCTGCTCTGGTTCCTTGTCCTCAGAATCCAGCCTGCTCTAGAAGTTCCAAGGTTGATTGGTATGAGCTGGGGTCAACAAGCCTCTGAGTGATCAGAAACACCCACTTTCAGGTCTCTGCAAAGGCAGAGCTCAAAGGGAAGTGGGGGAGACACTGGCTAGCTCTGCTGGTGGTGGTGGGAGCAAACATGTACCTCATACTGCATGACCTTGCAAGGCATTTCACCTCTGAGCGGCCCCTGGGAAACAGACCCAACTTCCAGAGATGCGGTGGGTTTCAGATCCTCAGGGTGCCTTTGTGTCACAGACGCTGCTCTCAGCCTGGGTAGAAGCAGCCCGTATCTTCCCATTGGCCTTATCCTAACTCCACCTGATAGGCTATTTATAGAACCTGAAGCAGGATTTGGAAGGATATTCTTCACCTGCTTAACCCCTCAGGCCCGGCCCCTGACTGCTCTATTGTAGGTTCTTTGTGGTTCCAGGCCTCAAAACTCTGGGCTGGTGACCTGAGAGGGAAGCTCTGGGGAGGGGTAAGCCGGCAGGCCAAAGGTTAGGGAGCGGAGGTGAACAGATGAAGGAGGGCAGGCCGGTCTGAGGGCACGTCGTTGATGAGGGCAGCCTGTCCCTCCCTGGGGTTCCTGCATCACCCTGTACCCTCTGTGGGCATGTCCTGCATGTCTCACCGTTATTGGTGTACTTGCCTATCTCCTGATTTTCTCCAGAAGAGTGGGGAGGAGGGGGTGCGGGTGACATCTCCTAAGCTTCCACTAAGCGCCAAGTGCAGGTGAGGCACTTTCACAAATGTCATCTCATTTAATCTTCGCAACAACCCTATGAAGCTGGGGTTATTACCTCCATTTTACACGAGGCAGCAGAGGCTCAGATGGAGGGAGTCAAGCCGGAGGGCGCCTACTGGGGAAGTGGTAGAGCCAGACCAGACCAGTCTCTTCTGCATCCCCAGATGCCTGTGGCCTGAGTATATTCTTGGTTCCCCTCTGCGCTCACCTCCGGGCTTATATCTTCTTGGAAGCCTGCTCTGACTGCTCCAGCCCACAGGGTTTTTTCCCCCATAGACTCCCCGAATTCAGAGCACTTACTGGCTGTAACCTGTTTTGGTCACTGAGTGCAGAAGCCTTGCAATATCTCTGGAGATAGGTGTCTTATGTGGTGACTCACTTTCTAGCTACATCAACAGAAGTAAATTAACTTCACTGAGCTTCAGTTTAACTATAAAAAGGGAACCCTAGTATGCAGGTTATAGATTTGTTTTTTTCAGACTAAGTGAACTGACCTGTGTTTGGGGGTGGAAAGCTGGGCCTCCATGTTAGCTCTCTTCTTACCTCTCGCAGCCACTCTGCCCATCTTTGCCTTCCTTTTCCCCACAGGCCTTGTTTGCAGTAGCTGCTCAAATGTTTGGGGTCTGACAGTCCAAGCCAGAGCTACCCATCCCAGAGAGATGGGGGATTCTGGGAGGACTTGTCCCAGGAGACACCCTTTACTTTGTTGATAGATTTGAGGCACCAGCAAAGGAATAATGGGTGTCACCCTAATCTGGATCAGCCTGATCTTTGGGGAGCTCAGAAGTCTCATGGTTACTCTAGCCCCCAGTTTCATATGAGCTTCTCCAAGGTTCTGCATGGTTGTCAAGCCTTCTCTCTGGCTGTTAGAACACAAATGAATTCCTAACACCCCTGTCCAGTGGCCCAACCAGGAAATACTTGTGCACAGAATACAAATATCAATATAATTTTATTCAGACAAAGGCAGGAACAATGACCTTCAGAGCTGAGTAAAAGCAATAAATTAAAAGCATGGTTAGAATTTCAGACAATCAGACAAAATGTTTGAGAGGTGATTTCCCCATCCTCTCCTACTGATTAATTCAACACAGCTTAAAAATAATTTATATCATAAAATACACTTATTTTCAAACAAATGAACTGAAGATGGCTGTAGCATATCCTCAGTTATGCACAATGCATACAATCTATACTGCCCTCCCCCATCAAACCTTTAAGGCAGAAACGGCTCATCATTGGCAGAGGGTGGGCTTGTGTCAGCTGTACACCGTGTCAAGGACATTAGCCTGTGTCTCAGCCAAAAGATGCTGGCTTGAGTCCCTTCAAAAGATAGGTGGGCCACTTGGGTGCTGGAATCCATTTTGTTTCTAGCCTTTGCCTCACCATAGAAGGAAAAAGCTGAAGTCCTTGCAGGTGGACACGGGGCTGGTTTGGGATGCTCCTACCCTCTGTGCTGCCTCAGTCCCATCGTGCCCATGGATTACGCTGGTGGCGGTCTCAGGACTCTGACAGCCCTGATGGGAGCGTACCCCGCACCTCCTGCAGGCTGGACAAGGCTGAGGGGCGGTGGGAGGTGAGTCCTTCCTTCAGTCTTTCAGGCTGTGTTTGTCTTTCTGGGAGTACTGGGAAGAAAATATCCGTGCAATTCTGCGAGTTTCTTCTTCAGGCAGGTTGGGAGGCAGCGAGTTAGGTCTCGGGCGACAAGGCCTTTGGAACAAGGCTCTTCCAGTGGTTTCACTCTTGTCCTGGACAGGAAGAAGTCAGCTAGGTTAGCACTGACGATGTGGTATCACCAAGAGATGCTTTTGACTCCTTTCATCTTTTGGTCCTTTGGCTAACTGATGCAGAGCTTATCAGTTTACAAAACACTCTACAAACCTGGTCTTGTTTAAACCCTTACCTCAACCCCATAGGTGGGTACCTCATCCCCATGCCATGGATGAGGAAACTACAGTTCAGGTGAAATAAACTCAAGGTCCCACAGCTCGGAGAAGCAGAGCTAAGGTGCAAACCAGCTCAGACTTTTTCTAGGCCCCTGTAGGAGGGGCCATCACCTGCAGGCCAGGTTTGAAGCTGTATCCACTCTGTTGCTGCATGAGTCTAGACAAGTCATTGATCCTCTGAGTTGTGACTGTCCCATGTGTGGCTCTGGGAATATGTCCAACTTCTGGGGAGAAGATGGTGAATAATACACTTTGTTGGCTCTTTGGGGTTCCTGAAGCTGCCAGCTGGTGTGAAGCACATATTCCTGGCCATGCTACCAAACATCTTCCTGCCTGGAGCTGACAGGTTGGCACTAATTCCACCTTCAAGGTGCTTGCATTAGGGTTATTCCTTGGTGGTCCTCTGGACTCCCCTATGACTCACTCATTTGCACAACCACTTTTAATTTTTGGTGCTTAGTCAGTGCCAGGTTCCTGCTGTGAAGAGCTCAAAGCTAGACAGGACAGCTACCCTAGGCAGCTGGCTGAGAGCAAGGCCCTGGGGAAGAGGTGGAGGCTGTGTTGAAAGGAGATGGGAGTCACTACGACAGGCACACTTGGCTGACTTCCCAGCAAGAAACCTGCCCTGTGGATGGACATCTCCTCCCTGTCCTCAAATCCCAGGATCTGAGATC